GGTCCCTAGTCACCCTGCCCAGCATGCTGGGGCGCCCCCATTCCCCCTGTTTCCCCTGGGGCTCCCTAGGGCTCCCCAGTCTAGGCCTGAGGCAGGCAAGTGGTAAGAATAGGTGTTACAGGGTAGGGGGACCGCAGTTAAATAAGATTAAGGTGACACCTGGAAACGTAGGTGCCCAGCATCGGGGTGGACGCAGCAGCCGTGTGCCACTGCATGTTTACCTTGGGTGATGCCTTTTCTGGGGCTCCCCACAGATCTGGGGGCAGGAGTCCTGGACTCTGCCTCACACCCCAGCAAGGTGCTGAGAGGTGCCCTGACAGGAGCCCCCACTTGAGGGAGGGGATGGGTTGGGGTCCTGGGAGCCGCCTTGTTACTGGACTGGCCTCTTCCCTGCCAAGCTGTAGGTGGTTAGATACCAGGGAGGTCCCAGGCCCCCTCCCTGGGAGTTCCCAGGGCCCCCCACTCCTTCCCTCCTAGAGGCTGGCGGGGTGGAGGCTCCCCTACACCCAGCTACACACACCAAGGCCGGGGCAGGGGCGTCCAGCTGGGATCCTGGACTCTGGACTTGCGGTCGCCAGGCAGACCACCTACAGAGCTCCACAAGGCTCCCCCATTTCTGAGCACCCCAGGTTTGTCTGCTTGTCATGGGGCCGGGCCCACCTGCACAGGGCACTGGTCCAAGCACTTCTCCTTGCCACTTGGGAAGAAAAGGAGCTGGGTCGGCAAGAGGAGCCTCTCGGAGCATATGTGGAGAGCCCAGGAGCCGGGATGCTGACCCTCTCTAGGTCTCCCACACTGGGCACCACCTAAGCCTGTCTGCGCCCCTCTCGCATGGGGGCCCATCTCAAATCCCCTATGTGTGAACCCAGTGGCGGACTTTGGGTCGGGCCTGCAGGGGTCTTGGGGAGTGGGCAGGCATGAGGCATATGACCTGCATGACCTTGTCTCCTGGAGCACTAAGGTGGTGGCCATGCTCCGGGCATGGTGCCTGGCCTGGAAGGCTCTGAAGAGCCCCAAGTCTGTGGAGGGGCCTCCCCATGAGTGGTGCCTGGGGCTGTGTGGCCCGTGAACTGGGCACACACAGCAAGTGGCAGAGGGGCCAGGGGCCGGGCAGCGGTGGGTCATAATCCTCCATTCCTGGCTAGCGTCAACCCAGAGCCTGGCCTCTGTGCCTTCCAACAACCACGTGTCCCAGAGGCCATCAGGAACCCAGCAGTGGCCTAGCTGGGGTCACAGCCAGGGAGGAAAAAGCACCACTCCTTCCAAACGGGCTGTTTCCAGACCCTCCCCAGGCTAGGAGTGCCCGACTCTCCCTTGGCCCCATCCCTCTGGCAGCAGGAACCTGTGGACCCTCGGAGACTGGAGGCAGGTGGCAGCCCTGGGGGAAGGCGGGCTCCAGGCCTGGGGCAGGGGTCTGGCTATGGCTCAGGGCCTCCTTGGGCCCTGCCTCCATTCCTTTGAGGCCAGCCCCCAAGGGTCTGCAGTTCTTGGCTGGCTCTTAGAGTAGTCTGTCCCGGCTGAGGGCAGTGGGGGCCTCCTAGGCCAAGAGGCCCAGAAGCTCTCCCAGTCCGCTGGGTTTATGCAATCCTGATGAGTCCTTGTCTTCCCGGCACATGCTGGTCTGTGTCCTCCTCCCAGAGGACTGAGCCAGCCCATGCAAACAGTTCCGAACCAGCCTTGCTGCCTGCTCTCAGCTTCTCAATTTCATGGACAGGGTTGGAGGTTCTTACCGGCCGGCTCCCTGGAAGGGCATCCCAGCAGTCCTGAGAAAGGGACTGTGGCCTCTGATATCCCAAACCACAGCGCTGGCATTCCTCCAGACCTCATCCCGCTGAGACAACATTCCCAGTTCTAGAGGGAGCCACAAGGCCTCACCCGCAGGCCCTGCCCTAGCAGAAGCCCAGCCTCCAGCCCTCCTTCCTGTGCAGCCCTGCACAGCCCCCGCTTCCTCTTGGGAGCTTCTCCTGAGGGTGCAGCACCCACTTGCACCCTGGGCTCTGGGACAGGAGGATCTGCAGAGTCATCTGTTAGCGATTGTGGCTGCCTGTGACGCAGCCGAGAGTGGGCGAGGGGGCACCCCATGTCCTCAGCACAGCTGTGTCCCCAGGAGGCTCCCAAGGTCAGGAGTTCAAGACTCACGGCTGAGTCAGATGTGCCTGTGGCCTGGCCCTCAGGGTCCCCCACAGCTGCCTGCAGGTGTGGCTGAGTAGGGTGGAGGTTCTTACCGGCTGGCTTCCTCGAAGGGCATCCCAGCAGCCCTGAGAAAGGGACTCTCAGGAATGCCACTGCAGTAGCACTGGGGGCTCCTCAGTGGGCCTTGTCCCGGGGCTGGAGAGGATCTGAGACCCCTTCGCCAGGGCCAGGAGTGCCCCTACATCGCTCGGGCTGCCACTGACCTCTGCCCCCGACCCACCTCCTCTGGGGCTCCGTGACCCTGGAGCTGGGTGGGCAGGGGCTCTAGATCTTGGATTGTTCCTGGAGGGCAGCCAGAGCCTGGTGGGACAGAGGCTCCTCCACGGCCCTCCCCTGGCGAGCTGCCTCCTTTTGCCCTCCCCTCCCCTCCCCTCCACTCCCAGACTGGGCAGCTCCCTCCTGTGGATTCAGGACAGAACGTGTTTGGGGGTGGGGTGCTGTCTGACCTGTTGCAGGGAGGAGGACTATGTCAGGGACAGGTGCCCGAAAGATGCCCAGTAAATAGGAGTAAGAAGTAAATGACAGACAAACTTCCTCTCGCCTAACTAACTTGTGTGCTCTTGATTGACCGGCCTTTTTGGCCTCAGTTTCCCCATTTGTAAATAGAAGAGGTGCCTGGGCTGCACAGGACTCAGAAAGACAAGAGAGATGCTCGCTGGTCCGTTTGGTGATGACTCACTGGAAGCATGACAAAGACAGCAGGGGGTGGGGGTGGGCAGAGATGAGCTGCCCCTCCCCAACCCCGTGTGTGTAGCGGGGCTGGGACAGCCCCTCAGGCCTCCATATGCTCAGCTCCTGCCCCAGCTGCCCCCTTCCCCGTCCGTGCAGCAGCAGGCACAGGATGGGGGCAGTGTGGGCTCTTCACCCAGCCCCTTGGCCACATTCTCTTGTCCACTGCACTCCCCGCCTGCCTGCCAGTTGCTCCTGGGGCAGCTGTCTGCCGGGAAGCAGTGAGCCCGGTGATTAACCCTGCTGGTGCTGGCGGCTCCGACTGACACAGCGCATTCTCAGGGCCGGCCCCCGCTCCCCTCCTGGACAGTTCCCCGGGGGACGGCAGAGGCCTGGCGGCTTGGCCTGGTCTGGCCGCTAGGGGGCTTAAAGGGCTCCCCCCACCCCCACCCTACCCTCACCCCACCCCACCCCCACCCCCACCACTCGAAATCCCACCCCTCCAACCACACGACCCTCCAGGGATCCCAAGAAGCACTCAGGGTCTCAGGAGTCTCCAGTCCCCCAGGCTGTCAGAGCCCCAAGCTGTCAAGGGGGAGCCCAGAGCCACAGCACACTGCCTGGGGTCAAAACCCCATGTGGGGGACTCGCTACTGCCCAGAGGCCGCTCTCTGCCTCACATGGGATCTAAAGCAGCTCAGAGCTGGACTCTGCACCAGGACTGCTGATTCCTCGATGTCTCCCGCCCCCTCTCCGGCCAGCCCCTCCCCGACTCAGAGCTTCTCCTGCCAAGGGGAGCCGTCTCCTTTCTCCCTCCCCCAGGTGGGAGAACTAACAGTGAAGTTAGGGAAGAATTGCCAGGCCGGAAAGTAGGAGAAGGGAGAGGGTCACATCGCCCTCCCGACTCCGTAGAGAAACAGCCACACACCCTCTTGGGACTTGAGATTTGTAGGAGGCCAGGGCGCCAGGAAGGTGTGCAAGGAGGTGTACCCTCCAGGGACAGCTGCTAGCTCAGAACCCCCACCAGAACCGCTGACCAGTGCCCAACAAACCCACCCAGCCCCCCAGGACTGTTCAGGGAACCCAGTGAGAGATGAGCCCACAGCCCATCTGGGACCATGGCCCGCCCAGCTGGCCTGGCCCAGAGACGGGGGGTTGCTGCCAGCTCGGCAGCTGCAGCCCCACCCCGCCACCACCCCCTCGGGGCTTCCCTGGAGGCAGATTTGGCCCTGGAGCCCAAGGGAAGGAGGAGACCCAGGGCCGTAGGCACCCAAAGGCAGATGAAGACCTGATCTCGGCCTCTAGGTCCTGTGCCGTTTGCCAGGCGTCCTCGAGCCGCCGACCGTGCCAGGAAGGTGTGCGCGGCTGTGCAGTGGGTTGGAGGCCAGGCCGACAGAGCTGGTGGAGTCCACGGGGCCCCGGAGCACAGGTGCTCAGCAGCTGTGACCAGAGCCCCCCACCTCCTTAGGAGCCAATCTGGAGGCTGTGGGGCCATGAGCACCGCCCCCGTCCTCTAAAGGGGGCTATGGCTGCAGGCCAGCCCCTCCCGCCCCATTTCCCTATCGGAGAGTATTTTTAAGCCCTGCTGGGGCAGGCAGGAGCCAGGCCGAGTTGAACCTGACCTGATCACCCCAGGAAGCAGGGGGTCCCTACTTAGACTCCCCCTGTTCCTCTGCAGATGGTCATTCGCGGCTGCAGAGGGCACCTTCCCGCAACCAGCAGGACAGACGCTGTCGGGGGAGGAGCGGGGAGGCCGAGAGGTGCACCAAATTAGGGGAACAAAGAGCGGGCCCCTGGGCTGGGAGGAGCTGGTGGGCGCGCTGGGGGCCAGAGCGCCGTGGGGAGCGCGAGGGTCGCACCCGGTACCCGGAGCTACGACCTGGGCTGGGGGCGCGGCGGCGCCGTGGTCCCACGGCCTGGCCCGAGGCCAGCAGGTGCCCCTTCCGGGAGGCGGCCGGGCCGGGGTCCGAAGGGTTAAGGCCGCCCGGCCGCCCCTCCCCCTCCTCTCTTCTTCCCCACCCCCCCCCCGCCTCCCCGGACCTCTCCCCGGGGCGCGGGGCTCGGGCGCTCGGGCGGGCCGGGGCGGGGCCTGACGTCCGCAGGCGGAGCGAGCCCTGCCGGCTGCTTGGCTTCAGACCCGCCGGGCTCCCGCCGCGCGCGCTGTCCCTGGAGCGCGGGGACGCGGCCCGGAGCCGGGAAGATGGCGAAGCGGCTCTGCGCGGGGAGCGCACTGTGTGTCCGCGGCCCCCGGGGCCCCGCGCCGCTACTGCTGGTGGGGCTGGCGCTACTGGGCACGGCGCGGGCGCGGGAGGAGGCGGGCGGCGGCTTCAGCCTGCACCCGCCCTACTTCAACCTGGCCGAGGGCGCCCGCATCGCCGCCTCCGCAACCTGCGGGGAGGAGGCCCCGGCGCGCGGCTCCCCGCGCCCCACCGAGGACCTTTACTGCAAGCTGGTGGGGGGCCCCGTGGCCGGCGGCGACCCCAACCAGACCATCCAGGTGAGCGCAGGGCGGGCCGTGGGGCATCTTCCGGGGGCACTCGGACCCGGAACGCCGGCCCGACCCCAGGGGGAGCGTCGTGGGCCAGGGCGAGTCCAGGTGCGGACTCTCTGGTTCCGCATTTTGGGGGCCCAAGAAGGCACCCCGACCCGGCTGCTCCGTCTGGGCCGGGAAACTTCGCGTCCCTCCGGGAAGGCGGAATTCAAGTCCCCGGCATGGACCCGGGGGCGGCCGGGCGCCGGTCCAGTTCGGCTGCGGTGACCGGGGCGGGAGGGGGGCCGGGCCCAGTCCCTGGCGGCCCCAAGTCCGGGATCCCGGGGAGGGCGGGACTTGGCCTCCGCTGGCTGCTGCCGGTGGGGAGGGGGCGCAGCTCCGCCCTACCCGGGACAGGCTGGAACCTGCTGGCCTCTGGATGGGGTGGGAGGGGCCAGCCACCTGAGGCTCCCACGGCCCCCTCTCAGAGGGGTCTAGGGCTCGGCGAGACCTCCAAAGTAGGGGCGGGCCAGCTGCGAAGTTTTAACTGGGGCTGGGAACACGTGGCTCCCAGGAGGGGCAGAATCTCTGCCCAGCAGGTGGTAGGGTCTGGGGGGCTTCGTTCTCCCTAAGAGATGTGGTTTCAGGCCCTGAAGAACCCCTGGGGTGCATGTCTCCTCCCCAAGAAGCCTTAAACCTGTAGGCAGATTCTGTTGGCGGGCTTCGTGCATGGACACCTAACCTGGAAACCAAGGCTCCTGGCCCTCTAGACTTAGGCTGGGCCTGGGGTCAGTCCTGGGTGAGGAGCAGCAAAGTCAGCTCCAAGGGCTCCCAAACGGCCGCTCTAGGCCCATTCGCCACCTCAGCCCCACCTTAGGGAGAGCCTAGGTGGTGCCCAGATTCCCACAGCTAACCCCCGCTGGACCCTGTTCTGGCTGGGGGGCTCCAAGCAGGTGTCAGCGGCTTTCCAGGGCTCAGTTCCCCCATCTGAAGTGTGGGCTTTTGACCTCCTATCTCAGAGGACTGTGCTGGGCTTAAGGAGAGAATGGTGAGCCCAGGAGTCCGGGGAGGCTCCTCCCCCTCCCCCAGGGCCAAGGTGGTGGGGCAGGCAGAGGGCCCGTGTAACCTGAGCTGTCTCCTCCCGGGTACCTCCACCTTCCTGGAAGGAGAGACTAGGGCAGGGGCGAGTAGCTGGAGATCTGCCGGGTGGGGGCAGAGGGCCCTGGAGCAAGACTTTGTGGGGATGAATGGAGGAGCCTGGGCTGGGCCTGCCCCCTCTGCCTGCCCCACCACCTTGGCCCTGGGGGAGCGGGGAGGAGCCTCCCCAGACTCCTGGGCTCACCATTCTCTCCTTAAGCCCAGCACAGTCCTCTGAGATAGGAGGTCTCAAGCCCACACTTCAGATGGGGGAACTGAGCCCTGGAAAGCCGCTGACACCTGCTTGGAGCCCCCCAGCCAGAACAGGGTCCAGCGGGGGTTAGCTGTGGTAATCTGGGCACCTCCTGGCTGCCCCCTTATCTGGTCGACTCAGAGGGGCCGGGTCTCAGGAGGGAGGGCCTGTGGCTGTCTCCTTGCCTGCTACTGCACCTCAGAGGGCCTGGCTGAGCGTCCCCAGCTGAGATTTTGCCGTTTTGGCAGGGGAGGCTCCAGGTGCCCTCTGAACCCTCAGACCACCCCCAACCACCTGCCTGTGCTGCATGGCTGGGGGCCACAGGCCCCCTCCCGGATCTGTCTCCTCTGTGGGGGCGTATTACCCCCGTCTCATGAGTAAAGGGCCAGCCTGTAGTCAACGCCCCTCTTCCTCTGCCTCAGCTGTGTGGCTTCCCTCTGTCAGCCTCAAGCTCCCTGTCTTTTAAATGGGCACAGCGTGCCGGCCCCCATCACCTGAGACTGTGAGCTTGGCCTGAGGAGCCTGGGAAGCGGCCACAGTTTCAGTGGCAGCTATGGGCTATGGTGCTCCACGCCTCAGAGCCGACGTGGACGGCCTCGCCCAGCTCATTTCTAACAATAGAGGCGAACCCTTTTCTTCCAAAGTCTCTGTGGGGAAAAGAAAGAGATCAGCCTGTTACTGTGTCTATATAGAAAGAAGTAGACATAAGAGACTCCATTTTGTTTTGTATTTGTGATGCTGTTAATCTGTGACCCTACCCCCAACCTTGTCCTTTGCAAGAGACATGTGTTGCGGTGACTCAAGGTTTAATGGATTTTGGGCTATGCAGAATGTGTCTTTTTTTTTTTTTTTTTTTTTTTTTTTTTTTTTTTTTTGAGACGGAGTCTCGCTCTGCCCCAGCCCAGGCTGGAGTGCAGTGGCGCGATCTCGCTCCTGCAAGCTCCACCTCCCGGGTTCACGCCATTCTCCTGCCTCAGCCCCCGAGTAGCTGACTACAGCGCCCACACCGCGCCCGGCTAATTTTTGTAGTTTTTATAGGAGGGGTTCACGTGGTCTCGATCTCCTGACCTTGTGATCCGCCCGCCTCGGCCTCCCAAAGTGCTGGGATTACAGGCGTGAGCCACCGCGCCCGGCCGAATGTGTCTTTGTTAAACAAAATGCCTGAAGGTAGCTTGCTGGTTAAAAGTTATCACCATTCTCTTAATTTCAACTACCCAGAGACACGTACATGGCCAAAGGTCGCAGGGACCTCTGCCTAGGAAAGCTAGGTATTGTCTAAGGTTTCTCCCCATGTGATAGACTGAAACTATGCTGCTAAAAGGTTTATGGAGATGTTTGCATATGCATCTCAAGGCACAGCATTTTCCTTTGAACTTATTCATGTCAGAGAGGTTTTTGTTCATATGTCTTACTGCCGATTTCCTCTTTTTTCTTTGATCCTATTGTCCTGCCACTCCCCTGTCTTTAAGATGGTAAAGATAATTATCAATAAATACTAAGGGAACTCGGCCGGGCGCGGTGGCTCACGCCTGTAATCCCAGCACTTTGGGAGGCCGAGGCGGGCGGATCACAAGGTCAGGAGATCGAGACCACGGTGAAACCCCGTCTCTACTAAAAATACAAAAAATTAGCCGGGCGCGGTTGTGGGCGCCTGTAGTCCCAGCTACTCGGGAGGCTGAGGCAGGAGAATGGCGTGAACCCGGGAGGCGGAGCTTGCAGTGAGCCGAGATCGCGCCACTGCACTCCAGCCTGGGCGACAGAGCCAGACTCCGACAGAGCCAGACTCCGTCTCAAAAAAAAAAATACTAAGGGAACTCAGAGACCGGGGCCGGCGTGGGTCCTCTGTAAGCTGAGCGCCGGTCCCCTGGGCCCCCGCTTTTCTTTCTCTATACTTTGTCTCTGTGTCTTATTTCTTTTCTCAAGTCTCTCGTTCCACCTTACGAGAAACACCCACAGGTGTGGAGGGGCAGGCCACCCCTTCAGTCTCAAGCCCCGAGCAGTGAGTGCCCCTGTTCTGAGGCTGCCAGATATGTAGAAAGATCGGCTGGTAGACGTAAGCTGGATGGCCTGTGACCTTGGACGCCTTCTTCATCTGAGAGCCACAGGTCTGCTGACTGCCCTGGCCGCGGATTGGGCATGTGAGAAGGTCTTGCCAGCCAGTCTGGAGTAGAGCCGCGGGTGGGGCAAGGCAGGCAGGCACAGGAGGTGCCCAGGTGATGAAGCTGCAGCTCCATCCAAGGGGGCTCACTAAGGCTTTGGGGCCTGGAGCTGGGCAGTGCTGTCTCAAGGCTGCAGGCCAGGGGCTCTCAGGGACCCTCTGCAGGAGACGCACATTAGCTGGGCATCCCAGATGGGGGTTGGGGTGAACTCTGCTGGGCAGCTGGTGCAGGCAGAGTGCAGGGGGAGGTGGTGGCCCTTGCAGCCTCAGGTGGGCATCAGGGGATCCCCGGCCGGCCCAGCCTGGGAAGGTGGGGACTGGGCAGCCAGGCCAGCGTGGTGACTTATTGGAGGGCGAAGTCCTTATCAGCCCCTCTGCTGTTTCCTGGCTCTGTTCTCATGGGACCCTCCGCAGCGGAGGTGGTAGGAGCCTGATTTTCCCAGCCCTGTCCTCTGTGGCTCAGTGAGTGGCCGAATGGTGACTGGAACTGCCTCCCAGTAACTGGACCAACTCTGGCCCTGGCAGGGACTGAGCAGTTTCTTCCCTGACCTCCTGGAAGAGTAGAGACTGACCCTTGACCCGCAGCCTTCCACTCCGCTTCCCTCTGCTGCTCGTGTGTCTGGGAGGGTCTTGACCAGCAAGCAACCTTCCCTGGAAGGCCTGGCTGCCCCAGCCAGAGGGCCTGCCCACACCTACCTTCTCCAGGCACCCCCGGCCCCACCCTGAGCAGGACCTGTGTGTGCCGTGCTGTCAGTGAACTCCTGAGTTTGGGGGTCACCATCTAAGCTTGGCAGTGCGGCCTGCGGGTAGGACTCGTGGTGCTTAACTGGGTGTCTTCAGTTGCTCTAGCCCCATCCACGAGACTGCTTAGGTGGTGAGCTGGGTACACAGTGGGAATAAGGCGGGTGTGGACCCTGCCACTGCAGAGCTCTGGGGGACCCCAGCGAAGTCCCCAGATAATTCCAGATCTCAGACATGCAGTAAAGGAAGTACAGCAGTGGCCACACTGGGGGCTGTGGACTCAGGGGCCTCAACCCCAAGCCTGGGAGGATGCCTTTGTGTGAACAAACAGCAGGTCTGGTTTCCCTGGGGGGGTATGGCAGCCAGGACCCAGCTCTGCCCCTTCTCCTGGTCCCCGCCCCGGCTCCCAGCACTACCCCTCCCCTCCAGGATGTAGGCCAGGACCCCGCTGGGAGCCTCCTCTGTTCCCCACTCACCCATGCAGGGCAGGCCCGGGACAGAAGCGGCTGCCAGGCTATGTGTGTGAGCCATTCATCCTCACGGTGGCCCCAGGCAGGTGCAGTCTTGTCCCTACTCTTCAGATGGGGACATTGAGGCTCAGCGGTTGCTGTGACTTGGCCTCTTCCCAGGACTCCGAAGCGGCAGCCAGGAGGCCCAGGCCCACCTGCCGCTGCCCACACCTCCACCCTGGGGCCGGTCCCCATAGGCCGCCGCAACAGCTTAATTCTGTCTCTCTGGAGACCCTAATCCAGAAGCCTGTGGGCAGGATCTGGAGGTGGGGCGGGGTCTGGCCGCCTGGATCCCCACCCTGATGGTCCTTCTGTCTGCAGCTCTACCTTCCTCCCCTTTCTGCCCCCTGCCTTGCCGCATTTTGTCCAAGCCTTTCTGGAGCCCCTGGCAGGGCCAGCAGGGAGGGGTGGCCATGCCTTGCCCCGCCCCTGCCCCTTTTTGCCCCCTTGGCTCTAGACACATTGATCCACCTTGTGGTTTGTTTGTTTGTTTGTTTGTTTGTTTTTGAGACGGAGTCTCGCTCTGTCGCCCAGGCTGGAGTGCAGTGGCCGGATCTCAACTCACTGCAAGCTCGGCCTCCCGGGTTCACGCCATTCTCCTGCCTCAGCCTCCCGAGTAGCTGGGACTACAGGCGCCCACAACCGCGCCCGGCTAATTTTTTGTATTTTTAGTAGAGACGGGGTTTCACCGTGGTCTCGATCTCCTGACCTTGTGATCCGCCCGCCTCGGCCTCCCAAAGTGCTGGGATTACAGGCGTGAGCCACCGCGCCCGGCCCACCTTGCGGTTTACTGTGAGACGCCTCTGCCCCCAGGGCTCGTTGCACTGGCACCCCCTCTGCCTAGAGCACACTCTGGCTTACCATGTAGGGCTCAGACGCCACCCCCCTAGAGAGGCCCACCGAGATTTTCCCACCCAAGGCAGGTGCCCCTCTCCGTCCCTGTTCTTCCTCTTTCCTCCTTCGTGCCATGAGCAGCTCCCATGAGCCACCTGCCCTGAGTCGGACGAGCCTCAGGTGCTTAGCGCACGTTTGCTGAGCAAGTGGGTGAGGGGGGTGCAGAGGCTGGGCGTGGAACCCGCTCAGTGGGGCCAGGATTCGTCTCAGGGCAGGAGGGTGACGAGGAGGAAGGGGGTCCCTGGCCCTCCTCAGCTGTCTGACCCTTCTGTTCCCTCTGCAGGGCCAGTACTGTGACATCTGTACGGCTGCGAACAGCAACAGGGCACACCCCGCGAGCAACGCCATCGATGGCACAGAGCGCTGGTGGCAGAGCCCGCCCCTGTCCCGCGGCCTGGAGTACAACGAGGTCAACGTCACCCTGGACCTGGGCCAGGTAGGGGCCTTCTTTGCCTGCTACAGCGCCCGTCTCTGTGTCTGTGGCTGTCGGGCCTACCTTGGGCCACTGGACCAGAAGGCGAGGTCTCCACCCTGAGCGAGATCTGGGGCCTGGGAGGCTGGACTCAGTGGGAGGGGACAAAGGCATGACAGTGGTCACCTTTTGTTTGTGCTTTCAGCATCCCCACGACCCAGGGAAAGGGGGTGCTGATGGGGGTGCTTCCAGAGGCCACAGAGTTTGGGTGGAGGTGTTGAGTAGACAGCTTGGGGCCAGGAGGGCAGAGGTGCTGTGAGCAGTGCGCCCTGCTGTTTAAGGAATTCCTGGCGGGTGCGGGAGGGGCCACAGGAATGCAGAGGAGGCTGGCGGAAGTGGACATTCCTGGGATACCTGTGCCGAGGTGGCGGCTGCTGAGGGTTAGGCGGGGTTGGGTGTCTGCTCTCTGGTCCCCAGCTCTGGGCTCTCCTTGGCCTTGGAGGCCCCTGTACAAGCAGGAGGCTGAAGCTGGGTACCTCCAAGCGAAGAGTGAACCCCCTAAGGTGGGCCTGCCTCGGTGCCAGCCCTGAGCAGCCCCAGATAAGGGGTGACTTGGCCTAGGTACCCGGGCTTGAGGTCTTGGCCTGTAAAACGGGCCAGTAATCTTGGTGCTTCTTGAGTCAGGGACAGTGATGGGGCAGGTGGAGGAGGCTGGGCCTGAGAGCAGCCAGTGCCTGGAGTGGGGGCTCCAGGGCTGACACAGAGGTCTGCGTCCCGGCTGGCTTGGTCGCTGTCCCAGTGTGTGACACGTGGGTCTTCACTCCTGTCTGAGTCTCTGTCCCTGCCATTGTCCCGAGGGTGTCAGAGATAGAGGAGGTCTCCCTGCAGCCTGGCTGGAGGGCTGGCCCCAAGGGGCAGGCGCCTTTGACAGCCTTGGTGGCCTGCAGGTCTGGCCCGAGGGTGGGCAGGCAGTGAGGGGAGGGCTCAAGCCCCAGCAGGTGGCCTGGAATTTCCAGGGGTTCCTGAACTTGCTCTAGGGCCCTATGGAGAAGGATGGGGAGCTGGGGAGGGGTTGCCTGTCCTGGGCTCCCTGCCTGCCTGCCAGGCCCCTGGGCCTGGCCTGACCTGGGTCTGGGTGTGGCTTTGCCTATTTACCTTCATCTCACTGAGTTTCCCCGCGTCTGGTTCCCCTGTCCCCTGGAGCCTGGGGGTCCCTCATCTCTCTGGCACAGCAGCAGAGGCCCCCTCTTGGCTGCAGCGGATGTGAATTCTCAGCTGCTCTGGTGGGAAGCTGGGAACTGGGTACTGGGTTCTTCCCGCCCCTCCTCCTTCGAGGAACTGGCGCGGCTGGGGGAGGGGAGATGGCCTGGTCTCCACGGCAACCCCAAGGTGGCTGCAGAGCCGGTGGGCATAGTGCCTGATATGGCTGGGTGGGGTCAGGGAAGGTGGGACTGACACTCAGACCCACAAGTGTGGGCTTCACCACCCCTTGGCTCTGGGGCTCTCTCTCAGCCTCGGTGCACATCTCTGAACTGGGCTGGAGACTTCAGGCCTGAAGCCAGTTTGCTTTTAGATTGTTCTGGGCCAGAAATCAGGTTCCACCACGTGAGCATCTTGCCTCCCAGCCTCAGTTTCACCAACTGTAAAATGATATGGAGGGAAAAGGAACCCTTTCCATTCCACCTGGGAAGCAGTCCCTCCACCTACCCACCCACCTATCCTATCCCATCCCTCTGCCTGCTCACCCATCCACCCCCCTACCTATCCACCCACCCACCCACCTACCTGTCCCTCTACCCACCCCCTACCTACCCACCCCTTACCTATCCACCTACCCCTCTACCCACCCCCTGCCCCTCCACCCACCCACCTATCCACCCACTCACCCACTTACCCCTCCACCCACCCACCCCCCTATTAACCCACCCACCCCCTATCCACCCACCCACCCCCTATCCACCCACCCACCCCCTACCCATCCACCCACCCACCCCCCTACCCATCCACGCCACCACCAACCCACCTAACCATCCAACCACCCAACCCCCCCCACCCACCTACCCACCTACGCCCCCACCTACCCACCTACCCCCTACCCCCTACCCATCCACTCACCCACCTACCCACCCCCTACCCATCCACCCACCCACCCCCCTACCCCCTACCCATCTACCCCCTACCCATCTACCCTCTACCCATCCACCCACCCACCTACCCCCTACCCATCCACTCACCCATCCACCCACTCCCTACCCATCTACCCATCCACCCATCCCCTACCCATCCACCCACCCCTCTACCTATCCAGCACCCACCCTTTCTTCCTTGCTTCCATCTGTCCATCCCTCTGTCTGCTCTTTCCTCCCTCCACACCTGCACCGTCTTCCTTCCTTCCTTCTCAGCCGCTTTCCTGACCATGTGGATGTGTCTACCAAGGCCCCTGTCTGGGCCGGGGGCTGCCAGCCTTGGTCGGGGTGGGGGCAGGGACTCCCTGGAGTTGGGTGGAGAAATGTCCTTCCTGGGCTTCAGGGCTGATCCTGGGGCGGGGCTGGGGCTTCCATCAGGAAGCCAGGCTGAGCAGCGGGTGGGTCCGGGCACTCCCCCTGTAGCGCGCTGCCAGCAGCCTTTGTTCTGGGATCTGGAGCGGATGCCCTGGGAGGGGGGTGGGGGTGGCTGGCACTGGGCATCGCGAAGGCTTCCTGCTCCTGGAAGGCTGAGGAGGGCGGGGTGGGCTGCATCACGGTTCGGGTCTCACGCCCCTGCTGTGTGGTGGGGCAGGGGCTGGCGCAGGGGAGGGGAGACTAGTCCCTGTGGTGTCCACCCAGGAGTGGCTGAGCCTTGGCCCCAGGAGTGCCAGCTGGGCTCCTGGCCTGGGTCCTGCTGCGCCCAGCCGTGGAGGGTTCTCCCTCCAAGGGTGGGGCTCAGGAAGAGGCTCCAGCACTGGTCACTGGTGACTCAGGGGGCAGTTTCCGAGTTCCAGACGTGACCTTCCCCGGGGGGTCCTTCTAGGGGGTTCTTGCGGATCTCCTTGCGTTCTCCGGAAGCTTCTAGAATTGAGTGGTCACATCACTGACCTCAGGCTCCCTCTTCCGAGAACCACACCCAGGCCCCAGGCCCCAGGCCCCAGGCCCCAGGCCCAGGGAAGGGTGAGCATGTTCATGACTGCCCAGGCACGTGGCCAGCAGGTCCTGGCTCGAGCGCCCCCACCCCCTGGCTCTGCTGCAGGATCCAGGCCCTTGGCCCACTACACCAGCATGCTAGCCCAGCAGGCCCAGGTTGTAAGGAGCTGGGCAGAGTGAGTGGGGCTGGCTCTGGCCTGTGTCCCCTCCCTCTCCATTCGGCCCTTGGGTGGTCTAACGGTGGGGGCGGGGCTCTCCCCAGCAGAGGAGGGCATGCCTCCTGTCTCCCTCAGATGAGGAGTGAGGACGCGGGGGGGCCTCCTTCCTGCAGGGAGACCCCTGCTTTGTCCTCTGCACAGCAGGCCACAGTGCAGGTGCCACAGGTGCGGCAGCGGCTTTGTCCCAGCCCCCGAGGCCCAGAGCTGCAGGGCAAATGGGGAGGCCTAGGTGGGGACCAGGTAGGAGTCAAGGTGTAGGGGAACTGGGGCCAGCAGGGTATGGGGGGGACAGTTAGGCATGAGTCTAGTATTGGTTGGGGGTGAGCAGTGCCAGGTGAGGGCCTGTGCCCCTGGGGATGGCGGAGAGCCATGGGAGGGCAGAGTGGACTGGGGTAGGGCTGGAGAGGGGAGGCAGTCAGCTGTCCCCTCCAAGTGGGGGTACGAGGAGGTAGAGCTCTGCTGAAGTCATTGGCCGCTGGAGTGTGAGTTTCCCTAGGCACTTGGGGAAACTGAGGTGGGGTTATGAGAGGGTCAGGGCCAGTGTGGAGTGCCCAAGGTCCCAGTGCTGGAGTCTTGAGGACTGTGGGGTTGGCCATGCTGTCTGGAGTCTGGGTTCCCAGGCTGGTTCCTCCTCTGTAAATGGGGTGAGTACCCCTGCCGGAGGCCCAGCACACCCAGACTGCCTTACCCTTCAGGACTGCCTGCCCTCTGGCTGGCCGGCTGGGGCCTTGGGCAGGCCTTCTGGTCCAGGGTGCCACTGGCTTGGCTCCCTGGGCCTGGTTGGGCACTCAGCCATGTGGCCAGTGCCCCAGGACGGTCAGTGGGTTGTCCAGGGAAGGACAGGAAGTGCAGCGCGGCCAGGCTCTAGGCTCTAGTTACACAGCTCGGCAGCCGGGACAGGTGCACTGGCTGGGCCGGAGGCAGCCACTTGAGTGGGGCTCCCTGGGGGTATGGCGGGAGTCCTGGGAGGCACCACTCCCCTCCCCTGGCACAGGGTGGACAGCAAGACCCTCCCTCTACTTGTCCTGGAAGGAGGACGAGGCCCAAGGGGCTGCCATGCCAAGGTGGGGCTGGGGCTCCTCTCCCCGCACCCCTCTGTCATGCTTGCTCTTGGTGGCTGCACAGCCAGACCTGGCACTCAGGGCACAGAGATGCCCCAGCGCCCACCTAGACCCCAGGCGGCCCCCAAAGGCTTCCTGTCTTCTGTTTCTGAACAAGAGCCACCACATTAGCCTCTGGTAATACAGCTCAGTGGAGACTAAACTGTTTGGGTTTCAGGCCGAGGGGTCCCCTTGGGATAATCTCCACTTCCTGTGTCCGCGGCTGACCATCTGGCCTGACCTGGACCGGGCTGCAGGGAGGGAACCCTGAGCTTGGACTGCAGTGGTTGGGGTCCCCGAATCCACCCCATGCCCAGCTCTGTTGAGGTGCAGGCAGCCCCCTGGCTGGGACCCCATGCCCTCCCTCCAGCTGGGGAGTTCCTGTCCCCCCACCCACTCCTGGAAGTTTCCCTGTCCTGCGTAGCACATCTGTAGTTGGGCATGGCGACGTCCAACCCTGGCGTCCGGGGTTCTGGCCTCGGCGTTTTTATTTTTCTTCCCAGTGGTGGGCTTGCTGTGGAAATCCCCGGCTTTTCCACTCCACGTCCCTCTGGGAGAGGTGTCTGTGTGGGGCGTGTTTCCGGACCCCTGATAGGTTGTGTGGCCGCTGTGCTTATTCACCCAGCTGGGGGTCGGTGGAGCCGCCCCGCCCTGCTGTGGGGCTTATCTGTGTATCCAGATGGGGTCTCTTCGAGGGGAGGCACACGACAGGAGCGGGCAAGGGCTGGGCTGGCCCCGGACTCTGGGCAGCGAGGGGGCTGGGTGCCCCGGTGCCCTGTCCGAGCGGCGTGGTCAGGGTGCTCACCCGGATGCCTGGGGCTAGGAGGGACTTTTCCTGCCCCGGGAATTGGCACAACGCCCTTCTTCCTGCAGGGCCTGGGCTGAGTCACAGACCTCTGTGATTCAGGCTGCTGGGGAAGGCTGGACTGGCCCTCACCCGGCACAGTGGGTACCTGGGCCTGGCCCTGGTCTCCCCAACCCAAGATGCGCCAGGGCAGAGCTGGATTTGGGCACAGGACAGCACCCCCTCCCCTCCTCTGGAGGTTCCAGCCACAGCCCTCCCCATGGTGAGGTGGGTGCCTCAGCCTAGGAGACTGCTGGCCAACAGCCCCATGCCATCCCCAGGGCCCCCGAAAGCCCCACCAGCATTTCTCTGTAGTCCTCACCGTGCTGCCCAGACCCCAGCACCTACCCAGTCCCCTCCGCAGCTTTGCCTTTGGAGCGCCAGTGTGTGGTGCAGCTCTGGTGGGGGCCTTGGCATTTCTGCGGAGTGGCTGCTGCCTGTCCTCCAGGAACAGCTGGCATCCTCCCTCCCAGGGCGCTCGAGCCTTCATGCCCTCATGAAAGGCATTTTATCCTGATGCCCCTCTCTGCAGCTCTTCCCACTGCCCTGTGCCCAGGGAGGGGAAGTGTCCGCCCCAGGTCCACACGACCCCTGAACCTGGAGCCTGCCCGGGCCCCGGGCCCTGTGCTCCTGGGGCTCTCGACCCCCTGTGAGACAGTGGTCACTGGGCAGAGGCCTCCTCTGGGAGCCATGGCCCTCCCAGGTCAGGTCGGGTATGGGGGGACTGGGGGGTGCAGTGGCTGAGAGGCGGGTCCGGCTGCTGTCCTGGAGACGTGCCTGCCCCAAAATAGCCAGATTTTTAAAAATAACTCAGGCGGCTTTTGTTTGGCTTTTGCTTTGAAAGAATTTTTTTTTTCCTTTTGCACAGAACTATGTAGCAGCGGAAAGGTCAGCACTGGCAGCTGAGCTGAGCTGAGCTGAGCGGGGCGTGGAGGGGGAAGGGCGGTCCCGGAGCCCGGGGTCTGCGCTCGCTCCGGGTCATGGCGAGGGCGGCCAGTGTGGCCCTGGGAGCTGCGACCAGGTCAGAGACAGATGGGAGCCCTCCAGTGCGGGCTTCCCTTCCTGTGAGCATCTGTGCAGCCACCAGGCCCTCGAGGACAGCTGTCCAGGGCCCCTGTCTGACACACAGATGGTTGGAATGAGGGACAGACAGGAGGCCAGGATCTTCCCGTGCGTCCCAGGGGTGGAGAGGGCGAAATTTCTGTGTCTCCCTCATCGTGCCGATCAGTGTCTTCGAGTCAATATTTGTGCAAGTGCTCTCAGCTGGGAAAAATGCGACTGGCCTGCTGAAGGGGAGGGGAAAGGACGGATGGGCCTGAGGAGAGCACAGCCTCCAGGCGCTCAGGGAACAGCGGGGGCGGCTCCCAGGGGGCTCAGTCGGGACCTTTAGTCTCTTGGTGGGAGGGGCTGTGCTGCCAGCTCCCCGAGAACTGCCTGTGTCTGTGCCCCGTCCACCTCGAGCGGACCCTTCCCTGTCCAGGCACAGGGGCCATTGGCCCCCGCCTGGGGCTCTCTGGAATGCTTGTGGTCAGGCCCATGGGGCTGCTGAGGCCCAGGTGTGGGGCTGGGTATAGGGTCTGACCCTGAGGAGGCTCAGACCCCTCCCTGCTGGACAGGGCATGTCTCCCTGCCCCCCAGCCACAGGGAGGTAGACGATGACCTCAGCCTGGCAGCCGGTGAATAGGCCTGTGCTCCGCCCCCACCCTGGAAGGCTGCACTTGGCTCCCACAGTCCCCCTCCGAGGAGACTCGGAAGCAGCGCCAAGCCCTCCAAGAAGGGTGGGATTTGGACCTGGTGTGCCTGGAGTCCTGGAGCCTTGCCCCCTACCTGGAGTCTGGGCAGCCAGTGCCCCCAAGGGCTGAAGCAATGAGGAGTCTGTGTTGTTTCCAGGGGGGCCTCACAGCAGTCTCAGTCCAGCTCAGTCTGGTGGGGTGACTGTAGGTCTTGTGCAGCTCTGGGGGACCCTACTCTCCTGCTTGGGGCCCTAGGCTCCCAGGCCTACCTGGCCAACAGCACCCAGCGGTTCCCGGGTGCACCTGCTGTGGCGAGAAACCCTCCAGAGGAGCGGGCACCGGCGGGTCAGGGTCCTGAAGAGATGCAGTGGGTGGCCCTGGGGTGTGGCGTGACCCTCGGAGGCCTGCTGGCCTTTTCAGGGCCCACCTGGGGGCCCACCTGTGAGCAGAAGAGGGACTGGTTCCCACTGCCGCCCGCAAACAGTTGGGCTGAGTAGTGAGGTCTCCCAAGGTCTCCATCGCGGACCCTGTGGGCCTGTCAGGGGAGGTGTGGGCTGAGACAGGCAGGCCACCCCTGTGCTGTGGGTCCGTGAGTTGCCTCTCTCCCCAGCACCTGGGCCTCTTTGTACAGGCGGGGAAGAGGTTCGTATTTCCTCCGCCTCCCTGCCAGGTCCCTGTGGAGCCTCTGCCTGGGAGAGCCCTTTCCCCTTTGTGTGAGAGGGGCTGGGGAGGGGCTCACCCTCCCTTGGAGCCTCCAGGCTTGTGACAGGGCCTGGAAACACCTTCCCTCCTTTGCCCCCACGTAGGGGGAGCCTAGGGCTCCCCTCAGAGGCTATGGTGGGTGGGAGCACTTGGCCACAGCAGGGGCTGAGCCCTGGCTTGCATGAGTGTGAAGGTGGGGTGCTGCCTGGGCACTGCCCCCTCCTGTGTGCCTCTGGAACCCCCTGGCTCCTGGGTGCAGCCTCTTACCAATGAGGTCATGGGCTGTTTTAGGGACCAGAGACCTTTTCAGAGGGGGCCTGTCCTGGGTCCATGGAAGAGCCGCCCCCGCGGTGTTTCACTGTTGGGCCAGCGGGTGTGTGTGCACCCCCAGGTGCAGGCATGGAGGCCCAGGGTTATGTTGGGTGGGAGCAGAGATGAGGCTGGGTAGCACTGTCTGCTGGGGGCAGGGGAGGCTCAGGCCTGGAGTCCTGAGGGCAGGGTGGTGGGGGATTGGTAGGGGAGGGAGGGAGGCCCAGGCTGATCAGAGGCCTGAGGGGAGCCAGCAGGCCTGGCCTGTGCGGAGAGACAGGCCTGGGCCTGGGGAGGTGTCTGCAGCTGAGGATTAGGGGGAGGGGCTGCAATCAGGGCAGCCTTCTCTGAGGAGGTACAAAGCACCCTGTGAAGACTGAGCCAGGCTCTCCCCCAACCCTGGGGCACAGACACATGGGCTGTCCCTGGTGGAGGTCGAGCTGACACACGGGGAGAAAGTGGGCAAAGCCAGGGCGGGGCTGGGGCAGGGTCTTGGGGTTTCGGGGGCCTGGGAAGGAGCAGCTTTCCTCTGCCCTGGTCAGGGCTGCCCTGACACTCACAGGGCCACAGCAGAGCTACCGCCCCAGTGCCTGGGCTGCTGGAGTCTCCCAGGCAGGCTCAGCTTCCAGTGGCCCCCCTGCCTGCAAGGCTGAGCCCCGCTTGCTCCCTGCAGCCCAGTCCCCGGGGGCTCAGTGGGCCCCTGGCTGTGGGCTGGTCAGCAGGGGAGTGAGCGGAGCCTGGGGGAGGGGTGCCCGGCGTGAGGTAGGGGTAGGGGCAGGGGCCCCATCCTAGGAGCAGCTGACCTGTCAGGGACTAGGGGGTTAGACCTTTGGACCTGCCTGTTGGCGGGGACCACTGTCTGGCCACTGGGCCTGGCTGGACATGAGGGCTGTGGGGACACTGGGGTATGTTCCTGCACCCACCCTGGCCAGTCCCTGCCTGGGCCGTGGGTAGGCCACTCCCTAACTTGTTCCATCTGCAGCTACAGAGCTTGCAGGACCATGGGGAACCCCAGGCTCCTGCAGCAGGGAAGGGGAGGAGGCAGTGCATTGGTCCTGAGCACAGGCGGGGTGCCCTTCCAGGAGGGCTGATTCCCGGGGGCTCATCTCCATCCCTGGGGAGCCCTCTACCCTGGGTTCGTCTGCCCCATGCAGGCAAACCCAGAGTTGCCCCGTGTGGCGAGGATACCACATCCCCTGCTGTGGCCTCACCTGAGGGGCAGAAAATGAGCCAGGCCCCTGACAGCATGGGAATCCAGGTGCTCCTGGCTCCCCTGACGCCCTCTCGGCCCGCAGGTCTTCCACGTGGCCTACGTCCTCATCAAGTTTGCCAACTCACCCCGGCCGGACCTCTGGGTGCTGGAGCGGTCCATGGACTTCGGCCGCACCTACCAGCCCTGGCAGTTCTTTGCCTGTGAGTCTCTGCCGCCACGGGGCCTGGGGGGCGAGGCGGGGGGGTCCCTGGGCAGGCCCTCCATGACCAGGCTTCTGAAGGTCTCCGAACACCCAGCCCTGCCCTCACACCCAGCTGCTGTGGTCATGACTGTCAGACAAGGACTTGAAGGCTCATGGGGATTTACTGGCTTCTGTCCTTGGCGTCGGGCACAGCTGGGTCCAAGGGCTATGGCGCCAGGAATCTCTGGTGCCATCTCTCGGCTGCCTCTGGATGACTTCATGTGCTGGCTGCTCTCCATGGTGACAGAAGGGCCCTGACAGCTCCCACCTTACTTCCTGCCAGCTCAGCCACCTGTGTCAGGAGTACTGGTGTCCGAGCACCCGTACGCTGGCCATCCTTGGCCCCATGCCACCCTGACCAGTCATGCTGGTGGGAATGAGTGCTGGCAGGCCTGGTCACGTGTCACCAAAAATTTCCTGGCCTGAGGATGGGGGAGGGGCAGGTCAGTGATGGGCAGTCTGTCCCCAAGGAAGGGAGTGAGGATAGTCACTGGGGGAGTCACTCGCTCTCAAAGCATGCCAGGCAGAGCGGTGGAGGGCAGTGCAGTCCAACGGGTCAGGCCCCCTCAGCCAGCGAGCTGTGGTCTCTGTCACACGGCCTCTTGGCCCGTGGGAGCCTCGGTGGCGAGGCCCAGAGACAGCAAGGGCCCTGGGGCACTGCGGGGGCCCAGGCTTTCCTGGTGATCCAGCGCCCTCCCCTCCCACCATTCCCCGCAGCCTCCAAGAGGGACTGTCTGGAGCGGTTTGGGCCACAGACTCTGGAACGCATCACACGGGATGACGCGGCCATCTGCACCACCGAGTACTCGCGCATCGTGCCCCTGGAGAATGGAGAGGTGGGCCCAGGAGGGGCAGCGCGGTGCGGGGCTGGAGAAGGGAGAGGTGGGCCGGGGAAGGGCAGCGCAGTGCGGGGCTGGAGAAGGGAGAGGTGGGCCCAGGAGGGGCAGCGCCGTGCAGGGGCTGGGGGCTGGGGCCACACCGGCCTCACCGTGTACCGCCCACAGATTGTGGTGTCCCTGGTGAATGGGCGCCCAGGCGCCATGAATTTCTCCTACTCGCCGCTGCTGCGTGAGTTCACCAAGGCCACTAACGTCCGCCTGCGCTTCCTGCGCACCAACACGCTGCTGGGCCACCTCATGGGGAAGGCGCTGCGAGACCCCACGGTCACCCGCCGGGTGAGCTGCCCGTGGCCCAGACAGGGGAGGGGGACTGGCCGGGTGGACCCGGGCCTTGGGGTGGGTGAGGCCTGGCTGCCTGGCGCTCACGGGGCCTGCGGGTGCAGTATTATTACAGCATCAAGGACATCAGCATCGGAGGCCGCTGTGTCTGCCACGGCCACGCGGATGCCTGTGATGCCAAAGACCCCACAGACCCGTTCAGGTGAGGCCCCGTTCAGGGGAGGCCCCGTTCAGGTGCAGTTCTCAGCTCCCTGCCTGTCCTTGTCACCCCTGCCTAACCTGAGGGTGGGTGACCTGGTTCCATGGCCCACCACGACCTTGTTCTCTGTGTGACCTGAACTGACCACCATTGCGCGGGCCTCAGTTTCTCATCTGTGCGGCGATGTGGAGGCCAGGGCGTGTGCAGCCTCCCCAGGGTGCCCCATCTTGGTTTGGGGGAGCCTTGCTCTGCTGCTGGCAGAGGCAGGGCTCTCCGGACCCCAGGCCAGCTGGCCTTCCCACAATGGCGGACCCCCAGGGCCCTGTGAGGAGAGTCAGTGATGAGGATGACTGATTCCCGAGTCCACGTCTGCGTGCTCTGGAATGGACAGGTGCCCACTACTTGCCGAGGCAGCCCTCATTCACTTTAGGGGTGCCCACTCAGCTCCCCCAACCTTTCAGGACACAACAGACAACTTCCCTGCTGCCCCCAGCCCTCACCTTCACTCCAACCAAGCAGGGACCAAGGCCCAGGATGGGGATGGCGGGGTGGGGGTAGCCAAAACCCCACGTGTGCTATGCCCTGTGTGCCTGCTTTCGGGGGTAGCCAAGGGCACTACAGAGCGTCTACCTCCCGGGAACCCCGCACAGAACGGGCAGCGGCCCTGGTGCTGGCACCTGCACATTCCTGGGCCCCACCCAGAATCCTCAGTAAGGTAGGGCTGGGCTCGTTCTGCGGAGAAGCAGCCCTGGGGCACATCCGTCCTTTCCTCCCTCCCTCTGTTTCTTCAGCCAGCAGCTGTGTGTTGAGCGCCTAACACATGCTGGGCCCTTTTCCTGGGAATGGGAACCGAGGGTGGGACCCCAGTCCAGCCACAGGAGCACCTGTTCTGGGAGGCAGCTGGGAAACACGCAAACCAGTACTCAACCTGGAGGGTGTAACACCCAAGGGTGGCAGTGCAGGCATGGGGCTGGACAGAAGCCACTCAGAGTGGTGCAGCCGAGGCTGAGCGTGTGACGAGGCTCCTGGACCCCCAGCAGAGAGCCGCCAGGGCTCATCTAGTTCCTGAAACCGTGCAGCCCAACTTCATGCGCTTGGGTTTAGGACCTGCCCCCTGCCTTCTGCTGGGGTCTTACGGCTCTGTCCACGTTCCAGTTTACAGGGGAGGTGGGGAGGCGGGTGGAGCTCAGATAGGACAGGTTCACTTCCATTCCCATGGCCAGTGCCGAGCAGAGGCGGGAGCCCTGGCCCCTTCGGATGTGGCTGAGGGGAGGAGTGGCACAGTCTCCTGAGCTGGAGGACGTGGGCTGTTTTCCAGGAGCTGTGGGCCCTGGGGACCCACCCTGGGCACCTGTTGCTGCCAGCACGGCTTCAGGCTGCTGAGCTCCAGCAGAGCTAAGTTGTCCTGGGAAATTAAGTGCTAAGTGGGGACACAGCTCGTGACAGCTGGGAGTGGAACCCACCAGGCAGCCAAATGGGCCTCTGAGGAGAGGAAGGTTGCAGGAGCCGGGGCTTGCCTTGGCCTGCAGGGAAGACATTGCCATCCCTTGACTCACCACACCTGGGTGTGGACTGAGCTCAGCTCTCCCTGCAGGTGCAAACAGGGGTGACTGGGCATCTTTCCTGGAACCACAGACTCTGTTACCAGCACCTGGTCACACACCAGTGTCCCAAAACATCAGCCTGCCCGTGTCCTCCCTGCACCCTTTACCCACCACCCCACCTCTCCTCCAGGGAAGGGGACTCCATGTCTTCAGCCAGCTCCTCTCTGCCTCTTCACCTCCACCATCACCTTACTCCCACCCCAACCCCAACACCATCACCCCACCATCACCATCATCAACATTATCACCCCCACCATCGCCATCATCATCCCACCATCATCACCCCACCATCACCATCATCCCCCCACCATCACCACCATCACCGTCATCCCCCCACCATCATCACCATCACTGTCATCACCCCCACCATCACCACCATCACTGTCATCACCCCCACCATCACCACCACCATCGTCATCTCCCCCACCATCACCGTCATCCCCCCACCATCACCACCATCACCGTCATCCCTCCCACCATCACCATTATCGCCCCCACCATCACCACCATCACCGTCATGCCACCGTCATCCCCCCATCATCACCCCACCATCACCATCATCCCCCCATCATCACCATCATCACCCCATCCACCATCATCCCCCATCATCACCATCATCACCCCACCATCACCATCATCAACATTATCACCCCCACCATCACCATCACCATCCCACCATCACCACCCCACCATCATCGTCATCCCCCCACCATCACCACCATCACCGTCATCCCGCCCACCATCACCATCATCATCCCCTGGGTTGCTGCTTCTTCCTTCCTAAAATGTACCCTGTAATTTTTTTTATTCCATGACAGCCTATCCGGAATTGTCTGAAAACGGCTGTTTTGTCCTCCCTCTTGAATGATAGTTGAGCTGACTGTAGAATTCGTGGTTGACAACTGTGTCTCTCAGCACTTTGGAGAAATGATTTGACTGTCTCTTCACCTCTCCAGGTGCTTGGGAGAGTCCGTTGTCACTGCCGTTGCTAGTCCTCTGTGGGTCGTCTTCCTCTCCAGGATTTTTGTTGTTGTTGTTGTTGTTGTTGTTGTTGTTGAGATGGAGTCTCGCTCTGTCGCCCAGGCTGGAGTGGCCGGATCTCAGCTCACTGCAAGCTCCGCCTCCCGGGTTCACGCCATTCTCCTGCCTCAGCCTCCCGAGTAGCTGGGACTACAGGCGCCCGCCACCTCGCCCGGCTAGGTTTTTGTATTTTTTAGTAGAGACGGGGTTTCACCGGGTTAGCCAGGATGGTCTCGATCTCCTGACCTTGTGATCCACCCGTCTCGGCCTCCCAAAGTGCTGGGATTACAGGCTTGAGCCACCGCGCCCGGCCTTTTGTTTTTGTTTTTTGTTTTTTGTTTTTTTTTTGGTAGAGACGGGGTTTCACTTTGTTAGCCAGATGGTCTTGATCTCCTGACCTTGTGATCTGCCCACCTCGGCCTCCCAAAGTGCTGGGATTACAGGCGTGAGCCACCGTGCCCGGCCTATGTTTTAGATTTCTTTATGACCATTTTTAACATTTTTCTCTGGCTTCTACTAGATTACTCTGTTTTGTGAGGTTCTCAGGGCTCTTTTTGCTGACCTGCCACATTGTTTCTCTGCAAGATCTTTAGCAGGGTTTATCTCTGTGCTTCTGGTATGCCCTGGGATTGGGCCCTGCACAGCTCCTGCCACTGTGAGACCCTGTCCTCCACCGCCTCTTTCCCTGTGTGCATTACCCCAGCCTGGGAGAGCTGCGCCAGAGCCACTGGCTGGGGGATGCCGAGTCTGGGCCAGCAAACAGAGCAGCGGGGGGCCATGTCCCTTCGGCAAGCCAAGCCGTCGAGGGGATCCCAGGCCCCTTTGGGGAAGGGACTAAGTACCTGCCACCTGCCTCCAGGATGGGCCTGAGCCCCCCTCCTGTGTACCCCACAGGCTGCAGTGCACCTGCCAGCACAACACCTGCGGGGGCACCTGTGACCGCTGCTGCCCCGGCTTCAACCAGCAGCCGTGGAAGCCTGCGACTGCCAACAGTGCCAATGAGTGCCAGTGTGAGTACCTCCTCCCGCACCTGCGTGTCCTGCCCACACCCTGACCCATGAGAGTGCCCCGGTGCCTGGGCCCATGGAGGGCATGCTGACAGCTGGTCTCCCCTTTCTCTAGCCTGTAACTGCCACGGCCACGCCACCGACTGTTACTACGACCCTGAGGTGGACCGGCGCCGTGCCAGCCAGAGCCTGGATGGCACCTATCAGGGCGGGGGTGTCTGTATCGACTGCCAGGTGGGCTGGGCTAGAGGGCTGGGGATGGGCTGGCCCTGAGGCGAGGCAGGGACCTCCCTGGACTCAATGGCCCTTGCACCCCCAGCACCACACCACCGGCGTCAACTGTGAGCGCTGCCTGCCAGGCTTCTACCGCTCTCCTGACCACCCGCTTGACTCGCCCCACGTCTGCTGCCGTGAGTGGGCTCAGCTGGGCGAGTGTCCTGGGTCTCAGGGTCTGCCCGGAAAGAGGCGTTCTTGGGCCTTTGGGGCTGCTTTGGAGGGGATGTCCTGAGCTTCCAGGCCAGCCCAGGAAGGAACCTCCCAGGCCACGGGGCAGGTCCCCAGCCCTCATGTCCCCCCAGGGGGCCTGGCTGTAGCCCTCGTCCCCACGGCCCTGGCGGGGAGGTAGAGACTGCCCCATCTTGGAGCCCACCCCTTGGGTCCTGGTAGCTCCAGGCTTACCCGGCTCCTGCCCCTGCCCAGGCTGCAACTGCGAGTCCAACTTCACGGATGGCACCTGCGAGGACCTGACGGGTCGCTGCTACTGCCGGCCCAACTTCTCCGGGCAGCGGTGCGACGTGTGTGCCGAGGGCTTCACGGGCTTCCCAAGTTGCTACCGTGAGCACCTGCCAGGGGCGTCTGAACAGACACCACTGCCTGCTGGACTCCAGGAGCCCTGTGGGGGGTGGGGGATTCCCTGGGATGGACCCTGTTGTCCTGCCTGCATCTCCGATTGTGCTGAGAGACCGAGGGTGGCAGGGGGTGTGGGGTGCTGGGGTTCTAAGCAGACCTGGCCAACATGCGTGTCTCTTCCCCTCAGCGACACCCTCATCCTCCAATGACACCAGGGAGCAGGTGCTGCCAGCCGGCCAGATTGTGAGTAAGTGTCCTTGAGGCCCCCAGGTCCCTGACCTGCTCTGGAGCCATGGGGCAGCCTCACAGGAAGTTCGTGGAGAAAAGGAGAATTTTCATTTGGTCACTTTATTTTTGGTTTATTTCTTCTTATGCAAATTATGCATATTCACACTGGAAAACTTTCAGAAATATAGGTAGGCATAAAGCCAAAGAAAAAGGTTAGCCTGGGCAACATGGTGAAACCCTGTCTCTACAGAAAATACAAAAATTAGCTGGGCGTGGTGGTGTGTGTCTGTAGTTTGAGCTCCTCTGGAGACTGAGGTGGGAGGATTGCTTGAGCCTGGAAGGCTGAGGCTGCAGTGAGCCATGATGACACCACAGCACTCTGGCCTGGGCGACAGAGTGAGACCTTGTCTCAAAAAAGAAAAGTGGTGGCCGGGTGCGGTGGCTCACACCTGTAATCCCAGCACTTTGGGAGGCCAAGGCAGGTGGATCACCTGAGGTCAGGAGTTCAAGGCCAGCCTGGCCAACATGGTGAAACCCTGTCTCTACTAGCTGGGCATGGTGGCGGGCACCTGTAATCCCAGCTACTTGGGAGGCTGAGGCAGGAAAATTGCTTGAACCCGGGAGGCGGAGGTTGCAGTGAGCCAAGATTGCACCACTGCACCCCAGCCTGGGCAACAGAGCAAAACTCCATCTCAAAAAAAAAAAAAAAAAGTTATCCACAATTCCACCACCTCTACACAGCGCCTGAATGCTCTCTGTACACAAGCACTTCTCTTTCACAAGCACTTCTCTTTCACAAGCACTTCTCTTTCACAAGCGTCGTCATGCTCTGCACCCTGTCCTATGATTACGTCCCAGCCACAGTCCTGTAAACACATTGTCTTATGGTCCGTTTCATAGGGACTAATTAAGTATTTAAACAACCCCCAGTGGTTGGAAATCGAGGTTCTTTTTTAAAAAAATAATGCTGTGATAAAGCATTATTAATATGAGGTAGAAAACTGGCCGGGCACAGTGGCTCACACCTGTAATCCCAGCGCTATGGGAGGCCGAGGCGGATGGATCACCTGAGGTCAGGAGTTCAACACCAACCTGACCAACATGGTGAAACCCTGTCTCTACTAAAAATACAAAAATTAGCCAGGCGTGGTGGTGCGTGCACCTGTAATCCCAGCTACTTGGGGGACTGAGGCAGGAGAATTGCTTGAACCTGGTTGCAGTGAGCTGAGATCCACCATTGCACTCCAGCCTGGGTGACAGAGCAAGACTCCATCTCAAAAAATAAATTTTAAAAAAAGGCTGGGTGTGGTGGCTCATGCCTGTAATTCCAGCACTTTGGGAGGCCGAGGCGGGCAGATCACGAGGTCAGGAGATCGAGACCATCCTGGCTAACACAGTGAAACCCCGTCTCTACTAAAAATATGAAAAAAAATTAGCCGGGCATGGTGGCGGGTGCCTGTAGTCCCAGCTACTCGGGAGGCTGAGGCAGGAGAATGACATGAACCCGGGAGGCAGAGCTTGCAGTGAGCCGAGATCTCACCACTACACTCCAGCCTGGGCGACTCTGACACAAAAACAAACAAAAAAAACCAAATCAAAAAAAGTCAGCTGGGTGCAGTGGCTCGTGTAATCCCAGTACTTTTGGAGGCCGAGGCGGGCAGATCACGAAGTCAGGAGTTCGAGACCAGCCTGGCCAACATGGCAAAACCATGTCTCTACTAAAAATACAAAAATTAGCCGGACGTGGTGGCACGTGCCTGCAATCCCAGCTACTCTGGGACTGAGACAGAAGAATCGCTTGAACCCGGAAAGCAGAGGTTGCAGTGAGCTGAGATCGCGCCACTACACTCCAGCCTGGGCAACAAGAGCAAAAGTCTGTCTCAAAAAATAAATTAAAAAAAAAAAAAAGTCTCGGCGACAGAGCGAGACTCGTCTCAAAAAAAAAAAAAAAAAAAAAAAAAAAAAAAAAAAAGTCTCCCAGCATACAGTCACAGTCACAGAGCAGCACGGCACCTGCTGACCAAATCACTGCCATTACCGCATAGCAGAGTCTATCACTGTCAGCTTGATAAACAAAAAATATTCTCAAGTTAGAGCCACATTCCCTCGCTTTTTAGTGTTTCTGGAATTGGGACCCGTCTTTTGCTTGATGGCATATCACAGTCTAGTTGGTAGGGTTTTTCCCTTTCATGACAGGACGTAAAAGCATGGCATCTTTCCCAGCGAGTGGAGTCTTAGATTGTATTTGATATTACGTCTTTTTTTTTTTTTTTTGAGATGGGAGTTTCGCTCTCTTTGCCTAGGCTGGAATGCAATGGCGTGATCTTGGCTCACTACAACCTCTGCTTCCCAGGTTCAAGCAATTCTTCTGCCTCAGCCTCCCGAGTATCTGGGGTTACAGGCATGCACCACTACGCCCGGCTAATTTTGTATTTTTAGTAGAGACAGGGTTTCTCCATGTTGGTCAGGCTGGTCTCGAACTGACTTCAGGTTATCCGCCCACCTTGGCATCCCAAAGTGCTGGGATTACAGGCATGAGCCACCGCGCCTGGCACGATATTGCGTCGTTTTTAGCTGCACTTTGACTACTCTGTAAGCTTGAATCTTCTTGACTTTTCTACTGCTTTGTTTTTTGTTTTTTTGGTTTTTTTTGATGGAGTTTCGCTCTTGTTGCCCAGGCTGGAGTGCAATGCTGCAATCTCAGCTCACCGCAACCTCTGCCCCCGAGTTCAAGTGATTCTCCTGCCTCAGCTTCCCAAGTAGCTGGGATTACAGGCATGCGCCACCATGCCTGGCTAATTTTTGTATTTTTAGTGGATACAGGTTTTCTCCATGTTGGTCAGGCTGGTTTGGAACTCCTGACATCAAGAGATCTGCCCACCTCGGCCTCCCAAAGTGTTGGGATTACAGGCGTGAGCCTCTGCGCCTGGCCTGTATCACCTATTTCTTTTTTTTTTTTTTTTTTTTTTTTTTTTGAGACGGAGTCTCACGCTGTCACCCAGGCTGGAGTGCAGTGGCCGGATCTCAGCTCACTGCAAGCTCCGCCTCCCGGGTTCACGCCATTCTCCTGCCTCCACCTCCCGAGTAGCTGGGACTACAGGCGTCCGCCACCTCGGCCGGCTAGTTTTTTGTATTTTTTAGTAGAGACGGGGTTTCACCATGTTAGCCAGGATGGTCTCGATCTCCTGACCTCGTGATCTGCCCGTCTCGGCCTCCCAAAGTGCTGGGATTACAGGCTTGAGCCACCGCGCCCGGCCTTGTATCACCTATTTCTTATAAGATTTGTGTTTTTCTCCTGATGGGTCATTTGCTCCTTATTTTTTGGGGAGCTTTTTTCTGTGTTCTGATTTTGTAAATTTTTAGGTGAATCTGCCCATGTTGTTCTACTGAATCTCTGGTTGGGTCGGATTTAGATTCTGCTCCCTTACCCAGGAATTGTCTTGTCTGCTGGTTCTGTGATGGTTTTCTTTTTTACGTGAAAATGTTTAGTTTTTCATCAGTTGTGTAAACCAGGGGTCAACAAACTGTCTGAAAAGGTCCAGACGGTAAATGTCATAGACTCAGGGCTGTGTGATCCCTGTGGGGAAACTCCTCAGCTCTACCATTGCCAGCTGTAGCTTGCAAGCAGCCATAGAACATGTATTCACCAGTGGGCTTGGTGGCGTTCCAATACAACTTTATTTACAAAAGCGAGCGAGCGAGGAGTCCATAGACTAGTTTGCTAATCCCTGGTGTAAACTACTGACAATGTATCTTTTCGCTACTGGGCCATGGTAAGCACCTGTGACTGTAAGTAATTACCTGTGACTGTATAGTATTCACTTTCAATGTGTTCATTACAATGAACTGTATTGTCTTTCCTAACGGGGACACAGTGTTGAACATAAATATTTTATTTTGTCTAAATTCACAAGTGAGATTGTTTTGGTTTTGAAAAATACTTGGGAAATGATCCACACTTTTTTATGTTCCCGATCAGTTTAAAAATCACAGAAATTACCTACTTGTTAAAAGTCTGGTCAAACTTACAAAACCCTTTGGTCCTGATACCTGTTTTTCAACAGATATCTTAGATTAAGGTTTTAATGTATTCTGTGGCTATTGTATTCAGTTTTCTACCTCATCTTTTTTTTTTTTTTTTTGGAGACAGAGTCTCACTCTGTCACCAGGCTGGAGTGCAGTTGCGCAGTCTTGGCTCACTGCAACCTCCGCCTCCCGGGTTCAAGTGATTCTCCCGCCTCAGCCTCCCGAGTAGCTGGGATTACAGGTGCCCGCCACCACGCCTGGCCAATTTTTTGTATTTTTAGTAGAGACGGGATTTCACCATGTTGGCCAGGCTGGTCTCAAACTCTGACCACAAGTGATCCACCTGCCTCAGCCTCCCAAAGTACTGGCAATACAAGCGTGTGCCACCATGCCCAGCCATTTTTCTACCTCATCTTAAGTCAGGTTTGATTATTTGTATTAGCAAATTGTGTATTTTGTTTTGATTTTTAAATGTATTGACACAAAGTTACGCACAGTGGCCTGTTGTAAAGTTAAAATTTCTGTTCATTTCTGTTCTTGTCTATTTTTATTTTTATTTTCTTTCTTTCTTTCTTTTTTTTTTTTTTTTTTGATCGAACAGACCTAACAGAGGTTCGTTGAGTTTATTGGTCTGTTCGAAGTACAGCTGCAGTTCTCTTGCTAAGACCTGCTGAGGTTTTTCTTTCTTTAGTTGGGAGGAGAGATTTTCCTTTCTAATATTCAGTCTCTTTAATCCACTTTCTTTGATTTATTCCTTTTTTTTTTAATAGCTTCTTGAGTTGTTATTTTTAGTCTGTCTTCATTCCCAACAAAAAGACTTAAAGCGGTGGTTCTCAGCCAGTGGTGACTTTGATCCACAGGAAGCATTTGATGATGTCGGGAGACGTTTTTGGTTGTGATGATTGATGGATGTAACTGATCCAGTGGGTAGAGGCGAGGGATGCTGCGAGCATCCTACAACCCGGGACCACTCCTGCACACAGAACGAAGAGTTATCCAGCCCAGAATGTCCACAGTCCTGAGGCTGGGAAACTTAAGTTTAAAGCTATAAATTTCCCTCAGAGTATAGCTTTGGCTAGGTTTCTTGTAGTTCGAGATGTGGGGTGTCCTCATTGCTGGTTTTTTTTTTTAAATAGTCTATCATTTGGGGTTTTATTTTCTTTCGCCCTGTCACTGTTGAAGGTGCTGAGGTTTCCCTCCTGTCCTTTGCGTGGCGTTCAGTTCTGGTTTTGCTGCCTTGTGGTTAGACTTGGCACACTGGCAGTTTCTGCCTGTGTCTTTGGAATTTGAGATTTTCTTCGTTTCTAACCTAGAATGTGATGACTTTTTAAATTTTTATTTATTTATTCATTTATTTTGACACAGAGTCTCTGTTGCCTAGGCTGGCGTTCAGTTGCACAATCTTGGCTCACTGCAACCTCTGCCTCCTAGGTTCAAGCGATTCTCCTGCCTCAGCCTCCTGAGTAGCTGGGATTGATTACAGGCGCCCGCCACCACACCTGGGTAGATTTTGTATTTTTAGTAGAGATGGGGTTTTACTGTGTTGGCCAGGCTGGTCTCGAACTCCTGACCTCAGGTGATCCACCCACCACAGCCTCCCAAAGTGCTGGGATTACAGGCGTGAGCCACTGCACCTGGCAGTTTCTGCCTTTTGTCTTTTGGAATTTGAGATTTTCTTTGTTTCTAATCTAGAGCGTGACCACTTTTCGATTGTTCCAGGAACACTGGACAGGAACGTGTGTTCTCTATGAAGTACCGATTTGGCATGTTAAAGCAGGCTTGTGGCCAGGCACAGTGGCTCACGCCTGTAATCCCAGCACTTTGGGAGGCTGAGGTGGGAAGATCACCTGAGGTCAGGAGTTTGAGACGAGCCTGACCAACATGGAGAAACCCCGTCTCTACTAAAAATACAAAATTAGCCGTGCACAGTGGCGCATGACTGTAATACCAGCTACTCAGGAGGCTGAGGCAGGAGAATGGCTTGAACCTGGGAGGTAGAGTTTGAGGTGGAGCCAAGATGGCACCATTACACTCTAGCCTAGGCAACAAGAGCAAAACTCCATCTCAAAAAAACAAAGCAGGCTTGTTCATTATGCTCTTCAAACCCACAGTAGCCATGCTTAATTTCTGTCCCTCTGAGCGGTCCCGTTCTAACTATGTATCTCCATCAGTCTTTGTCTCTCTCTGACTCGGTTTTGCCAAATTCTCCTTGCCGTTTTATAGTTTTAGCTTCCCTCACCCCCGGGACACCGGCACGTTACCTGCTCCTAGAGGTTCATTTCTGCTGCCCCACTGGGTGGCGTGCCCGAGCTTCCCTCTGTCTCATTACCACCGTGCCTTCCATCCTCACTCACCTCCGTGTCTGCGTCCGCCCCAGCTCCCTGCACAGAGCTCTCGGTTTACCACCTGAGGCGTTGGTTTAAGGTACTCTCTTTCAAGAGCCTATGACTGGAGTTTCCTCTTGGTCACGCTGACGTCTTCGGTTTTTATCTTCTGAAGGAGACAGCCCAGCCCCACGATCCTCCTTGCCGCTGTCAGTTCGGGCTTGCGCCTGCCCTCTTATCATTCATTTCTCCTTTTCTGCTGAAATGTTTCTTTTCCTGACTCTCACAAGTTAGAGCAAGAAAATGTGCTTTGATTTTGGTGCGTTTGTTTGTTTTTGCTACTGTTTCCTCTCTGGGGAGAGTTTGCAAGCTCTCTGTGTTCTGGTCTGACCAATGGTTACTCTTACACTTCTGACAAGTATTGAACCTTTATTTTTGTATCAGTACAAAAACCGAAGCATGTTCACAACTCTCCTTTCATGCCTAAGACATTTGATGCATTCTTTCTATCTTCTTCTCAACCCCCGATATTGTTTCTAAAGAAACTATAATTTGCTTTGCAGCTTGGTTTGATTTGTTTGTATTTTCTCTTTGTGTTAATGCTTGCAGCTAACTTGGAATCTACATAACAAATAACTCATTAAGCGTTTTGATAGTTGGCCTGACTTTGTTGCATGCCACTGTTTTCCCAAACACGCCTCTCCCTTATTGGGATTTTTATTCTTTTATTTTCTAATTACTGTCGTGTAAAAGTGTAAGAAAATGAGTTTGTGGAGAGGAAAGGTTTGCCAGGAGGGGCGTACTGGGGTCTGCAGGGCATCTGAGACTCCCCTGCCTGTCCCCACCCTCCAGATTGTGACTGCAGTGCGGCAGGGACCCAGGGCAACGCCTGCCGGAAGGACCCGAGAGTGGGGCGCTGTGTGTGCAAACCCAACTTCCAAGGCACCCATTGTGAGCTCTGCGTGCCAGGGTTCTATGGCCCCGGCTGCCAGCGTGAGTCCCCTGTCCCCGCTGAACCTCCACCTGCTCTCGAGGCGGACACGAGGGGCCTGGTGACTCTAACCAAGCATGTGGGCCGCCCTTCCCTGCAGCCTGCCAGTGTTCCAGCCCTGGAGTGGCCGATGACCGCTGTGACCCTGACACAGGCCGGTGCAGGTGCCGAGAGGGCTTCGAGGGGGCCACATGTGATCGCTGTGCCCCTGGCTACTTCCGCTTCCCTCTCTGCCAGTGTGAGTGGCACCTCTCCCTGTGGGCACGGGTAGGGGAGGCCCGTGGGCCTGGCCTACCATGACACCTGCTCCACTCTGCAGTGTGCGGCTGCAGCCCTGCAGGAACCCTGCCCGAGGGCTGCGACGAGGCCGGCCGCTGCCCATGCCAGCCTGGGTTTGCTGGACCTCATTGTGACCAGTGCCACCCTGGCTACCACGGTTTCCCCAACTGCCAACGTGAGCAGAGGGCCAGGGCAGGAAGGGGCTCTGCCACCCACATGACGCCAGGGCCTGACCCCATTGTTCCCCCGCAGCGTGCACCTGCGATCCCCGGGGAGCCCTGGACCAGCTCTGCGGGGCAGGAGGTTTGTGCCGCTGCCGCCCCGGCTACACAGGCACCGCCTGCCAGGAATGCAGCCCCGGCTTCCATGGCTTCCCCAGCTGTGTCCGTGAGTGCCTAGGGAGGAAGCGGGGGGAGGCGGGTGCGGTCTCCACTGCATGCCCACAACTATCCTTGTCCGCAGCCTGCCACTGCTCTGCCGAAGGCTCCCTGCACGCAGCCTGCGACCCCCGGAGTGGGCAATGCAGCTGCCGGCCCCGCGTGACGGGGCTGCGGTGTGACACATGTGTGCCAGGTGCCTACAACTTCCCTTACTGCGAAGGTGAGTGGGCAGGTGGCTGTGTGCACCAGGTGCCGGGCCTGTTTGTGGGTCTATGTGCTGTTCACATGCTGCCTACCTTCCTGTGATGCTGTTCACATGCATCTATGTGCTGCGTGTACTGCGACTACGTCCCCATGCTGTGTTCGTACCTTGTTCAGATGCTGTGCGGGAGTGTCTGTGTACTGCCCGTGTCTGCGTGCTGTGCATCTCCTCTCGTGTCTTGTGAGTGTGGGTGCGTGTGTTGTGTTTTGTAAGTGTGGGTACGTGTGTCATGTGTCACGTAAGGGTGTGCGTGTCACGTGTCTCGTAAGTGTGGGTGCGTGTCGCGTAAGTGGGTGCATGTGTTGTGTGTCGCATAAGTGGGTGTGCGTGTCGCGTAAGTGGGTTTGTGTGTCGCGTAAGTGTGGGTGCATGTGTTGTGTGTTGCATAAGTGGGGGCATGTGTCGTGAGGCGCGTAAGTCTGTGTGTGTATGTCGCTTAAGTGGGTGTGCGTGGTGTGTGTCGTGTGGGTGTGTGTCGCATAAGTGGGTGTGTGTGTCATGTAAGTGTGGGTGCATGTGTTGCATGTCGCATAAGTGTGGGTGCATGTGTTGCGTAAGTGTGAGTGTGTGTTGCGTAAGTGGGTTTGTGTGTTGCATAAGTGTGGGTGCACATGTCATGTGTTGCCTAAGTGGGTTTGTGTGTCGCATAAGTGGGTGTGCGTGTTGCGTGTCATGTAAGTGTGGGTGCACGTGTCACGTGTTGCCTAAGTGGGTTTGTGTGTCGTGTAAGTGGGTGCACGTGTCACGTTTCTCGTAAGTGTGGGTGTGCATGTTCATGTCCTTTCACAGGTGTGTGCATGTGTTGGTACACGTGTAGTAGGCACGTTTTCACGTGCGTTTGTGTGCTTGTTCAGATGTGTGTCACACACTGTGTGTGGAATGTCCACGGGTATCCACGTTTGCATGCGTGTCCATGAGCAGGTGCTGTGTGGTGGGGTGGCACGTCTGTTGCTGCAGAGGGAGCAGGGAGATGTGTGTTTTCAGGCCGTCCATGTGGATGAGGGGCACCTGTGCTGGTCCTCAGCTCCCGTGGGACTGTGGGTTCTGGCTGGGCCTGGGACGCCCTTGGCCTTCAGGGTCGGTCACCAGGGAATGACCAAGGCCTGGTCCTCTCTTCACAGCTGGCTCTTGCCATCCTGCTGGTCTGGCTCTGGTGGATCCTGCCCTTCCTGAGGTGAGCCCAAATCTGCTCGTGTGTGGGAGGTGGGTGGGGACACAGGTCAAGCTAAAAGTCCCCAGCCGGGTGAGACCAGGGCTTCCTGCCTGCTGCTCAGTTGCCATGGCAACCCCAGGGCCTGTCTGCTGCTTAGGCTGGTCCTCTGCCCCCACTGCAGGTGACTCCTGTGAGTGGGGCGGGGGCAGGTGAGGGCTCTCAGCCCTTACTACCCCTTCTCTGGGCTCTATGGCTGAGGTTTGTGGGTGGGAGAGCAGGGAGCCACTCTGACCTGCCGTCTTGTCCTCTCCCAGGCACAGGCTCCCTGTGTGTGCCGGGCTAACGTGGAGGGGCCAAGCTGTGACCGCTGCAAACCTGGGTTCTGGGGACTAAGCCCCAGCAACCCCGAGGGCTGCACCCGTGAGTGTGTCCTGGAGGGAGTATTGGGGTATAGGGGTTCCTTGGGGGACTGTACCCGTGAGTGTATCCTGGAGGGAGTGTTGGGGTACAGGGGTTCCTGGGGAGGCTAGAGTCCCTGAGTATGCTCTAGAGGCAGTGGTGGGGTATGGGGTTCCTCGGGGGATTGTACCCATGAGTGTGCCCTGAAGGGAAGTGTGTGGGGTTCCTCAGGGGAGTGCAAGTGTGCCCTGAGGGAGTATTGGGGTTCGGGGGTTCCTTGGGCTAGAGCCTATGAGTGTGCCCTAAAAGGGAGTATTGGGGTATGGGGGTTCCTCAGGGGGGCTGCACCCATGAGTGTACCCTAGAGGGAGTGTTGGGGTATGGGGTTTCTTTGGGGGGCTGCAGCCCATGAGTGTGCTCTGGAGGGGTGTTAGTGCATGGGGGTTCCTCGGGGGGCTGGAGCCAGGCTCTCCTGCCCCACCAAGCGTCTGAGTCCCGCTCTGCTCTCCCCAGGCTGCAGCTGCGACCCCAGGGGCACGCTGGGTGGAGTTGCTGAGTGCCAGCCAGTGAGTCTGAGGACCAAGGTGTGGGGGATTTGGGGGCACGCGGATCAGGACCCTCCCCTGCCCCACTTCACCACCTCCTTTGGCCCCCAGGGCACCGGCCAATGCTTCTGCAAGCCCCACGTGTGTGGCCAGGCCTGCGCAGCCTGCAAGGACGGCTTCTTTGGACTGGATCAGGCTGACTATTTCGGCTGCCGCAGTGAGTGCCTCCTCGCTCATCCCGGACCACGGCCCTGCCTCCCTCAGTTCATGCTGGGGAACCCGAGGCCTGGAGGGGCGAGTGCAGCCTGGGCAGCATGAGGCCTGGGTGATGAATGGCTGCCCCTTGGTGCCAGCCTGTGCCAGGGTGCGGGAGAGGGGGCGCAGCTCCCACCCAGATGCGTGGCTTCCTCTCCCCTGTCCTGCACCCGGGCAGATGACACTAACAGATCCCAGCGCCCCCACCCTCGCCCTTGCCCTCGCCCTCACCCTGGCCCTCTGGACTCTCCATCGTCCGGAGAGCCCCAGGCAGGCTTCTCAGTCTGGCTGTGAGGGGCCCCTGAGGCTGGTGGGGGCTGGGCAGCCTCTCACCTCCCACCTTCTCCCCGCAGGCTGCCGGTGTGACGCTGGCGGTGCCCTGGGGCAGAGCTGTGAACCGAGGACGGGTGCCTGCCGCTGCCGCCCCAACACCCAGGGCCCCACCTGCAGCCGGTGGGTACCCCTTCCGCACTGGATGGCGGGGAGCGGGGCAGGCAGCTTATCCTCCAGGCCCCTCTGTGTCCCTCACCATGGGCCCACGTGAGGCCTTGCCCCTTCTGGAGATTCGGGGCCGCTGTGCAGGGCCAGGTGGGATAGCCAGGCTGCACCTAACCAGCCCCTGCTGTGGCCAGGCCTGTGAGGGACCACTACCTCCCGGACCTGCACCACCTGCGCCTGGAGCTGGAGGAGGCCGCCACACCTGAGGGTCACGCTGTGCGCTTTGGCTTCAACCCCCTTGAGTTCGAGAACTTCAGCTGGAGGGGCTACGCGCAAATGGCACCTGTCCAGGTGGGCGCTGTGCCCCCCTCCCAGGCTCAGCATAGACGTGGAGCCAGGCGTGGCTGGCAGGGAGGGGTGGGCAGGCCCCTTGAAGGCCCGGACCTCAGGCTGGTGGTGGTCAGGGAGAGTGACCTGACACTCCACGCCCACCCAGCCCAGGATCGTGGCCAGGCTGAACCTGACCTCCCCCGACCTTTTCTGGCTTATCTTCCGATACGTCAACCGGGGGGCCGTGAGTGTGAGCGGGCGAGTCTCTGTGAGAGAGGAGGGCAGGTTGGCCGCCTGCGCCAACTGTGAGTGGGGGTCCCTGGGCCGCAGCCCCTGCCCCGCCCTGCCCCACCCTGCCCTGCTCTACCCTGCCCTACCCAGCCCAGCCCACTCCCAAGCCCCGCCACCTTCCTCTGGCTCATGTAGGTGGTAGGACCAGCCTATCCCCCACCCTGTAGGGGTGTAGCCTGGGGTGGCCCCAAGGGCTGGGCTCAGGAGTCTCACTCCCTACCTCCCCCAGGCACAGCGCAGAGCCAGCCCGTGGCCTTCCCGCCCAGCACAGAACCTGCCTTCGTCACCGTGCCCCAGAGGGGCTTCGGAGAGCCCTTCGTGCTGAACCCTGGCACCTGGGCCTTGCTTGTGGAGGCTGAGGGGGTGCTCCTGGTGAGGCAGGGGCTGGAGTGAGGGCTGGGAGCAGGGGCAGGGGCAGGGGCAGGGGCAGGGGCAGGGGCAGGGGGTGGGGCCCACCACTCTTAGCGCTACCTCTACCCTGCAGGACTACGTGGTTCTGCTGCCTAGCGCATACTACGAGGCGGCACTCCTGCAGCTGCGGGTGACCGAGGCCTGCACGTACCGCCCCTCTACCCAGCAGTCTGGCGACAAGTGAGGTTCACGCGTGCGGTGGGACCGGGGTCAGGGCTGCCTGGACCCCCACTGTGCCTGGCTTCCCCTACTCAGGCTCTCTGGGGACCTGGGGCTGACCACAGCCTGTGTCCCCCCAGCTGCCTCCTCTACACACACCTCCCCCTGGATGGCTTCCCCTCGGCCGCGGGGTTGGAGGCCCTGTGTCGCCAGGACAACAGCCTGCCCCGGCCCTGCCCCACGGAGCAGCTCAGCCCATCGCACCCACCACTGGTCACCTGCACAGGCAGTGATGTGAGTGTCCTGGGACCCCACGGAGCAATGGGTGTTGTAGGACCTTGGCCCAGGGGCTGGGGGTCCTGTGGCGGTGGCAGGTTATAGGAGCAGGGCACTGCCTAAGGCAATGGAGCCCAGCACCCAGGCAGGGCGCCCCTTCCTCCTGCCTCCTGCGTGTGTGACCTCGGTGCTTGTCTGTACATGGGGTCGGCTGTGGCCTCTACATACAGCCCAGCCCCCACCACTTGCCTGGAGCTGTCCCATCGCCAGGGCGGGACTCGGCTGAGGGGCAGGCCCTGAGGTCAGGGAGGTGCTGGAGTAGGAGGGGAGGGAGGTGGGAAGGGTGAAGGGTTGTGGGCCGCCCGTCACCCTGCCCTCCCTGCAGGTGGATGTCCAGCTTCAGGTGGCAGTGCCACAGCCGGGCCGCTATGCCCTGGTGGTGGAGTATGCCAATGAGGATGCCCGCCAGGAGGTGGGTGTGGCCATGCACACCCCACAGCGGGCGCCCCAGCAGGGGCTGCTCTCCCTGCACCCCTGCCTGTACAGGTGAGTAGGAGCAGGTGGGGCTGGAGTAAGGGCACGCCCGGGGCTGCCCCACCTGCTGACCACCCTCCCCCCACAGCACCCTGTGCCGGGGCACTGCCCGGGATACCCAGGACCGCCTGGCCGTCTTCCACCTGGACTCAGAGGCCAACGTGAGGCTCACAGCTGAGCAGGCGCACTTCTACCTGGTAAAGACCCCTCAGACCCCCACCCCGAGGGGTCAGCTGCTTTCAGAAGATTTGAAACATGCATGAGAGGGGAGAGGACAGTTGGGGTCCCAGGTCCCCATGGCAGCTGCACCCACTCGTGCCCAGCATGTTTCTTCTGGAACCCCTCCTGCAAGTGCTTTGTGGATTCAGTCCCTTTTGATGTCCCCCCGAGCTGTTCCATGTGCTCAGGAAAGAACCTGCAGTCACAGCTCCCAGGCCCAGGAACAACGTGGCCCCACTCTAGATGCCCCCAGGTCCCAGGGCAGCCACCTCCTGGCACAGACGGTGTTGGTTGGTTGCCTGTTCTGGAACTTTCTTTTTTGTTTTTTGTTTTTTGAGATGGAGTCTTGCTCTGTCGCCCAGGCTGGAGTGCAATGGCAAGATCTTGGCTCACTGCAACCTCCGCCTCCTGGGTTCGAGCGATTCTCGTGCCTCAGTCTCCCAAGTACCTGGGGCTATAGGCACTCACCACCACACCCAGCTAATTTTTGTATTTTTAGGAGAGATGGGGTTTCACCATATTGGCTAGGCTGGTCTCGAGCTCCCGACCTCAGGTGATCTGCTCACTTGGGCTTCCCAGAATACTGAGATTACAGTCAGGAGCCACAGCACCTGGCCTGGAGCTCTCTATAAATGCCACACAACATGTTCTGTGCAGCCGCATCTCCCACTGTTGTGTCTGCGGATAAGTTGCTGTGTTCCGAGACACCAACCTTGCGTGGCCGCACGGGGAGGGAGCACCCATTCGCGGCTTGTGCCTACTGAGCGCCGGCCTGGGCTGGGTCCTGGGAGAGCTAGGCCTGTCCCGGCCTGGTGGCACCGAGCAGCACTTGAGATAAGGGTGGGGGAACAGTGGTGGATGGGAGGACGAGGGGGAGGAAGAGGGCCGTGGGAGGAGCCACATAGGCCTGTTTGCCCAGGAACTGGCCCACACGCTGGTTCAGGGCTGGGGTTTGTGCAGCCGGAACAGGGGCAAGGGCTTCTTGCAAAGAGCAGGGCTCGGTCAGGTGCCTGGGTTTGCAGTTTCCTGGGTCTGAGTTGTGTGACCGGCCCCCGCGTTGTACCGCCTGCGCTCCCCATCCTCCCCGCCCCACGGGCATTGCAGCATTTCGTTCCTCTGCCTGTAGCACGGGGTCACTCTGGTGCCCATGGAGGAGTTCAGCCCGGAGTTCGTGGAGCCCCGGGTCCGCTGCATCAGCAGCCACGGAGCCTTTGGTCCCAGCAGGTAGTGGGGCTGGGAGGGGTGTGGCCAAGGGCCCAGTGGCAGGGCTGGCTCTGACTCACCCACTGCTCTCACCAGTGCCGCCTGTCTGCCCTCGCGCTTCCCAAAGCCGCCCCAGCCCATCATCCTCAGGGACTGCCAGGTGATCCCGCTGCCGCCCGGTCTCCCGCTGACCCAGGCACAGGACCTCATGCCAGCCACGTCCCCAACTGGACCCCAGCCTCGGCCCCCCACCGCCGTGGACCCTGATGTGGAGCCCACTTTGCTGCGTGAGCCCCAGGTGAGGGCCACGGTCTCTAGAGGGACGGGGGTGTCAGGGCAGGACTCTGGGCCCCAACCCAGGGCAGGTGGTCCAGGGGGCAGCCGGGGCTCACAGCTCAGCCTGCTCACTGGGGCCCATCCCTGCAGGCCACCGTGGTCTTCACCACCCATGTGCCCACGCTGGGCCGCTACGCCTTCCTGCTGCACGGCTACCAGCCAGCCCACCCCACCTTCCCCGTGGAAGTCCTCATCAACGCCGGCCGCGTGTGGCAGGGTGAGTGTCTGGGGTGTGGGCTGGAGGGGCTACCACACACCATGAGGCTGGAACGCCTGCGCCACAGCGTGACCTGTGCTGCCTGCTTTGAGCGACAGGCAACATGATCCTATCCTGCTGTCAGTTCTCAAACTAGCTGCCCTTGCAGGCTGCAGCCCCCACCCGTCCCCCACATTCCCGGAAAAGCCTGGGTCTCGCCTCTGTCTCGTGCGCTGGGAAGCCCCGTTGTGCTCCATGGCACGTGGCGAATTGAGGACTTGCCCCAGTATGTCGCTGGCAGCACGTGCGGCCCTGTGTCTGTCTGGTTCCTGGCTTGGCCAAGCCTGGGGTCCCACACATGGAGTTGACCGGCACCTAGAGGTGTCCTGCGTGACATCTGTAGGTCATGACGCGGCCAACCCCCCTGACATGAGGAGCTGGCCTTGCAGACCTCTTGGGCACGTCCCATGCCTGTGGCCGTTGGCTAGCGGGCACTCCTTGGCTGCCCAGACGCTGCCGTCTTCGACCCTCTGGGTGTGTTGGAGGCACTGGAGATGGGCGCCTGACCCTGTCTTTCTCCCCCACCCAGGCCATGCCAACGCCAGCTTCTGTCCACATGGCTACGGCTGCCGCACCCTGGTGGTGTGTGAGGGCCAGGCCCTGCTGGACGTGACCCACAGCGAGCTCACTGTGACTGTGCGTGTGCCCGAGGGCCGCTGGCTCTGGCTGGTGAGTCCCAGCTGGTGTCCTGCTCAGGCACCAGCTGTTCTTATACTTGTCATACCACTCTGGTACACTTGGGCTGGGTCCGTCCTGGGCCTGCTGAGGCCCAGCCTTGTGCCCAGCAAAGCAGCTCCTGCCTTTGGGGACCTCCTGATCCACCTTGTGAGGCTCCAGAGGGGCCCTGGACCCTGCACCCTGCAACCTGCTGGTCAGGGTGGCCTTCCTGGAGGAGGTGGGGCCTCCAGGAGGGAGAGGGAGGAGGAAGGCGTGACCAGCAGAGATGTGGGAGGAGGAAGGCGTGACCAGCAGAGACCAGGAGGTCTCATCAATGCTGCTGCCTCCTCACACCCCCAAAGCTGCTGTTTGGCTTGGAGTGGCCTCCCCTGAGCAGCCAGGGCCTGGGGCTGGGTTGTGCTGCTGCTGCCGGGACTCTGAGCTGCCTGCAGGACCCTGGTCCTAGCCAGCCTCTGGGGGCCTCCCCGCTGCAGGCTTTGGGCCCACGGGAGAGTGACCAGGCCTCACCCCCTAGGATTATGTCCTCGTGGTCCCTGAGAATGTCTACAGCTTTGGCTACCTCCGGGAGGAGCCCCTGGACAAATCCTATGACTTCATCAGCCACTGTGCAGCCCAGGGCTACCACATCAGGTGAGCTGGGCTCTGGCAGGTCAGGGGTCCAGGGTGGGGGTCTGGGCCGGCAGCCAGCCTCACCGCTCGCCCCTCCATGTAGCCCCGGCAGCTCATCCCTGTTCTGCCGAAATGCTGCTGCCTCCCTCTCCCTCTTCTATAACAACGGAGCCCGGCCATGTGGCTGCCACGAAGTAGGTGCTACAGGCCCCACGTGTGAGCCCTTCGGGGGCCAGTGTCCCTGCCGTGCCCACGTCATTGGCCGTGACTGCTCCCGCTGCGCCACCGGATACTGGGGCTTCCCCAACTGCAGGCGTGAGTACCCCAGTCCTTGGGTGCCCAGTGGCGAGGAGTTGGTGCTAGAGCCCAAGGGGGATGGGTCGACCAGAAAGCAAGGCACAGAGGTCAGGAGAATGTTCTAGAGCCTGGCAGGGCAGCATTGCTGCCCCGTCTGCAGGCCTGGGCCCAGGACTCCAGCTTGTGGGCTGTGCAGAAGGTTTCAGGGACTAGCAGGTGGTCCACAGTCCCTGACGACATTGATTCTGAGCAGCTGCCCCCACGTCAGGAGCTGTCCAAGGCTCAGCTCCCAGGGCAGGGGTCCCTGTTCTTGTCCCCCGCCCCTGCCACACCGCCACATCCCCTAGGGCTGCATTCAGAGCCTCTGAGAGGGTCGGGACTGGGAAGAGGGGTCAGCAAACCCTGTGCCCGTCCCACAGCCTGTGACTGCGGCGCCCGCCTCTGTGACGAGCTCACGGGCCAGTGCATCTGCCCACCACGCACCGTCCCGCCTGAGTGCCTGCTGTGCCAGCCCCAGACCTTTGGCTGCCACCCCCTGGTCGGCTGTGAGGAGTGTAACTGCTCAGGGCCCGGTGTCCAGGAGCTCACAGACCCTACCTGTGACACAGACAGCGGCCAGTGCAAGTGAGAGCCCAGAGCGGGATCACCGTGGCCCCTGGCAGCCTTAAGGACAGCATTTCCTTGCGCCAGCAGGTCCTGGCCCCCGCCCTGCTCCCATTCGTGCTCCCTGGGTGCAGCAGTGCCCTCTCCTCCACTTCCGGGAGGATGCTGCCTGGGTGGGGGGTGCCTACAAGGTCTCACTTTGGTGTGAGTGACCGGGAGTGGAGGGGGCTCAGCTCCTGTCCCTGCCGCAGGTGCAGACCCAACGTGACCGGGCGTCGCTGTGATACCTGCTCTCCGGGCTTCCATGGCTACCCCCACTGCCGCCCCTGTGACTGTCACGAGGCGGGCACTGCGCCTGGTGTGTGTGACCCCCTCACAGGACAGTGCTACTGTAAGGTGAGTGAGGGCTGGGCCCGGATCTGGCCTCTCGCTCCGGCCTCAGCTGAAACAGTGTCCTTATGGGCCTTTCTGGGCAGCTGGGGCTTCCCGGAAGCTTTTGGGAGAGTCATCCCCACGGGCAAGTGGTTACCAGGAACCTGGGGTCATGTACCTGGCACCTGCCAACCACCTTCACTGTCCTCTCATCCCTAGGAGAATGTGCAGGGCCCCAGATGTGACCAGTGCAGCCTTGGGACCTTCTCCCTGGATGCTGCCAACCCCAAAGGTTGCACCCGCTGCTTCTGTTTTGGGGCCACAGAGCGCTGCCGGAGCTCGTCCTACACCCGCCAGGAGGTGCGCCTGTAGGACTGAGGGCAGCGCCTTCTCGGGGAGGGTGTATGTGGGACTGGACGCAAGATGGGGCCCTGTGATGTGTGGGCATCCACCCGTGTGCACCCACATGTATGTGCCCACAGTTCGTGGACATGGAGGGCTGGGTGCTGCTGAGCACTGACCGGCAGGTGGTGCCCCACGAGCGGCGGCCAGGGACGGAGATGCTCCGTGCAGACCTGCGGCACGTGCCCGAGGCGGTGCCTGAGGCCTTCCCCGAGCTGTACTGGCAGGCCCCACCCTCCTACCTGGGGGACCGGGTAAGCAGGGCATCCGGTCTGGGGGAGGCACTTTGAGGATGGCCAGGACGCCTGAGAGGGTTGGGAGCCAGGAGTGGGGCTCTGTCCAGGGAGGGGGAGCTCCATGAGGGTCCACGAGGGTGCCCAGGCCCTGTCCCAGGTAGGATGAGCATCCAGGCCCAGCTCGGGGGCCCTGTGCCTGGGGTGCCCAGACCACTGCTGATGGGCTCTGAGCCTGTGGCCAGGGTCTGGCCAGGTCACCTCTGTCTGTCCCGGCTCCAGGTGTCATCCTACGGTGGGACCCTCCGTTATGAACTGCACTCGGAGACCCAGCGGGGCGACGTCTTTGTCCCCACGGAGAGCAGGCCGGATGTGGTGCTGCAGGTGAGGGAGCTGCAGCTCAGCCACGTGGTTGGGTGGGTGTGGTGGGCGTGGCCCAGTGGCTCCGTGGTCCGGGCCCGGGCCGACCCTCACCTACCCATGTGCCTCCCCAGGGCAACCAGATGAGCATCACATTCCTGGAGCCGGCATACCCCATGCCCGGCCACATTCACCGTGGGCAGCTGCAGCTGGTGGAGGTGAGGGGAGCTGGCTTGGGCACCCGGGTCCCTCCCAGACCTCAGCACACCCGAGAAGGCCGGAAGGGGTCCCAGTACTGCTGTGCCCATTCTCTGTGGTGGAAAACAACCCAGGAGCAGAAGCGGGCGGGGGCTGGGGGAGTGCACACACCCGTTGTCAGACATCTTCCGCGCTGGAGTCACCCTGGGGTGTGATGCCGTCTTCCCACCTGCTTTGCGAGTCCCTGATCCCTGAGGGGTGAACAGCTGCTCAGCCGCTGTTGGCTTCCTCCTCCGTGCACTGCTCGTTAGCATCTTTTGCCCATTTCTCTTTGACTTGTGGGTCTTTTTCCGTCCTTTTAGAGGAGTTCTTTGTTATTCTTGGTGCTTACCCTCTGTCAGACTTCAGAGTAACAACCGTCTTCTCCCATGTCACAGCTCATCTGGTTTTTCTTTGCTTTTTTGTTTTTTTTTTTTTGAGATGGAGTCTGGCTCTGTCGTCCAGGCTGGAGTGCAGTGGTGCAATCTCGGCTCACTGCAGCCTCCACCTCCCAGGTTCAAGTGATTCTTCTGCCTCAGCTTCCCAAGTAGCTGGGACTCTAGGCACCCACCACCACACCCGGATAATTTTGTATTTTTAGTAGAGACGGGGATTTGCCGTGTTGGCCAGGCTGATCTTGAACTCCTGACTTCAGGTGATCCTCCCGCCTCAGCCTCCCAAAGTGCTGGGATTACAGGCGTGAGCCACCATGCCCAGCCTGAGCTGTCTTTTGATGAAGTCTTATAGTTAATGTACTTGAATTTATCCTTTTTTCCTTGGCAGCAAGCGTTTTTGCATCTTGTTTGAGAAAGTATCTGTCACTACTTGATCAGAAAGGACCCGCCTGTATTTTCTTCTAGAAGTTTGACTGTTCTCTTTGTGTATTTCAATTCTTTTTTTTTTTTTTTTTTTTTTTTTTGAGCAGAGTCTTGCTCTATCACCCAGGCTGGAGTGCAGTGGCTGGATCTCAGCTCACTGCAAGCTCCGCCTCCCAGGTTTACGCCATTCTCCTGCCTCAACTTCCCTAGTAGCTGGGACTACAGGCACCCGCCACCTCGCCTGGCTAGTTTTTTGTATTTTTTAGTAGAGACAGGGTTTCACCGTGTTAGCCAGGATGGTCTCCATCTCCTGACCTCGTGATCCACCCGTCTCAGCCTTCCAAAGTGCTGGGATTACAGGCTTGAGCCACTGCGCCCGGCCGTATTTCAATTCTTAAGGCATCAGGAGCTGGTTTGTTGTGTGGTGTGAGGCAGGGATCTAGGTGCTGGCTGACCACATGGGAGACTGATTTTTCTACCTGTGTGTACCTCCTCCTGCCCCGTGGTCTTTGTGCCCCTCCATCCCCTACAGGGTTGGGGGGTCTGTTCTAGGCTTCCTGTTCTGTCCCATTGAGTGTGGCCCCACTGAGGTGCCATCCTGGACCCACAGGGGAACTTCCGGCACACGGAGACTCGCAACACTGTGTCCCGTGAGGAGCTCATGATGGTGCTTGCCAGCCTGGAGCAGCTGCAGATCCGTGCCCTCTTCTCGCAGATCTCCTCGGCTGTCTCCCTGCGCAGGGTGGCACTGGAGGTGGCCAGCCCAGCAGGCCAGGGTACCCTGGCCAGCAATGTGGAGCTGTGCCTGTGCCCCGCTAGCTACCGGGGGGACTCATGCCAGGTGAGGTCAGGACAACACCAGACTGTGAGGCGGCTCACCTGTGCACGCCCTTCCCTCCAGCGTCTTCCCTGTGTTCCCTTCCTTGCTGCCTCTACTTCCTGTCTCCCTACTCGCCTCTCTTCCTGCCCCTGCCCTTTGCAGGCTGCTGGCCAACTCATGGGCCTGCCCATCCCCTGCTGCCCGTCTGCCTGCCCCTTGTCTGCCTGCCGCTCATCCGCCTGCCCCTCCATGCACACACCCTCCATACCCCTTCCCCACCTACTCCAGTCCCCACCCACTGGGTCACCTGGACATCCCCCACTGACCATCCTGGCATCTGCCTGTCATTCATTGCCTGTCATCCTGGCGTCTGCCTGTCATTCTGTCTGTCCCTTGCCCACTGTGCGTCTGTCCAGTTGCTAATCTGTCTGTCTGCTGTAACTTTGCTCCTTCTGTATGAGGAGGTTTGTGGTTGGACATCTCCTAGAAGGAGTGGAAAAAGCAGATCCTGGTCCACGTGGAGGGGGTGGTCACCAGCCCCAAGGCTTGGTCATTCCTGAGACAGGACATCTGTGTGACTTTGAGAGCCATGTCCTCAAACAGCAGCCAGGTGCTGGCCTACCTCCAGCCAGCCGAGGCCAGGAGTTCCTGACCAGCGTCTGACCCACCGGTGACCACACTCCATGGGTTCCCAGTGCCTTGTGCCTGCAGGATCCCTGAGGGTCTGACCTGTGAGCCTGCAGGGTGGGGCCCCTCATCCTCTCAATCGCTGATGCCACCTGCCCCCTTATGCCCTCAGGAATGTGCCCCCGGCTTCTATCGGGACGTCAAAGGTCTCTTCCTGGGCCGATGTGTCCCTTGTCAGTGCCACGGACACTCAGACCGCTGCCTCCCTGGCTCTGGCATCTGTGTGGTGAGTGGGGGCTGGCGGGGCCGGCGGGGGGCACATTCACTGAAGGCACAATCAGGCGTGCCAGGGAAGACTAGGGACTGCACTTCCAGGTCTACTGAGGTCTGGGGAAGGGTGTTGCCCAGCGGAGGACCATCTGGCCTTGGGCACAGAGTCCGAGGCAGGGGTGGTGGGAGCTGCACAGACTCGGCAGTAGGATGTGTGTGTCTACCATAGCACTGACTGTCCATTCTGCCCCAGGACTGCCAGCACAACACCGAAGGAGCTCAATGTGAGCGCTGCCAGGCTGGCTTTGTGAGCAGCAGGGAGGACCCCAGTGCCCCCTGTGTCAGCTGCCCCTGCCCCCTCTCAGTGCCTTCCAACAAGTAAGCTCCTCCAGGGATGAGGCCCTGACGGTGCCACGCTCCCTTCACCCCGCAGCGGGATGGGTTCCCACTGCCCTCTGCAGAGGCCTGGACAGCTGGGGGTGTCCGTGAGGTCTGGACCCCAGACGCCTGGCGTGTGTTCCAGCCTAAGCACAGTGTGTTCACCCGGGCCTGGGCACTGCCAGGGGCCTGGTGACTGATGCTGCTGGTCTTTGCAGCTTTGCCGAGGGCTGTGTCCTGCGAGGTGGCCGCACCCAGTGCCTCTGCAAACCTGGTTATGCAGGCGCCTCCTGTGAGCGGTGAGCTGGGGCCAGGGCAGCGGGGCAGGGCCTGAGTGCTGACCCCAGGATACACGAGGGTGGGGGCCACGGGCCACTGACCACTGATGGCCCCTCCCCACCCTGCTCCCAGGTGTGCGCCCGGTTTCTTCGGGAACCCACTGGTGCTGGGCAGCTCCTGCCAGCCTTGTGACTGCAGCGGCAATGGTGACCCCAACCTGCTCTTCAGCGACTGCGACCCCCTGACGGGTGCCTGCCGTGGCTGCCTGCGCCACACCACTGGGCCACGCTGCGAGATCTGTGCCCCCGGCTTCTATGGCAACGCGCTGCTGCCCGGCAACTGCACCCGTAGGCGTCGGGCTGGGAGGGATGCACCCTGGGGAGGGTTGCGCAGGGAGGAGGAAGGCCTGCTGGGCATACCCCAGAAGTAGGCTGTGTGCCTGATGCTGGGGCCCAGCCAGGACAAGATGGAGTCAGCCTTCTGTGCTCATGGTCAAGCCTTTCTCCCCCGCTATGATCAGGCTCTCCCGCCCCAACGATCAGGCCCCTTCACCATCAGACCCTCCCCCTAACCCATGATCAGGCCCCCCCCATTTCACGATCACATCCCCTCTCCCCCCACAATCAGGGCCCCCTCACGGTTAGACACCACCAGCAATGCCCTGCCACTGGCAGCGGACTCCAGCCATCAGCCATCAGAGCAGGGCAGGCCATGGTGGGGAGTCTGCAGGTCCCTCGGGCCCAGCGGAGGCAGCTGGGGAGTGGGGCCAGGCTGGGACAGGAGTGGGTAGCTGGGTGGTCCGGCGGCCTGGAACCGGCAGAGCAGGAGGCACTGAAGTGAGGGCTTAGTGGGGTGCATAGGGGCTACCTAGGGGGTGAGAGGCCCCGGGCTGCAGCCGTGGACCCCCTTCTGCAGGGTGCGACTGTGCCCCATGTGGGACAGAGGCCTGCAACCCCCATAGTGGGCAATGCCTGTGCAAGGCGGGTGTGACTGGGCGGCGCTGTGACCGCTGTCAGGTGAGGCTGTGCGGTAAGCAGGGCTGGGTGGGTGGGGCCTGGGGAGAGGCTGATAGGTGGGGCTGAGGGGCGGTGTTTGATGGGCGGAGCCTCAGGGGGCAGGGCCAGATGGGCAGGACCCCTGGCCTCCTGGTTGGTCTGGGACAGTCTTGAGGGCTGAGCAGGGCAGTGACTACAGCCTGTGCCACAGGAGGGACATTTTGGCTTCGAAGGCTGCGGGGGCTGCCGCCCGTGTGCTTGTGGACCGGCCGCCGAGGGCTCCGAGTGCCACCCCCAGAGCGGACAGTGCCACTGCCGACCAGGGACCATGGGACCCCAGTGCCGCGAGTGTGCCCCTGGCTACTGGGGGCTCCCTGAGCAGGGCTGCAGGCGTGAGTGCTGGCAGGTCACAGGAGGGTGGATGGGGACTTCTGAATGAGGGACACCCCAAGGTCCCAGGCCGGCCATGCTCACCCAAGCCCCCCACCACAGGCTGCCAGTGCCCTGGGGGCCGCTGTGACCCTCACACGGGCCGCTGCACCTGCCCCCCAGGGCTCAGTGGGGAGCGCTGCGACACCTGCAGCCAGCAGCATCAGGTGCCTGTTCCAGGTGGGCCTGGGGACCACAGCGTCCACTGTGAAGGTGCGTCCTCAACACCCCACTTCCCCACACCTGGGTGGAGTGGGAATCCAAGTCCTACACTGCCTGGTGACCCCTGTGTCAACTTCAACCTCCCAGAGTGGTCCCAGCTGCCTTCCATTTCCCAAGAGACCCATGCCTGTCCAACTCCATGCTGAGGAGCGCTGTGGCTCCAATGCTGGCTGTACCCCTCTACTGTCCTTAGCCTTCCTGTGTGCCCTGGCCCCACCCCATCTGCTGGCCCTGCCTCCCCCACTGACCCCACCCCTCCACTGGCCCCGCCTCACCCTCTGGCCCTGCCCCTCCACTGGCCCCACCTCTTTTACTGGCCCTGCCCCTCCACTGGCTGCACTTCCTCCACTGGCCCCGCCCCCCCACTGGCCCCCCCTCCACTGGCCCTGCCCCCTCACTGGCCTCACCTCCATTGGTCCCACCCCTTCACTGGCCACGGCCCCTCCACTGGCCCCACCCCCTCCACTGGCCCCACCGCCTCACCCCCACCCCACTGTATATTCTCCCCATCCTTTTGTGGATTCCTGGTACCCACTCAGTTCCCTGCTGACCTAACTCCTATAATGACCTTTCAGGAAGCCCCATGCTGTTCTTTGACCTCCACTAACCTTGTCATTTTCATCCCAGCCCAGTCGCCTGTGCCAACCCCATGATGACCTCATGACCCCACCCTGACCCATTCCTCCGGCTTCCCCCATGACCCTGGTGCCGGCCCCAACCCCTTGTGCTGGTCCTACCTTCTCCCTGGGTGACCCCATGCCCTTCACCCCTATCAGACTCCTACCTTGACCCCATGACTCTGCCAGAACCCTGGGACCTCCCCACGGGTCCTGTGTCCCTAAGCTGACCTCATGACCCTCTGGCTGAGCCCTCCCCACCTGGATGACCCCAGGGCCCCAGCTGATCATTCTCCCCTGACCTGACCCCATGACACTGACCTGTGAACCCACATTGCCTGCAGTGTGTGACCACTGTGTGGTCCTGCTCCTGGACGACCTGGAACGGGCCGGCACCCTCCTCCCCGCCATCCGCGAGCAACTGCGTGGCATCAATGCCAGCTCTGTGGCCTGGGCCCGTCTGCACAGGCTGAACGCCTCCATCACTGACCTACAGGTACTGAGCGTCCCGGCCTTCCCTCCCCAACCTGGGCCAGTGTATGCCCTCACCTTCCACTCTCCGCAGAGCCAGCTCCGGAGCCCCCTGGGCCCCCGCCACGAGACGGCACAGCAGCTGGAGGTGCTGGAGCAGCAAAGCACAAGCCTTGGGCAGGATGCACAGCAGCTGGACAGCCAGGCAGGAGCCCCAAGACCCCCCAGGGCCCTGGGAGGCTTTCCCCTGTGTTTCCCGTGGTTCGCTTGTCCTCATTCAGCAGATGTTCCTTCACGCCTTGCACATGTGTCAGTGCAGGGGACAGGAGCTCGAGAATCTTAGGGCTTGACCAGGTCACTGAATTACTATCTAAACTACTTAATACAGTTGTTTACAGTGTATAATATCACTTAAATGTCTTTTTTGTTTTTTTTTCTTTTAGACAGAGTTTCGCTCTTGTTGCCCAGGCTGGAGTGCAATGGCGCAATCTCAGTCCACCATAACCTCTGCCTCCTGGGTTCAAGCGATTCTTCTGCCTCAGCCTCCTGAGTAGCTGGGATTACAGGCATGCACCACCACGCCCGGCTAATTTTGTATTTTAGTATAGATGGGGTTTCTCCATTTTGGTCAGGCTGGTCTCGAACTCCTGACCTCAGGTGATCTGCCCATCTCGGCCTCCCAAAGTGCTGGGGTTACAGACATGAGCCACCGTGGCTGGCCTCAAATGTCTTAATGAGTAACTGTTTCATTAAATTGACAAGAAGTAATAAATGGCAAGTAATAACTAATTATTTTAGGTAAGTAACAAATGATAAATAACAAGTCATCAGACAGAGAATTAAATAGATAAGAAGTCCCTCTTCCCTGGGACCCTCAGCGCCCCCAGACCCCAGGCCCTCCCTTGCCACCCTGACCCTCGCCTACCAGCGGCGTGGGCTAGTGGGTTCTGCCTCCACAGGCCGCAGGGACCCGAGAGCAGGCGAGCCGATTGCTGGCCGGCACCGAGGCCACGCTGGGCCGGGCGAAGACGCTGTTGGCGGCTATCCGGGCTGTGGACCGCACCCTGAGCGGTAGGGGCCGGCCCAGCCAGGCTCAGGGCTCAGAGCCAGGAGGGCTGCCTGGGGCAGGGGCGGGGGTGCCTGGCCAAGCTCGGCCTGGAAGAACAGGCAGGGTCTGTCTGCTTAGATGGGAGACGGCGCCTCGAGTGAACAGTAGTAGGGCAGGGTCGGGAGGTCGGCGACACAGCCGTGTGGCCAAACAGGTGGCCCCAGGAGACATCAGACCCCTCGACAGCCTCCCCAGGAAACGTGCTGGTTAGATGTTCACGCTCACAGATGTGCCGTAGTACACGCTGAGATACAGGACTTAGGAGAGACTTGGTTCCCTGAGCCTGCCTAACAGGACCTGCTGGCCCAGACTGAGGGTTGGCAGGGGGTGCCATTTCAGAGAGATGACCAGGGGGCAGGGTGGGCCAGGCGGCGAGGGGAAGGACGAGAAGGCCTCGGAAGCCAGCTGAGCAGAGTGGTGTCAGGGTGTTGGGGCAGCCGTGGCCTTTGGCCCAGGGGCTCTAGGGGCCACCCAGGTGCACTTAGGTTCTGGGCCGCGGGCCTGCCAAGGGTGGCGGGGCCGGGGTCTTAGGCTTGGAAGCCAGCAGGCAGGTGCACTAGTACGGGTGGCCCCAGGCTCTGACGACCCCCTGCCCCACAGAGCTCATGTCCCAGACCGGCCACCTGGGGCTGGCCAATGCCTCGGCTCTGTCAGGCGAGCAGCTGCGCCGGACGCTGGCCGAGGTGGAGCGGCTGCTCTGGGAGATGCGGGCCCGGGACCTGGGGGCCCCGCGGGCAGCTGCTGAGGCTGAGTTGGCTGCAGCGCAGAGACGTGAGTGGTGCTGGCCCTGGCAGGCGGGGTGGGGAGAGGCAGGGACCTGGGAGCTCCAAGGGGGAGGTCAGCGTGGAGTGGCATCAGGTGGGTATCACAGGGCAGAGGGGACTGGTGGTCACCAAGTGGAGACCAGGGGTCACAAAGGAGCCTGGCTTCCAGAGTGACCACCCTCACCCTGGTCTCGGCTAGTGCTGGCCCGAGTGCAGGAGCAGCTGAGCAACCTCTGGGAGGAGAACCAGGCACTGGCCACACACACCCGCGACCGGCTGGCCCAGCATGAGGCCAGTCTCATGGACCTTCGAGAGGCCTTGAACCGGGCAGTGGACGTCACGCGGGAGGCCCAGGAGCTCAACAGCCGCAACCAGGAGCGCCTGGAGGAAGCCCTGGTGAGGACCCCGGACTTGCCCTTGCTCCTGCTCCTCTTCCTGTCTCCTCCCTGCCATTCTTCTCCCTTCCCACTCCTCCCCTTCCCCCTCCCCTTCTCCTCCCCCTCCCCCTCCCCCTCCTTCCATCTCCCCCTCCCTCTTTCCATCTCCCCCTCCCCCTCTTCCCTCTCCCCCTTTCCCCCCTCCTCCCCCTCTTCCCTCTCCCCCTTCCCCCTCCTCCCCCTCTTCCCTCTCCCCCTTTCCCCCTCCTCCCCCTCTTCATCTCCCCCTCTCCCCCTCTTCCCTCTCCCCCCTTCCTCCCCCCTCTTCCCTCTCCCCCTTTCCCGTCCTCCCCCTCCTCCCCTCTTCCCTCTCCCCCTTCCCCCTCCTCCCCCTCTTCCCTCTCCCTCCCCCCTCTTCCCCTCTTCCTCTTCCCTCTCCCCCTTCCCCCCTCCTCCCCCTCCCCCTTCCCCCCTCCTTCCCCTCTTCCCTCTTCCCCTCTCCCCCTTTCCCCCCTCCTCCCCCTCCCCCTTTCCCCCTCCTCCCCCTCTTTCCCTCTCCCCCTTTCCCCCCCTTCCCCTCTCCCCCTTTCCCACCTCCTCTCCCCCTTTTCCCCCCTTCCCTCTCCCCCTTTCCCCCCTTCCCCTCTCCCCCTTTCCCCCCCTCCTCCCCCTCTTCCCTCTCCCCCTCCTCCCCTCTTCCCTCTCCCCTTTCCCCCCTCCTCCCCCTTTCCCCCTCCTCCATCTCCCCTCCTCTCCCCTCCCCCTCCTCTCCCCTCCCCGTCCTCTCCCCCCTTCTTTCCTCTCCCCCTCTCCTCTCCCCCTCCTCTCCACTCCCTCCTCTCCCTCCCTATTCTCTCCCTCCTCCCCCTCCCTATTCTCTCCCTCTTCCCTCTCTCCGCTTCCCCCTCCTCCTCCCTCTTCTCCTGTCCTCTCCCTCCCCCATCTCCATCCGCTCATCCTTCCCCTTTTGTTTCCTCCTCCCCCTCGCCCTCCTTGTCCCTCCCCACTCCTGATCCCTCCCCTGGCCTCCCCTATTCTCTTCTCCCCCTTCTCCTCCTTGTCCCTCCCCACCCCCTCCCATCCTTTCCCCCTCTCTTTCCACTTTCCCCTCCCCCCTCCTCCTTCCCTCACACTCACACGTCCTGCCCCTCCCCTCCTCCCCCCTCCTCACCCCCCATACTCACTCTCTTTTCTTCTCCCTTCCCTGCCCCACTGTCCACCCCATCATATCCTTTAATCTTTTTTTACCTTTCATTGTCCCCAACTCCCCTGCATTGCCTTCAGCAAAGGAAGCAGGAGCTGTCCCGGGACAATGCCACCCTGAAGGCCACTCTACATGCAGCTAGTGACACCCTGGCCAGCGTCTTCAGATTGCTGCACAGCCTGGACCAGGCCAAGGAGGTGAGTGCAGCCCCTGACCCCTGTCACCACCCCATCCATGGCCAACTCCCTCCCAGGCCTGTGGGCAGCTTTGTGTGCACACTTGCGTGCAGAGCCCACCCTCAGGGTCGTGGATCAGGTGGCTGTGAGCAGGATGAGGGGCTGCTAAGTCCACTCAATTTCCAGGAGCTGGAGCGCCTCGCCGCCAGCCTGGACGGGGCTCGGACCCCACTGCTGCAGAGGATGCAGAACTTCTCCCCAGCGGGCAGCAAGCTGCGTCTGGTGGAGGCCGCCGAGGCCCACGCACAGCAGCTGGACCAGCTGGCGCTCAACCTGTCCAGGTGCGTGGCCAGGAGAGGAGGGGCCCTGCGCCCACCCTGGGGATGCAGCCTGGGCCTTGGGAGGGCCCAGGGCCTTGGGAACGCTCCTAGGGGCTGAGGCCGTTGTCCTCAAAGAAGCCAGGCCTTCCTCAGCTTCATGGCAAGCTGGGGCCCAGAGTGACAGGAGCAGGCAGGAGCAGTACACCCAGCAGACGACAGGCATGGGCAAAGGCCTGGAGGCAGAACTTGGCAGGCGGGCGTGGGTGCGGCTGACCGTGAGCGCAGGAGGCTGGAGAGCCAGGCCGAGGGTGTCTGCTCGCCCCGTGCTTACCTGCTCCTTCGACCTTCCCTTCCACTACAGCATCATCCTGGACATCAACCAGGACCGCCTTACCCAGAGGGCCATCGAGGCCTCCAGCGCTTACAGCCGCATCCTGCAGGCCGTGCAGGCTGCCGAGGATGCTGCTGGCCAGGCCCTGCAGCAGGCAGACCACACGTGGGCGGTGAGGCCCCTACCTTCCTCTCAGCCCCAGCAGGAGCGCCCCCACTGCCTGCACCTCCCGCAGCCCCGGCCCACGCGTCTGAGCCGCGGTCTGTCCTTGCATCCACAGACAGTGGTGCGGCAGGGCCTGGTGGACCGAGCCCGGCAGCTCCTGGCAAACAGCAGTGCACTGGAGGAGGCTGTGCTCCGGGAACAGCGGAGGCTGGGCCTCGGTGAGTGCTGGGCTCCGATGGGGACCCTTGGGCCTGCTGGGCATCTAAGCTCCCAGGGACCCTCAGCCCCCAGCCACATGCACGCGTGGGGTTGTGGGTCGCCGCAGCGTGGCTCGGGGTGGGAGGGCTTTGGAGGTGGCTCCCCAGCTGCTTGTGTGTCAGCCCCAGGGAGCCCTGCAGGGGAGCCCAGGGAGGAGCAGCCTCCTGCAAGGCACTGGCTGCCACTGAGGCACCAGCTGAGGCACAGGGTACAGGGCAAGATGGTACGTGGCCTCTGCTCTGCTGACTTGAGGGCCACATGTGTGCCAAGCTGCGCAATGAGAACGGTGTGAGCTGCCAGAACCAGAGGGGTGTCTCTTCTGAGCCTCTATTGTTTCATCTGTGCGATGGGGACAGCTCTGCCTGCAGTGGGAACGGAGGCTGCGCTGAGACTCAACACCTCCCCACAGGCCAAGGGACTCCATGTCTGAGTGTCCCTGTCCGTCTGTCTGCCTGTGTGTCAGCCTGGGTCCTCCTGGGGTCAGAAAGGTGGAGGTGGGCTGCACTTGTATATTGGGGGTGAAGCTGCCTGGGAGCTGAAGCTGCCTCCCCCGCAGTGTGGGCTGCCCTCCAGGGTGCCGGGACCCAGCTCCGAGATGTCCGGGCCAAGAAGGACCAACTGGAGGCGCGCATCCAGGCGGCGCAGGCCATGCTTGCCATGGACACAGGTACTCGGAGCCTGGGCGCGGCTCCCGCAGCCGGCTGACCACGAGGCTCAGTGACACTGGCGTTGGCCACACATGGCTGCTGACTGCTCACTGTGCTGTTGAAGAGACCCCCACAGTGGGCAGCTGGGGCCAGACACAGAACGCCTGCCAGGGAGGTGCCAGGGCTGCAGATAGCACACAACAGCCCCAGCCGTCGGGAGGCTGGCAGGCTTGGAAATGCTTTGGGTAGAAGTGGAGGTGTAGGTGGGAGGCTGTAGGCCTGGGGCGGGGGTATTGGGGCGCACCCTGCAGGAAGAGCGCCCAGGAGGGCACAGTGGTCAGCGTGGCTGGAACCAAGGGGCTGGCAAGACCTTGGGCGGTGAGGACCAGGGCTCCCACCCTGCGAGGCTTGGAGCAGAGGATGATGTGGCCTCACCCGGTTTCTGAGGGACCCCTGAGGCTGCTGGCTGTTCCCAGCAAGCCCAGGAGAGAGGGTGGGGCCAGGAGGTGGGAGGTGACACAGGGCACATGTCCAGGGACCAGCTATGGCCTGGGAGGCTGGGTGCCTGTCCTGGCATGGTGGGGGCGTCTGGTGGGATGGGTTTGGATTGCACTGCATTTCGGGGTGTCAGGGTCTCACACGATCCGTAGGGGGTTGGATGTCCCTGTTGCTGGCCCGACAAAAGGACTTGGGGACATGAAGCCAGAATGGTCCCTGCTGGCCTCTGCTGAGCCTGCCCTCTGCCCACCACAGACGAGACGAGCAAGAAGATCGCACACGCCAAGGCTGTGGCCGCTGAAGCCCAGGACGTGGCCGCCCGTGTGGAGACGCAGCTGCAGGCCGTGCAGGAGAGCGTGGAGCGGTGGCAGGGCCAGTATGAGGGCCTGCGGGGCCAGGACCTGGGCCAGGCGGTGCTCGACGCAGGCCGCTCAGGTGTGCCCATGGCCCTCGAGGTGCCCCTGAGGGAGGCGGGGCAGGGTGGGGGGTAAAAGTCTCAGGGCCACCACTCCCTCTGTGCAGTGTCCAGCCTGGAGAAGACGCTGCCCCAGCTGCTGGCCAAGCTGAGTGTCCTGGAGAACCGTGGGGCGCACAACGCCAGCCTGGTCCTGTCCGCCAGCATCGGCCGTGTGCGGCAGCTTATTGCCCAGGCCCGGGGCGCTGCCAGCAAGGTGGGTGAGAGTCCCAGGGGAAGGTGCACATCAGGGAGGGTGGTGATGAATGCTGATGGACTGTGCCCCGCAGGTCAAGGTGCCCATGAAGTTCAATGGGCGCTCAGGGGTGCAGCTGCGCACCCCACGGGATCTTGCCGACCTTGCTGCCTACACTGCCCTCAAGTTCTACCTGCAGGGCCCAGAGCCTGAGCCTGGGCAGGGTACCGAGGATCACTTTGTGATGTACATGGGCAGCCGCCAGGTACCGGGCTGGCTGGGTGGATGGGGCCCGAGCTCAGCATCTGTTTGGAAATGGGTGGTACCTGGTCCCCGTCCCGACTGTGTGTCTGTCACTGCTGCAGGCCACTGGGGACTACATGGGTGTGTCTCTGCGTGACAAGAAGGTGCACTGGGTGTATCGGCTGGGCGAGGCGGGCCCTGCAGTCCTGAGCATCGACGAGGACATTGGGGAGCAGTTTGCAGCTGTCAGCCTGGACAGGTGGGAGGCCCTGGAGAGAGTCCGGATGCCTCCAACTGTGGGGCCCATGCCCGTTCGCCATCCCTCACTTCTCCGTGCCCACCCGCCACCCCTCGCCTCTCAATGCCCACTCGCCACCCCTCGCCTCTGCCCTCAGGACTCTCCAGTTTGGCCACATGTCTGTCACAGTGGAGAGACAGATGATCCAGGAAACCAAGGGTGACACGGTGGCCCCTGGGGCAGAGGGGCTGCTCAACCTGCGGCCAGACGACTTTGTCTTCTACGTCGGGGGTTACCCCAGTACCTTCACGGTGAGCCCGCCTGGCTGGGGGCAGCCTGGGAAGGGCTCCACAGCCCCGAGTCACTTGTGTCCTGGAGAGCCGTGGGTTCTCTTGGTATCTCGCCTCAGTCCGTCCTGCTGTAGTCTGAAGTCCCCTTGGTCCATCCTGGAGGGGAGATGCCTCAGGCCAGGTGCCCTGACCCAGCCTTGTGCCCACAGCCCCCTCCCCTGCTTCGCTTCCCTGGCTACCGGGGCTGCATCGAGATGGACACGCTGAATGAGGAGGTGGTCAGCCTCTACAACTTCGAGAGGACCTTCCAGCTGGACACGGCTGTGGACAGGCCTTGTGCCCGGTGCGTGTGGCCTGCCCTCCCCGTCTCCACCCACCCCACCCTCCGCTGACCCCAGAACTTCTGACCTGCAGCTCCAAGTCGACCGGGGACCCGTGGCTCACAGACGGCTCCTACCTGGATGGCACCGGTTTTGCCCGCATCAGCTTCGATGGTCAGATCAGCACCACCAAGCGCTTTGAACAGGAGCTGCGCCTCGTATCCTACAGTGGGGTCCTCTTCTTCCTGAAGCAGCAGGTATGCCAGGCACACCTGTCCCACCGTCCCCCCTTGCACTGATCCTGCCCCACACTAACCCTGCCCTGTTTCTGCAGAGCCAGTTCCTGTGCTTGGCCGTGCGAGAAGGCAGCCTCGTGCTGCTGTATGACTTTGGCGCTGGCCTGAGAGAGGCTGTCCCGCTGCAGACCCCACCGCCCCTGACCTCGGCCAGCAAGGCGGTAGGGCCAGGGTGGGGCCGGGGTGGCAGGGAGAGGAGGTGGGACGATGGGGGCGGGGCAGGCCACAGGGACACAGCTGGCCCTGGAGCCCGCACTGGTCCTGCAGATCCAGGTGTTCCTGCTGGGGGGCAGCCGCAAGCGTGTGCTGGTGCGTGTGGAGCGGGCCACGGTGTTCAGCGTGGAGCAGGACAATGTTCTGGAACTGGCCGACGCCTACTACCTGGGGGGCGCGCCGCCCGACCAGCTGCCCCCGAGGTGAGCACTCTGCCGCTGGGGCTCCGAGGCCAGGCTGTCGGGGCGGGAGGCTGGGCTTAGAGGCGACGCCCTGACCCACATCCCTGTGTCCCCGTGTCCCCGTGTCCCCGCATTCCCGCATCCCCGCAGCCTGCGACGGCTCTTCCCCATGGGAGGCTCAGTCCGTGGCTGCGTCAAAGGGATCAAGGCCCTGGGCAAGTATGTGGACCTCAAGCGGCTGAACACAACAGGCGTGAGCGCCGGCTGCACCGCTGACCTGCTGGTGAGCAGCCCTTCCCGGGCTGGGGGTGGCATCTGTGGACATGCAGGGGTACCTGCGGGCACTCAGGGACGGCCTCCCCGCAGGTGGGGCGCGCCATGACTTTCCACGGCCACGGCTTCCTTCACCTGGCGCTCTCGAACGTGGCACCCCTCACTGGCGACGTCTACTCCGGCTTTGGCTTCCACAGTGCCCAGGACAGTGCCCTGCTCTACTACCGGGCATCCCCGGTGAGACCTCACACCCGTGCCCACTCCCCAACCTGCAGCGGCCGTCGGGGCAGTCGGGACTGGGGTGGCTGGAATGAGTCTGGGTCCCCAGACTGGCCAGCTGACCTGGCTGCTGTCCCCAGGATGGGCCATGCCAGGTGTCCCTGCGGCAGGGCCACGTGACCCTACAGCTCCTGAGAACTGAAGTGATAGCTGAGGGGGCCTTCGCCGATGGCGCCCCCCATTACGTCGCCTTCTACAGCAATGCCACAGGGTGAGCCTGGCCGCTGGGCCCTCATATGAAGGTCTGGAGGGACACCCGCCTGCACTTGCCCAGACCTCTGTCTCCTCTGAGCCTCCGGCCTCCCGCCCCCCAGGGTCTGGCTCTATGTCGACGACCAGCTCCAGCAGATGAAGCCCCACCGGGGACCACGCCCAGAGCCCCAGCCGCAGCCTGAGGGGCCCCCGAGTCTCCTCCTGGGAGGCCTGCCTGAGCCTGACACCTTTCACTTCAGTGGCTGCATAAGCAACATCTTTGTGCGGCGGTGAGCCCGGTGGGCACTGGGGGGCAAGGCCCCAGCTGGCCTTCTGCAGTGCTGACCGCCTGTCCGCCCCGCACAGGCTCCTGGGCCCACAGCGCGTATTCGACCTGCAGCAGAACCTGGGCAGCGTGAACGTGAGCACGGGCTGTGCACCCACTCTGCAAGCCCAGACCCTGGACCTGGGGCCTAGAGGACTGCGGACCGCCACCCGGAAGGTGGGCGCCCCAGGGGTGAGCGGGCAGAGCTGGTGTGGCTGGAAGGGTGGCCCCCGTGCGGGCAGCCCCTGCATTCACCATCCATGCCCCCAGGCTTCCCGCCGCAGTCGTCAGCCCACCCAGGATCCCGCCTGCATGCTGCCCCCATACCTCAGGACCACCCAAGACACCTACCAGTTTGGGGGTTCCCTGTCCAGTCACCTGGAGTTTGTGGGCATCCTGGCCCCACATAGGAACTGGTAAGGCCAGACACAGCTGGGGTGGGCTGAGAGGGGCCGCGCAGGCTGACGCCAGCTCCGCTTGCAGGCCCAGCCTCTCCATGCGCGTCCTCCCGCGAAGCCCCCGAGGCCTCCTGCTCTTCGCTGCGAGCCTGAGGCCCAGCAGCCCCTCCCTGGCACTCTTCCTGAGCAATGGACACTTCATCGCACAGATGGAAGGCCTTGGGACTCGGCTCCGCGCCCAGAGCCGCCAGCGCTCCTGGCCTGGCCACTGGCACAAGGTATGGGCCAAGAAGAAGGAAGGTGGGCAGGGCCTGGCGGCCCTACCCTGACCCGCCTCCTGCTCCCAGGTCTCCGTGCGCTGGGAGAAGAACCGGATCCTGCTGGTGACGGACGGGGCCCGGGCCTGGAGCCAGGAGGGGCCACGCTGGCAGCACCAGGGGGCAGAGCACCCCCAGCCCCACACCCTCTTTGTGGGGGGCCTCCCGGCCAGCAGCCACAGCTCCAAACTTCCGGTGAGAACCATCTTGCCCCGGCCCTCACTCCCCACCCACTGTTCACCCCTGTCAGCTGCCCTGGGCCCTGATCCCTGCCCCGTCTGCTCCCTATAGGTGACCGTCGGGTTCAGCGGCTGTGTGAAGAGACTGAGGCTGCACGGAAGGCCCCTGGGGGCCCCCACACGGATGGCAGGGGTCACACCCTGCATCTCGGGCCCCCTGGAGGCGGGCCTGTTCTTCCCAGGCAGCGGGGGACTTATCACTTTAGGTCTGTGGGTGCTGGCATCCCAGGCCCCAGCAGGGCAGGGCAGCGGGCTCCGGGAGGTTCTGGGGAGGGGCCCCCCTTCCTTCTCTATCACAGCCTCTCCCTGCAGACCTCCCAGGAGCTACACTGCCTGACGTGGGCCTGGAACTGGAGGTACGGCCCCTGGCAGTCACCGGCCTGATCTTCCACTTGGGCCAGGCCCGGACACCCCCCTATTTGCAGCTGCAGGTGACTGAGAAGCAAGTAAGCCTGGCAGGGGTGGCACACCAGGGCTGGGTTTGCCTCTCCATTCTGGTGACCTTGGGGGCATGCCCTGACCCTCCCTCCTACCCCGCCAGGTCCTGCTGCGGGCGGACGATGGAGCAGGGGAGTTCTCCACATCAGTGACCCGCCCCTCAGTGCTGTGTGACGGCCAGTGGCACCGGCTGGCAGGTGAGGCCCCTCCTGTGGCCAGGGCACTCTGCCACTCCCACCCCAACCCTTCTGCAGAGAGGGAGTCAAGCGGGGCTCTGGGTGGGGCAGCTTCTTTCAGGACTGGAGAGAGGCCTGGCTGGGGACTACCTGGCCTCAGGAGTCCACCTTCTCCCACAGTGATGAAAGGCGGAAACGTGCTCCGGCTAGAGGTGGACGCACAGAGCAACCACACCGTGGGCCCCTCGCTGGCGGCTGCGGCTGGTGCCCCAGCCCCTCTGCACCTCGGGGGCCTGCCTGGTGAGTGCAGCCTTGATCAAGCGTGGGGGAGCTGCCCCTCAGGACTAGAGGCTGGGTAACCCACCCCCCTCCCACCCTCCTGTGGTGTGGAACAAGACAGAAGCTGGGTGGGGGACATATGTCTGGGAAAGGGCTGTGGGTCCCAAGCTGCCCTCCAACCAGCCTTCTTCCATCTTCCCTGCGCCCCCAGAGCCCACGGCCATGCAGCCCTGGCCCCCCGCCTACCGTGGCTGCATGAGGAGGCTGACAGTGAACCGGGCCCCCGTCACCATGACTCGCTCTGCAGAGGTCCACGGGGCAGTGGGGGCCAGTGGCTGCCCAGCCGCCTAGGGCACTGCCAACCCTGGCCTCTGGTTAGGCCCTTGCAGGTGACTCCTCTCACTGCCCTTTGTGCTCACCTCATAGGTGTTTATTGGGATTCTAGGCTCTATGGGTGACAGATCTTGTTTCTGGAGATGGTTTAAATTATATCTTTTTAAATGAAAGAATAAAATACTGCAAAATGTTTTTATACTTGGCCCTTCCACCTATTTTTAATTGTGAGAGATTTGTAATCACTGGTTCCTCCTTAAAAATTAAAAAGTAACTTCTGTGTAGCTGAATGTTGACTTAAATACAGAGTCTCAAAACAGGTCTGGAACTGGCCTGGACAGAAGCACCAGACTTCTGGGGTGACCATTTTCCATCGTTAGGTCAAGTAAGTTTCTCTGGGATCCTACAGCAGCTCCTCACGCTAGCATCTGTCCAGCCAAAACTCCTTTGGGCAAAGAAAGGAGGCGTTGGCGGGTAAAAGAAAAGACTTTATTATCAGTGGGTGGGAGGTGAGGCTGTGCAACGCACTGCAAGCGCCGTCAGTCCCTCGGAGGATGGCGCGTGGCTCAGTCCAGGCTCATGTCCTCCTCTTCGTCCTTCTTGTCCTTTGTGTCGCCCTCTTTCTGCTCGGGCTTGGCGTTGTTCTGCATGGCTTTGGCAAACGCTTCCACATCTAGAACATGTTAAAGACACAAGGTGGCGTCTAACCCTTGCCCAGAACTGGGGATCAAAGCAGTGGGATCAAGGGCAGAAGGGCTGTGACCTTCGCCCCCTCAGCCCCACTTCGCAAATCCAGGGGGACAGGAATGGACCCTGCCTCTGGCTCGGGCCCGGAGGTGCAGGCACAGCCACTTACCGCCCTTGTTGGCGGCCTCCACGGCCTCCGCAGGCAGACCGAACTGGCACATGAGGGGGCCCAGCTGCCCCGAGGCCAAGGCTGCGCTGAACATGCCCAGGGCCTGCAAGGAAGAGCCAGGCGAGGGCTGAGCTCCACCCTGGGCTGCGGCCCAGAGCCGCACTGCTGAGCTGCCAGCTCTGGGGGTCGGGCACACGAGGCACGGCCACGGTGAAGGTGGGGCAGGGCCTCTTCCTCCCTCCTGCCCACTCCCTGAGCACACAGCGGAGGGCACCCCGGGCCCGGCCTCTACCTGCTGGAACTGGGGCGAGGTCAGGGTGTTCTGGATCTCTTCCGCGGTCTGCGGCAGTGACTCCCCAGATGGCAAGTAGGGAAGCAGGCGCTCCTGGACGTCCGCGTTGGCGAGGATGGGAGCCATGATCTCTGGCGTCAACACACTGGCCAGGTCCACTGGGACACAAGAACACGGCCATCAGCTCGATGCCAGCCTAAGTGCCCACATGGAGGGTATGCAAGCAGGGGCTCAGCCCATGGCCCCAGCACCCCAGGCGCGCACAAGAGGCACACGCCTTGGGAGGTCAGCTTGCCAGGGACAGCAGGCTCCATGCCCCCCCAGCTCCGGGCGACAGCACACGTTACCTTGCTGGCCACCCGCTGGCCCAGCCGGTACATTCATCGTGGCCAGGATGCTCTGGAGGTCGCTCAGCTGGATGGGCTGGGTCGGGCTGGCTGCTGTGCTGGCTCCGTTCCCGGAACTGGGCGCAGGGCTCGGGCTAGTTGCTGAGGCAGCTGCTGGAGCAGAAGGGGCTGGGGTGGCACGGGTGGAAGAGGTGGTGGATGACGGGGTGACTGCTGCCGACTGGCTCCGGGAGCTGCGAAGACAGAGGGCACCGCTGGAGCGGACACGCCCCCACACAGCAGGGCCTACTCGCAGGGTCCAAGGTGCCAGGCCAGGATTCCCCGCTGTCCCTCCCATAACACCGTGGCGCCCGCATGGCGGAGCTGGAGCCATGGCGCTCACCTGGAGGAGGAGCTGCTCCCTGGAGGCCCGCTGCTCCCCAGTAAGCTGGCCAGGCCGGGTCCAGTCAGGGCCCCCAGCCCACCTGCGGGGGCAAGGAAATGCGAGCTCTTATGCCCTCTAGCCCACCAGGAAGAGCCTGCCCCTCCCCAGGCCAGAGGAGCAGGAATTCCCAACACCAAAGCCAGGAGCCGCGGGGTGAAGCGGGGCAGTGGGGACCACAGGCCTGGAGGAGCCGCGGGGCGGTGGGGACCACAGGCCTGGAGGAGCCGCGGGGTGGGGGGGCGGGCAGACATGTGCAGCTGTGTTCCGGAAGCAAGGTCACTTCTGTTCCATCCCATGACACAATTCATGTACTTAGATTAAAAGCAGATTCAGTCCAGATCCCACCCAAAGGGACAAGTATTTCTGAAGGGCCAAGCACACGGGTCTGTACTCCATGAACTAGCGGCAGGCAGGCGGCCATATGGGGCCAAGGGACCCAGGGCAGGAACCCCAGCTCCCTCCAGTCCCCCAGCCCCGCCGCTCAGCCAGCCATCCTCCTCTGAAGTACCCAGCCGGGGTCCTCACCAGGGGCCCGGAAGCCTGTGCTCACCCAGCTCTAGCCACAGGCAAACAAGCGCATTCCCAAAGGGGAACCAGCTTGCGGACACACAGGCTCCCCGACACCACGCAGACAGCTAGCAAAAGTTTAAAGGAAACAGACAGGGCCTCAAAGCATTCCCAGCAGAAGCTGCCTGAGAGCCCGGGAGGCGCATGTTACCCAGTCCTCCGAGGCCGGCTGGTCCGATGAGCTGCATGAGCTGACTGTGGCTCATGTTCCCCAGCAGGCTCTGCAGGCCGCCCTCACCTGGAAAACACTGCAGCTCAGGGGGGCCTGCCCTAGCCAGATCCACGCCAGCCCCACAGCACCGCCCCGGCCAGCCCCACTCCGGCCCCACAGTGCTGCCTGGGCCTCTGCTGAGCACCCCACTCGGCTGCCTCTGAACTCTACAGGCGGCACCACTTGAAGTGAGGCAACGGTGGGCCACAGACCCGTCCTACCCCATGAAGATGGGACTGGGGAGTGACCCAGGGAGCTAACAGGGTGTCTAACTTAGAATCTTCTATTTCCACTTCCAAACAACCTGTGCGGAGGGAGCGAGTCATCCACAGTAGACTCTGGCCTCCCAGGAAACCCTGAGCTCATGTGACAGAGCTGACAGTTACCGCCTAGTGCAGAGAGCTCGTGGCCGCTGCTCCCGCTCGCCCCCAGCGCCCCAGGCATTGGGGGGTTGTTCAGATACTCGTTGACTTTCCGGCAGTGCTCCTCATCCTGGTCTGTCTTGGGTTCCTGCAGAGAAAGGACACGTAAGAGCAGGAGCCGGTGCCAGCTCACTCTGAGGGCCACCACAGCCATCCTGAGCTGGCTTACAGGTGAGGGACCTGAGAGGCACAGGCGCGTGTACCTGGCTACACAGTGCTGAGGAGACAGGACTCAGCTCAGCAGGTGAGGGGATGGCAGTGGTGCCTGCTGAGCACAATGCTCCGCGCCCTGCCCCAGTCTGCCGCAATGCTGGCTGTGCCCTGTCCCCCTCCACCCATTTCACAGATGGGGAGCCTAGGGCTCCGAAGGCACTTGGCTGCTGCCAAGCCAAGTCCTCTCACCCTCTTGCTCTCTGGGGTGTGGTTCTTTATACACCTGTCTCCTTCCTTCAACCAGTGGAAGGCAGCGAACTGGCCCGCTCAGCACACCACAGCCCAGAGCCACGGCAGGCCCTCACAATCGAGCACACGTGTGTGTCCCCACACGTGCACAGACCAGGGTCAGAAGCATCAACCTGCGAGCACACAGAGCTGGGAACAGAGCACCCACGCACACCTCCAACAGCTATGGAGGCTGCAGGGCGCCAGGGACACTGGGAGTCCCTGCCCTCATGGGCACACCCCGAACGGCAGGGCGCCAGGGACACTGGGAGTCCCTGCCCTCATGGCAAAGCGGGGACAGGGACTTAAAAGTCATCAACAGGAAAATCGGGAAAAAAAGGGGAGAGGGTGGTAACAGTTGGACACTACTTCTTGGCAAAACCGTGGAAAAACACGTTCTACACCAGCAGGTGGCAAACTGTGCTCCCCATCTGTGTTTGCAAATAAAGTTTAATTGGAACTCGGCTATGCCTGTTCATTTCCCAGGCCACGTGCACAGTGCCTGCAGAGGTGAGCGGCAACACGGACCATCTGCCCCCCAGAGGCCTCTCAGACAGGGCCACCCTTGCTCTCGAAAGGGCCAAGGTTGGGGGTGGGGACAGCAGCTCCACCTCTGGCAGAGGGCATGGCATTCTCTCTCCACATTGCAAACGCACGCACACGCTTTCTGACCACAGGCCCGCCACCAGTTTTCACCTCCAGATTATACTGGCTTATGGAAAATAATCTGTGTACCAGGCAATTCTTTGCAACACTGCCTGTAACAGCACAAAAAACAGCAACAAGCTCAATGGTCACTGACAGATGGCAGAATGAGCAATGGCCTCTGGACCCAACGGACGCTCTGCAGCTGTGGGTAAGAGAAACCCTGGGCGCTGATACCCCTGGCCTCCAGGACACACTGCCAGGGAAGGGGCAGGGCTGTGGAGAGGGAGAGGAGAATGCTTCGTTTCTGTGAGCCACACAGGAGCCCCTGCCTCTGCTGCGGGGGCCTCAGTGACCCACAGCAAGGGGCAGAGAGGGCACTGGGCATCGCTGGAACCAGGGTCAGCATGCCTGTCTGGCTGGAAATTCCACACCGCAATTGGGTACCCGGAGCCCAGCCTGGAGCCGCCGTACTCTGGGAGAGGACCTCGGCCCCAGGGAACACGCACCACAGTCCCGGGGTGGCATCTCAGGCCGTGTGGCCGGTGCCCGCTGGTTTGTAACAGCCAATTGCACCACACTGCAAGCAAGTTCCTAACTGAATCACAGGGCAACAAAAAGGCAAAACCCCAAGAGCTGCCCCGTACCTGCATCCAGAAGAAAAGCCGCTTGGACCCTGCCTTGAACTTCAGCACGTAGACCCTCCCGCTGGGGCACTGCGGCACCCGCTTGAACTCACAGTCGTCAGGGAAGATGATCAAGTCCTGGCAAGCCACAGGAAGAGAGAGTCAGCGGTGCAGATGGCACCACTGTGCCCAGTCTCAGGAGAGCATGCCAGGCCCTGGGTCTAACGGGGTGGGGTGCACAAGAGGCAGCTAAGCCGCCAGATCCCTCGCTGGCAGGGTCTCCCCCAGGTGGAGAAGCCAGGGTCAGAGACAGCCCATGAAAGGCAAGGCGCGGGGGAGAGAGCAGGAAATGGGCCTTTCAGATAGCAACAGGGTTTCTGAGACGTGTTGGGAACAACATTCCTAGAGTAGTTAAAAGGTCAACTCTGAACTACTCTCCAATGTAACAAAAAACAACTTAAAGTTTGAAAAACAAAGCAGACTGAGTGAAGCGGCCAGGCAGAGAGCTCCAGGCTCTCCAGGGCCACACCTCCAACCCCAGGCACCTCACACGGAAAGTTCAAGACACACAGTGGCCGAGACGCCCCTGTCATCGCGGAAACCAGGACGACTCATCAGCACGACAGCCGATGACGGCCTCACGAGCGTTCCCCAGATGCGGCCAAGCCCCCACCGCGAACTCCAAAGCGAGGACTCCGAGGGCCCGAGAAGTCGCCTGTCCCGCTGTCGCGGCTCTGGGACACTCACGTCTTCCACGTTCCCGGACGTCCTGTCCTTCCAGCAGAAGTGAATAAGCGAGTCGTCCGTCTGCTGAATGTACACCAGCCCTTTCCGCTTATCCGGGGTCACGGTGGTCCCCTTCAGGGACATCTTTCCCGCCCGAAACTCCACCAGGTACTTGTTGGAGGCGCCCCGAGAGCCTGGCACCAGGCTTGGGAAGAGCGCGCCTGAGGTCGTCATCCTGAAAGCGCGGAGACGACGCTGAGACGCGGTGGTCACGGTCGCCTGCGGTCCGGCAAGCTCCCGCCCCCTGGGGTGTTTGGGAGCAGGGGGCCGGCGCCCAGAGCTGCCTAAGGCCGCGCAAGCCCCGTCCACACTGACACGCCGGGCTGCTTTCCGCGTTTCCCCCGCGCCCGCCGAACGCACCGCTCGCAGTCGGCGCTGGGCCGGGGCAGCCCCGCCGAGCCTAATGGGGCCGGCCCCAGGCGTGACGCCGTCTCCGCGGGGAACCAGCCTCGACGCGCCGCCCCGGCGACCCGCTCCGCGGGGCAGATCCGCCCGAGCTCCCGCCGAGCCCCACGCTCAGGGCAGCAGGCGGAACCGGGGCGGCGCCCGAACCCCAGAGCCCCCACCCGGCCCGGCCCCCGCAGGCCCCGCCCGCCGCGCCGGCCACCTTCTCGTCCTGGCTGACCCCGCCCCATCCCCGGACCAGCAGCCCCTGCCCCCGCCTCCGGTCGCCCCCGGCCGCCCCAGGACCTGCGACCCCCGCACCTGCCTCGCGCCCACACTCGTACGAGAGGCGCCGTCCGGGCTCTTCCTCCTCGGCGCCTGCCGGGCCCCGCCGGAAGCCCGCGTTCGGCCCGCCCCGCCTGCCGCTCTCGCCACCGATTGGGCCCCGGAGGCCCCGAGGCCGGCCCTAATCTGCCACCGATTGGCGAGGGCGACCGTCCATCGCACTCGCTCCTCCCCGGTCCGCCCCCGCGCCGGCGCCTCTTTTCCGGCGGAAGCGCGGGCCGGGAGGCGCGTGGGCCAGAGCGGCCCCTATTGTTGCTGTGTCATAGGGGAGCGGCGGCGGCCCCTAGAGGCGGCGCCAAGGACCGCAGGCGGGTTTCAGAAGCGCGCTGGGGACCTGCTGAGGTCGGGCCAAGCCCACCCCTCGGCGTCGCCAGCCCGGGCGGGAAGAGCTGTCACTCGTGTGACTGTGCCAGGGGATAGGAGGAAGCCGAGGTGTGCGGTCCGGCTCTGGGCGGCAGGCACCAGGGCTACGCACAGAAGTGACCATGGTTCAGCGCTTCGGGCACCCGGGCAGGAGCTGCAGTCCACGCGTCCGGGAGAGCAGGGGTCCGGGAAGGGAGAGCAGGGGTGAGAACCGTGACATGGTCTCAGCTGCATACATCTAGTCCCGCAGGGGTCGGGGAGGGCAGAGGTCAGGGAGGGATGGGTCCCGGAGGAGAGGGGTCCCGGGAGGGGAGGGGGTCTCCGAGGGGAGGGATTTGGGAGGGGTGAGTCCGGGAGGGGAGAGGTTCCCGGAGGGGAGGGGGCCCGGGAGGGAAGAGGGTCCCGGAGGGAAGGGATCTGGGAGGGGTGAGTCCGGGAGGGGAGGAGTCAGGGAAGGCCTGAGTCCCAGAGGGGTGGGGTCCGGGAGGGCAGGGGTCCCGGAGGGCAGGGGCTTATCCTCTGGGCGCCTGGATGGGAAAGGCCACAGGGTAAAAAGGCTGCAGTCGCCCTCCAGTGTTGTGTAACTTTGAGTCACTTTTGACACAAACTAAAGCGAAGACAACAGAGAGTGCTTGTGGCGCCCCAGCCGGCTGCTGAAGAGGGACACGTTCTTTGGGATTTGCCTACAGCGACGCCAGGCGGGGGCTCTTAGAGGGGTCGGGCGCGGTGGCTCACGCCTGTAATTCCAGCACTTTGGGAGGCCGAGGTGGGCGGATCACTTGAGGCCAAGAGTTCAAGACCAGCCTGGGCAACATGATGAAACCCCGACTCTACTAATGCAAAAATTAGCAAGGTGTGCTGGCACATGCCTGTAATTCCAGCTACTCAGGAGGCTGAGGCACGAGAATCGCCTGAACCCGGGAGGTGGAGGTTGCAGTGAGCTGAGATTGTGCCACTGCACTCCAGCCTGGGCAACAAAGGGAGACTCCTCAAAAATAAAAAATAAAATAAATAAATAATAATAGTAATAAAAATAGGTCAGGAGCTTCGTGAGAACCCCGAGGTGCAGTGGCCTCGGCACCCGTTAAGCAGGAGGACTAGATGTCTGCAGCTGAGACCCTGCCAGGGTCCTCGGGTTCTCCTTTGCCCACCGCTCACTTCCTTCTTTCCTTCAGATACTCTGCTCACTTCGGGCGCTCCCCGGGGTCAGCGTGTGCTTGGTGGCTCACGCTCCGAGTGGATGCACAGCTCTCTGAGGTCTTTAGGTGTATGTTTTCATTCACCCTTGTTGGGAGATGCGTTGGTGTTGATGCTGGCAGCTCCAGTCCTTTCATTCTGCAGGGAGCCTACTGCTCAGCCCTCCATTGTCTCAGTGGCAGAGCATGTGCCAGTTATGTTTAGTTGCCAGCTTTTGACTGTCATAATGTTCCCATTCATGTTGTTTTGGAAAATGTAGCTATTTTTCATTTTAAAATGTGTGTTAACAGGTAGTGAGTTTGTTATTTTTATGTAGTTAAATAATTTTAAATGTCCTTTTAATTCCTAGTATGGTAAATGTCAATAAAGCTCACATAAACAAAAGCTCTTGGGGGCCTGTATAATTTTTAAGAATTTAAGCGGTCCAGAGGCTAAAGGGTTTGAGAGGGGCTAACACAAAGCTCTGGGGCCCGCTGGTGATAGGTGCGCCACTGATACTGCAGCCCCGTCCTCGTGCCCTCATGTAAAACAGGGAAAAGGTGGAAATGAGAAAACCCAACCCGGCTTTCCCGGCAAGAGGGTGGCAGGCAAGTGTCACTTATTGACGTCACAGACAGTGAAGCAGCAGCTCCAGGGTCCGCAGGGGCCAAATGTGCAGAGGCCAACGAAGTGGCCAAGAGGGCCCTGGATTTACCATTTCCTCCAGTTCCTGGTGGCCCTGTGGCCTGGGACGGCTCAAAACAAACAAAAAACCCCAGAACTCTTTACCTACACTTCAAGTGAAATTCGCACATTCCTATGAGCACGCCGCAGTGAGGAAACAAGCCGCAGCCAGACAGGCATTGCAGAGGCCACTGTGGGTGCCCGCTGCCAGCGCACGGGCTCTATGCCTGTGTGGGGTGTGGCACCTGGAGCACCCAGCAGCCCAGGACTCCAGCTGTGGCCACGGAGCGGGTGGGGGCACACGCTGCTTTCTGTCAGGAATCTCGGACTTGAAGCACACGCAAGGTTGGGATCTCGGACTTGAAGCACACGCAAGGTTGGGATCTCGGACTTGAAGCACACGCAAGGTTGGGATCTCGGACTTGAAGCACACGCAAGGTTGGGATCTCGGACTTGAAGCACACGCAAGGTTGGAATCTCGGACTTGAAGCACACGCAAGGTTGGAATCTCGGACTTGAAGCACACGCAAGGTTGGGATCTCGGACTTGAAGCACACGCAAGGTTGGGATCTCGGACTTGAAGCACACGCAAGGTTGGGATCTCGGACTTGAAGCACACGCAAGGTTGGGATCTCGGACTTGAAGCACACGCAAGGTTGGGATCTCGGACTTGAAGCACACGCAAGGTTGGAAGGGCCGTGTGACAGGCACAGCTGTCGCTATCTACTTGGTCGCTGACGGCAGTTGGTAGGATGTCTGCAAAATGCCTGCAGCATCTAGAGCAGCAGCCTCACCGGGACACACGCATTCAAGTCAAGGATTTGGATTAAGAGATCCCCTAGAGGAGATTTCTATTCATCCTGTTTAGCAAAAAAAAAAAAAAAACAACAACAAGCAGCCCTGGACTTGCACAATGGCTCACACCTGTAATCCCAGCACTTTGGGAGGCCAAGGTGAGAGGGTCCCTCGAAGCCCAGGAGTTCAAGACCAGCTTAACCAAGACAGTGAGACCCCGTCTTTACAAAAAGACAAATGAAACAAGAGCCAGGCGTGGCGGTGCACGCCTGTAGTCTCAGCTACTTGGGAGGCTGACGTGAAGGTCAAGGCCGCAGTGAGCCGTGATGTGAGCCGTGATGGCACCACTGCACTCCAGCCTGGGTGACAGAGCGAGACCCTGTCCCAAGAAAGCCCCAAACTGTGAAGAAAGCACACCCTGACGCGCTCCACGTGCTGCAGGCTCCTGGGGTGAAAGCCCCAAACTGTGAAGAAAGCACACCCTGACGCTGTCCATGTGCTGTAGGCTCCTCGGGTGAAAGCCTGGGCCGCGCCTCCATGTCAGCAGAAGACACCGCCGGATGTTTCACCCAAGAGGTCACAGGCAGCAAAGGCACCGTGGCAAGCTGCTCCACACCATTATTCATGAGAGAAATGCCAATGAAATACACCTGCTGGGGCTAAAAGCAAACGACAGAAGGTGCCAGGCAAAGTTGGGAACGCCAATGGCACGGCTACTTGGGAAAAGCGTTAGGCAGGGGTAGGGTTTTTTAAACTTTTTTTTTTTTTTTTTGAGACGGAGTCTCGCTCTGTCGCCGGGGCTGGAGCGCAGTGGCCGGATCTCAGCTCACTGCAAGCTCCGCCTTCCGGGTTTACGCCATTCTCCTGCCTCAGCCTCCTGTGTAGCTGGGACTACAGGCGCCTGCCACCTCGCCCGGCTAGTTTTTTGTATTTTTTTTTAGTAGAGACAGGGTTTCACCGTGTTCGCCAGGATGGTCTCGATCTCCTGACCTCGTGATCCGCCCGTCTCGGCCTCCCAAAGTGCTGGGATTACAGGCTTGAGCCACCGCGCCCGGCCTTTTTTTTTTTTTTTTTTGAGATGGAGTCTTACTCTATCCCCTAGGCTGGAGTGCAGTGGCTTGATCTCAGCTCACTGCAGCCCCCGCCTCCCGGGTTCAAGCAGTTCTCCCACCTCAGCCTCCTGAGTAGCTGGGATTACAGGTGCACGCCACCAGGCCCAGCTAATTTTTGTATTTTTATTAGAGATGGGGTTTCACCATGTTGGCCAAGCTGGTCTCGAACTCCTGAGCTTGAGCGATCCACCCACCTCGACCTCCCAAAGTGCTGGAATTACAGGTGTGAGCCACCACGCCTTGCGTTTTTTTTTGTTTTTTTTAACATTTTAAAAATGTCTAAGACAAGTCACCACTGAGCAGAGGGCGAACAGTTCTGGTTCCCCTGGGTGTTCGGTGAGCTGCACCGACACCAGGTCAGCACCCAGAGTCCGCCATTTGCATCGAGGTCCACCATCGGTCCATCTGTGCTGCCACACCACCACCACTGACCAGGCAGTTTACAAAGAACAGAAACTAATTTCGCACAGTTCTGCAGGGCAGGAAGTCAGCGTCAGTGGGGTGGCAGGCTTGGTTTCTGGTAAGAGCTGCTCTCCCCATCTGACATGGCGCTGATGCTCTGTGGGGCAGACCAGGCAGTGTGGGATGAGCCTCTGGCTCCAGGCTCAGGCAATGATGGTGGAGCCCCACAGCCACACACCTGGAGCATTCCGAGAGCATGGACGTCTCATGGACCGTGTGTCCCTCTGCCCCAGCCACAGTGACCACTGGGATGACCGTGTCTGCTCAGCTCACACTCCTGAAAAGCACGGAGGTGCTGGAGCCACTTACGGCAGAAGGCAGGCAGCTGAAACCTGTGGCACCAGGCACTTCGCTGCTTCTAGCAGTAGCCTCCCCCTGCCAGCGGAGGGGAGTCCATCAGAGCCTCCTGCTGCTTGGAGAACCTGGGCGCTCCACCCCTTGCATGTGCCACCCAACAGGTCTCACGAGTGTTCCCCAGTCTCCTCCCCACAGGGCAGTTTTTGAAAATGAGCATTTGCTTGGCCAATCCTCAGGAACACACGGTCCAAACATCTGATAACTGGGCATGAGGACTCATGCATAGCAGATTTGTAGCCCTTTTCAAAATGGCCAGAGCGGCTGAGATGGTGAAAAATTGCTCAATGTAAAACAAAGGTCACCGGCTGCCCGTCTTCAGAGAATCTTCATTCAAAACTTAGAGGCTAACATTTATTCTCACAGATGTGTACACAGCCCTCTGAAAAACCTGAGGATGACTGTGTTAATGCAGATTGGCACTGAATTATTAAATATTATAAAATAAGCGCGTTCTGCTGGCATCTTTTCTCAGCTGCCGTGTCCATGCTGCCTGCTGGGATGAATGGCGCTGGAGGAGCAGCTGGGCGCAGGCATGGTGAGGGGTGAGGGCCTGGGAGGCGTGGGCAACAGGAGCGCCCGGCTGCATGCCATCGCCCTCTGCAGAGCCACCATCGCGCTTCTAAACGTCTGGCCACAGCAGCCTGGCTCCCAAAGCTCACCAAGCGAAGGACCGACTGCAAAGTGAACTTCGTACCCAGAATTGGCAAACGTGGCTTTTGCCTCCCAGAAATTTTACATCAGCCTGTAGAGGACGGTGAGGGACATCTTTTGAGGGGTCCTGAGGGAGACCCAGCTCCCACGCTGCCTGGCGAGCAGCAGGAGCCACAGCCAAGTTCTCGGCCACCGCAGGGGCCCCGTCTTTTGTGCCCACTTTACACACAGGGAAGTCCAGACGTGCCCATCAGAGAAAACTGGGACCATCATGACTTCCCTCGGATGGATCGAACTCTCCTCTGGGTCCAGCTGTGCCCCTTGCCCACGCCCTGTGAACTCTGTCGCCCAGCACAGTGGGAAGCTCATCGGAACTTGTAACTGTCTTTGCTTTGTTTTCCTTCACGGAAATGACAAGAACCTTTAAAACTTGTAAATCCCCATTTCTGCTGGGGAGAAATTTTCCCCAAAGAGCAGGACGCAGGACGCCTTGTGAGGAGGCCTCCAGGAATTTCTCTCGTCCTGTTCGAACCTCCTGACCTTGTGTTCGGATGTGTCTGGCAAACCGTGGCAGGTCCTTGGTGTTTAAGGCCAGTGCCCCAGATGGACAGCTCCATGCTCAGACACGTGGACAGTGGGGTGCCCGGAGGCCACCAGGGTGGCATGTGGCACTTCAAGTGCTGGGCCCTGCTGGGTCTGACATTGGCGTCCCCTGCAGCAGACTGCTTGTGGGCAGAGTTGTAGCCCTGACCCTCCAACCAGCACACATGCCGTGAGTTCTGGAGATGGTGTCTGGGAGCGGTGGTGGTGACCGGGGGCACCTGCAGGCACCGCTCTTCTGTGCCAGCTTTCCCACTTGCCAATGGAGGCTGGGAAACACATGGCGCACACAGGCGCCTCCCCACGATCGAGGCCTCTGGGACGCTGGCTCAATCTCCGCCCAGACAGCAGTCTCTGGAGGGTCTGGCCTCAGGGAAGCCTGCATCAGCAAAACGCTGGATGCCCATCAGGGCCCGGGACCAGAGCCGGCTGCCCCCACTTCCCACAACCCCAGCCTCGCCCAGTGAGAAGGCTACAGGTGCTGGTGACACCTGACCCCTCACCGGCCTCGGACACTAGGGCAGGGCAGACGTCGCAGGTGGCTAGCGACTCAGATCCACACCATCATCCCGGGTGAGCCTGGTGAGCAGCGATGCCAACGTGTGCTTCACATACAGCTCTCCGGGAGGCACGCCTGTTCACCATTCTGTCTCCAGCAGCTCACAATACATATACCCTGAACCAATGACCATGGAAATGAATTCTAATTTCAATTAGCAATAGAATCCAATCAAGGTATTAGGTTCTGTTGGGGAATAAACTTGCTAGGTTTTTCATTCTGTAAGGACATCCTACATGACAAGATTAATTTTAAAAGAACCAAGGTCCTGGTACAGTAGCTCACACCTGTAATCCTAGCACTTTGGGAGGCTGAGGCAGGAAGACTGCTTGAGCCCAGGAGTTCAAGGCCAGCTTGGGCAACACAGTGAGATCCTGTCTCTACAAATTTTTTTTTTAAATAGCTGGGTTTGGTGGCATGCGACTATGGTCCTAGCTACTTGGGAGGCTGAGGCTAGAGGACCGCTTGAGCCCAGGAAGCCGAGGCTGCAATGAGCTATGATTGCACCACTGCACTCAAGCCTGGGCAACTGACCCTATCTCTAAAAGTGAATCAAGCACCAAGACCCTTGGTCAAGGCCATACTCACACTCAAACACGTGGCCCACGAGAAGGCCATCACTTTGCACACATTAAGTGCTGGCCATCTTTATTAAATAGAGATGTTTAACATTCAATAGATATCAAAGGTGACAAAAGTTAGGTCATAGTTTACGTGTTAGCATTTGCAGAAACAATAACAAATAATAAAAAGTTAAAATAACCTTTGACACACAGCTGCCTTTGCAATCAGCCTTCCTACCGTTCTTCCTCCACCTCTGGTTTGGTGTCTGTGCTCAGGGGCAGCAGAAGAGGGGCCATCTATGCAGCCAACGAGCCCCTGAAATACCAGGAGCCTGGTGCTGGGAGAGGACTTGGAAACAAACCTGTTGGCAAATTATCTTAACCAGGAAGAATTGGAACGATCAGTAAGAAGTCGTTAAACTTCCCTAAATGCAGTAACTTTCAATGTGTCTGAGTCTCACCTTTGGATGTTCTCAGCTTTTAATCTTTCTTGGAGAATGAGCTGGTTCACAGCCGCAGTGTGGAAAAGCAGGTAGCCCTCCACCAGAGGCACATGGGCTCCACCTTCCAGCCATTGGGGATTTCCAAGTCTCCTCTTTGAAAAATGCCACAATCCTAAATCCTCAGACCCAGTTACAAGTCACCAAGTGCTTCTGTTCAGACACTTCTGAGTGGCTGGTACGGAGCTCGCAGGTCCCAAGGATGACACAGGACTCGGCACCGAACACCACTGCTTCCAACTTCCAAAGCCACACAGGACTCAGCACCAAACACCATCGCTTCCAGCTTCCAAAGCCACACAGGACTTGGCACCAAACACCATCGCTTCCAGCTTCCAAAGCTACAAAATCAAGCTTTCAAAACACATGTTCACTTCTAGAAGTGCTTCCATCACAGGTGTGGTGTGGAAACCAAGACACACGCAGGTGGCACCTGTCATTCAGAAGTGCCGGCCTTAGTAACCTGGACTCCAAGCAGCTGTGCGTTGAGTGTGTGTGCATGCACACAACCGACAGTCCTTCATTCAAAGTGCTCCACTGTGATCTCTCGTGTTGACAATTCTACATAAAGAAAATCAGTCACGGCCAGGCGCAGTGGCTCATGCCTGTAATCCTAGCACTTTGGGAGGTTGAGGCAGATTACTTGAGGTTGGGAGTTCGAGACCAGCCTAACATGGTGAAACCCCATGTCTACTAAAAATACAAAATTAGCCAGGCGTGGTGGCGCATGCCTGTAATCCCAGCTACTCAGGAGGCTGAGGCAGGAGAATCGCTTGAACCCAGGAGGCGGAGGTTGCGGTGAGCCGAGATCGTGCCATTGCACTCCAGCCTGGGCAACAAGAACGAAACTCCATCTCAAAAAAAAGAAAAAAAAAAGAAAGAAAATCAGTCACTTGATAAAGGTGAATGCTGAGATGGACACATACCTATTTTTGGTTAAATAACTTTAATTACACCACTGTAAGTAGATTCTGCCTCTGACCGTCCCACAGCACACAACCGGATGTGATTCTTGTCACTTCTATTTTAAACATGCATACTGGGAAAACAGAAACACAAGAGTGCTATGGGTACACGCGACGTGTAAAAAGAAATGAACCCCTTGAAGACATAGACATGGTGTGCGGTGACAGCCAGGCCTCACTGACGACAGGGCACGCAAGTTGGAGCCAGGACGCCTCTGAGGCGGGAGCAGTCTTAGGATTTCCTGTCATGCTCTTGATGCTTCTGCCCACTCTGGGTTGTCACGGTGATGCTTCATTTTGGACAGTATAAAACCGGTGATTAATGCATATCTTGCTCTTCAGCAAAATACTATTCAAGTAGTTTTAACTTAAATATTTTAAAAGTAATCTTTACATTATTGAAGATTGTTAAAAAATACAGAATCTGACAACTGTTCACTCAATCTGATGCTCTGAAACTCTTCACTTCTGTATTACCATAATTTAGAAGGCAACCCCTGGCCTTTATCAAGCTCTCTGCAGGGTTATTTTCAAGATCCATCTTTCCCCCACTGGTTCGAGTTTAAAAGACTTTCGGAACCTTTTGCCACTGCATTGTAAGGAGAACATGAACCCCTTCCCACTACTTCCTTTAGCTACACATTCTATGACTGAGAGTGAGCTGGAAGCTAAACAAGCCCCAGCTGATTTCTGCCACATACAAGGGCGCTGTGAAGAATTTCCCTGTTGAAACCTTAATGAAGACGATGATCCCAAGTGAAGCTTTATGAAGAGACGGCACAGCAGAGTGAAATGTTTGGCAATCAACAGTGAATTAGAATTACATCCTTGATCAGGGACGGTGCTGTCGCCGCGAACACAGTCGTTAGAAAAGTTGGTTTCTGCTGTGACGAGGCTCAGAGTGGCCACTCGAGGAAGTCCAGCCTCGTCAGCCTCCAGTCCCGGGCCCCAGGCCCCTCCAGGCCCTCAGTAGATATCTGGGCAGTCGGAGAAATTCCGCTCAAAGTAATCCCCTGCATACAACCAGTCGGGGGTCCCAGTGTAGGGGTTATTGCCTGGGTAGAACCACCTGCCGGACACAAGGGAGGGGTCAGAAGATGCTCAGCCCAAAAGGAAAACGCAGCCCTGCTCTGGGGGCAGGAGTGTGTTCCCCCAATTCAGCACCATCACAGTACCATGGGTTTTAAAATGCAGCCCAGGGTAACAACCTCAATGGAGGATTACTGATCCTGTGGTCACGTGAATGCTGGAACCTAAAGATATGCAGCCACCCATGTCCATTTCACTTCCCAACAAAATCTGGAGGGTTTAACTCAACACAAAATCCTCACACTGGGCGGTTATCAGAGAAGTTGCTGGAGCCTAAATAATGCCTCTCCCTTTTCAAGGCAAAAGCAGTTACACTGTTCATATTTGCTTTCATTTGAAGCAAACCAAGTATTTGATTTTTTAATTGAGGACAAAGGAAGACATTATAGGCAAAGAGAAGGTAGCACAGGGCCCGGGTGTTGGGGCTGGCTCAGCCGCCATCCGCAGCGCCCAGTTGGCACTCAGGGCCCAAGGGGAGTCCTTGGGGCTGGTTCAGCTGCCATCCACAGTGCCCAACTGGCACTGAGGGCCCAAGGGTTGGGGGTGGGGTGGGGGGGCAGCACTCACAAAGAAGAAGACATTTTCTTCAAAGGATAAAAGATCATTATTTTCACATTATATTTTTTAACACTTTAAAAAAACAATGAAGAGGCCGGGCACAGTGGCTCACGCCTGTAATCCCAGCACTTTGGGAGGCCGAGGCGGGCGGATCATGAGGTCAGGAGATCGAGACCACAGTGAAACCCCGTCTCTACTAAAAATACAAAAAATTAGCTGGGCGTGGTGGCTCATGCCTGTAATACCAGCTATTCGGGAGGCTGAGGCAGGAGAAAGGCATGAACCCAGGAGGCGGAGCTTGCAGTGAGCCAAGACTGCGCCACTGCACTCCAACCTGGGCGACAGAGTGAGACTCCGTCTCAAAAACAAAACAAAACAAAACAAAACAAAACAATGAGGAAAGGTTAACTATTTTAAAGCTGATTTTTCTCTGGATTAAGGGCAAATTCCAAATATCAAACCATTCAAAGCCTAGTATTAAATTAAATTGGAAGCCCAAACAGTGAGAATTGGTTTCAAAATGCCAGCCACAAGTAAATCGCTGGATACCATTGTTATTGGGCCTTGAAAATGAATCCTACCAAGTAGGTGGCCTAACAGAATTAAGATGCTTCACAAATACCCAAAGATTGTTCTAACGAACTAAAACCTTTTACTTATAAATACATTTAAAATTATACTTATTACAGTACATTACTGATTGAATCCTTATTCGATGGTTCTTTTCTCTTATGACTATTATAGAATAAACTACAGCCAGCTTAGGACAGTTACAGAAACAGGAATCATGTCCTGGCAGCTGATGCTTCTGTGAGACCCACGCGGGCCCACGCCATCGTCCCAGCCTCTGTGTGCACAGATGCCACGGCACAGCACACGGGATTTAATTTTCACAAAACCTTTCCAGGTCACAGTGTGAAGATCAGCCTGAGTGGCGCTGACAGGAAGATGTGGTATTGGTGTGACAGGCGCGGCCTCCACATGGTGCCACCTCCCGACCCACAGGGGCTGTGGCCCTGGGGGACCTCAACACTCACCAGCTGTGTTTTCCTAAAGAGAGCAGCCACATTCAGGCAACATTTTCTCTTTAACTTTGCCACAGTTGAGAAGAAAGCTTTGGGCCAACACACCATGAGGCCCGGCAGTAGGCCCAGGTCTGAGGTGACAGGCGCTCTGCACAGGCCACCCCCAGCCGGATGGTCTCGGCAAAGTGTGCACTAAGTTGGGATGGGCTCTCACCTGGGCAGTGGGAACCACATGGGTCAGGGGCAACCACTGGTGTCACTACCTTAATGGAGCCATGGAACAGCAACTGTCCAGCCACAGGGGTGTGGGGGTGAGAGAAGGTGCTCCCCACCATCCCCAGATGTGTGTGGGGCCTCTTGGCTGTCCCCAGGTGTGTGTGGGGCCTCCTCACTCCTTGCTGCCCCAGCCTGCGTGGCTACCACCTACTCACCTCGTCTGCCACTCCGCCTCCTCCCTGGCCCGCTCCCTCCGCGCTTCTCTCTGTTTCTCCTCCAGCCGCTCCTTCTCCTGGCTGGCCAGATCTAGGATAGAAACAAACAGTTTAGGTTAGACAGAGACCTCAGAACCGTACCCTGCCACCCCCCGTGCACCTAGATCTCTAGATGGCATGTCTCACTGTGGCTGGAATGCCACAGACAACAGCTTTTCTGATTGGGAAACCAAACACAATCACAACTGCCGAGGCCAGCTGCCAGTGCGCCAACGGGGCCCTTCCCAAATGGAGCTGAGCACAGTGGGGGGGCTGCGTGTGCTGCACGTTCTACGACAGCGCGACTCAAAGTCTGCGGGTGCAGGAGTCTGAAGGACAGGCAGGGCCTGAGCACCACCTGATGCCCTAGTGTGTAAGCAGGCGCTCAGGACGGGAAGCCAGCCCCACCATGGGCTGTGCAAATCAGAGCCCATCTTTCAACCAAAGACGAGCTCCATTTAGCCTTAACCTTCCAGGGTAACTGCCATGTGGCTTCTGTGAAGGACTGGGCATATATTCTGAATACAAAGCATGAGAAGTTACATCCCTTCCCAAGTCACACTCCTCGTGAGCTGGGTTTCTCTCCGAACACATCACTAATTCAAGCCAGGTGCGGTGGCTCATGCCTGCGTCCCAGCACTTCCAAGGGCTGAGGTAGGCGGATCGCTCGAACCCAAGAGCTGGAGTCCAGCCTGGGCAACATGGCAAAACTCCATCTCTATAAAAAATACAAAAATTAGGCCAGGTGCAGTGTAATCCCAGCACCTTGGGAGGCCAAGGCGGGTAGATCACCTGAGGTCAGGAGTTTGAAACCAGGCTGGCCAACATGGTGAAACCCTGCCTCTACTAAAAATACGAAAATTAGCTGGGCGTAGTAGCAGGTACCTGTAAACCCAGCTACTCGGGAGGCTGAGGCAGGAGAATCTCTTGAACCTGTGAGGCGGACGTTGCAGTGAGCCGAGATCACACCATTGCACTCCAGCCTGAGCAAAAAAAAAAACAAAAAAAAAACCCTGGCCGGGCGAAGTGGCTCACATCTATAATCCCAGCACTTTGGGAGGCCGAGGCGGGTGGATTGTGAGGTCAGGAGATTGAGACCATCCTGGCTAACACGGTGAAACCCCATCTCTATTAAAATATATAAAACATCAGTCAGGCGTGGTGGTGGGTGCCTGTAGTCCCAGCTACTCGGGAGGCTTAGGCAGGAGAACAGCCTGAACCCAGAAGGCGGAGCTTGCAGTGAGCCGAAATCGTGCCACTGCACTCCAGCCTGGGGGACACAGCAAGACTCTGTCTAAAAAACAACCTGCAAAAATTAGCCAGGTGTGGTGGCATGCACTTGTAGCCCCAGCTACTTGGGAGGCTGAGGCAGGAGGATCGCTTGAACCTGGGAGGTTGAGGCTGCAGTGAGCCGATATCGCACCACCTTACTCCAGCCTGGGCGACAGAGTGAGATCCCGACTCTAAAAATAAATAAATGAAACATCACTAACTCAAAACCCAGGACACTTTAGATATGCCTCCTCAGCCAGGAGGTTCCCTGCAGATTCCATCGAGATGAGTGAGTGAGAGAGACAGTTGTTCATCAGCCACGTTACAGACGAATGCTGCATGCAGAGCCCACCGGGAGAGTGTGAGGCTGCAGGATACGCCACACACGGGCCAGTGACTGCACTGAGGGCTACACGGATCCTCACGGTGGAACACCTGCAGTTTTCAAAATGTAATCTTAACTTTTGTTTAATAATAAAAAATGAGGAACTTGCACTTCGTTTTTACTGTGTTTTTTGTTGTTGTTTATGAGACAGGGTCTCGCTCTGTCGTCCTGGCTGGAGCGCAGTGGCACAATCTCGGCTCACTGTCACCTCCACCTCCTGGGTTCAAGTGATTCTTGTGCCTCAGCCTCCCAAGAAGCTGGGATTACAGTTGGACACCACCGTGCCTGCCTAATTTTTTGTATTTTTAGTAGAGAGAGGGTTTCGCCATGTTGGCCAGGCTGGTTTCGAACTCCTGACCTCAGGTGATCCACCAGCCTTGGCCTCCCAAAGTGCTGGGATTACAGGCGTGAGCCACCACGCCTGGCCTAGGACTTGTACTTTGTATGTATTCTTTTTCATTTCATTTTCTAGTAATGTAATTTTAATTTATTTACAAAAGGTTTGGTCTGAGGCAGGCAAGAGATCTTTAAAGCTCATCACCGCAGATGGTCTGAGAAGCCTAGCTGGAAGGCCTGCAGCCTGCCTGTTTGTTTAGGGAGAGGGACCAGGCTCCCCTTTTAGGGGAGAGCCTGGCTTCTGCCACCGAGTGCTTTGTGCTCTCCCACCCTAGCCAGGGCGCCCTTGGCCCCAGCTCCCTCCTCTGACTGCAGGGACGCACCCATGTTGCCATTCTCCATGCCGCGGATGTCAGGGCGCAGGCGGCAGTCCGTAGGCGGCAGGGTCTTCTCCATGCCTGTCTCCAGCTCGTTGAGGCTCACAGTGAAACTGGTGAAATTATACATCTGTGGAGCAGGCACAGAGATGCGACCTCAGCAGGGCCTCTGAACCATGGACGATGCTCCAAGACCCCCAGTGGGCCTCTGAAACCCACAGGTGCTACCTGACTGCCACCATGGGAACCTACTTCCACTCACGTCTTCCACCCGCAAATTCCATGCCTCTGCCATCTTCACTAAGTGCGTATCATGCACTGTGGCTGTAACGTTTGCACTTTGAGGTGTAACAGCAAAACTCACACACATTTCTTTTTCTATCTTCACAATTTCATTGACAGATTTGTCACCAGCTTGCTGGAAACACTTCGGCCACGCTACCTGTCTCCCGCTCCTAAACCCTCAGCTTGTACCTGCTCCTTCCCTGCCCTCAGCCACACCTGCCCACAGATTCCTCCTATTTACCCCTGCAGCTGCCAAAGCCTCAGCCCTGGGAGCAAGTTAATCTGTCACATTAAAAACCGGAATGCTTAGGGCATGACAGTCCCCCCGTGCCTAGGACAACCAGAGCCTTGCTCTGCCTGACTTCTGGCTTGCAGCTGTCTGCTCAGTGTCTCGTGGACAGCACACCCGAGCGGGCCTGTAGCAGCACCCTGCACCCACAGCCTCCCGGCCTCTGCACCACAGCCTCCTGGCCTCTGCACCACAGCCTCCCGGCCTCTGCAGCCCTCAGGGCCCCGGCTCCACTCAGGTCCTCCTGCCACAGCCAGGCCCTCCAGCCGCCACCCGTGTCCTCCTCTTCTGTTGCTGCCCTCACAGCATATCAACAAGCAGCCAGAAAGGCCACAGGAAACATCAACCGCACCCGTCATTCCCTGTTCAAATGATTCATGGTGCCCCATGTCACTCATAACAAATACTGAAGTCATCTGGAGACCCCTGCACTCCCCCCACCCTCATCCTCATGGCCCCCTGGGCCTTCTAGCCCTCATACACTAGTCTACTCCAGGGGGCTCTGCCCTGGCTGTCCCCTCCGCCCAAATGCAATCCCTAGACACCCCCACCCCTACCCCATGACTGAAGCCACAGCACTCAGATGCCCTCCCTAGCACCCAAGGCACCACCTGGCTCTCAGGTGTGAGTCAACCACCTGCCCCACCTCCCTGCTGGGACCTCATCCGCCTGGTCCCAGAGCCCAGGCCCACAGGGCCTGGCAGGCAGAAGGACTCAACACATATGCTGAGCCAAAGGCTGGAAGCACAAGTTATCGTTAAAGAGACTTCCCTGAAAAAATACATAAGCAATTTTCCTAATAATAAATTTAAAATACCAATAGTATCATTGGCAGGCCACAGTGTCTCATGCCTGTGGTCCCAGCAACTCAGGAGGCCAAGGCAGGAAGATTGCTTGAGGCCAGGAGTTTGAGACCAGCCTGGGCAACATAGCAAGACCTCCTCTCTACAAAAAATAGAAAATTAGTCTGGCATGGTGGCACACGCCTGTGGTCCTTGCTACTTAGGAGGCTGAGGTGGGAGGATCACTTGAGCCCAGAACTTGGAGACTGCAGTGAGCCAAGATCACACCACTGCACTGCAGCCTGGGTGACAGAGCGAGACTCTGCCTCTATCAAAAAAGAAAACAGCATTGTTAAAGCAGTTCATGCTCTAATCAAATGATAACAGCGACTGTTGAGATAACGTGTTTAGAGTGAAGGTTTTGCTTCCTTTTCTGTATTTTACACGTTCTGCTCTGTTTATGGGACATAAAAAATTGCGTAAGTTGCATATATTTTATATATAAATAAGAATTTATAAAAGATACTAAAATATTACATGTGATATTTATCATATAACCATATATCACATTTTGTCATAAGACATGTAGTTTATCTATATTTAATAAAAATTATAAGTGAAATTTTCAAAAATAAATATCACAATGCATTTAAGCATCTAAATTGACAAGTTAGAAAAGCAATCTCCTGAACAAGTCTGGAAGGCTCTTTTGATAAGATGCACTCGGTGTGGGCCTTGGCTGGCAATGGCTGCGTCTGTCTGATGTTCCCAGGGGAAGCACAAGCATGTGTGCCTGGAGCAGCGGTGCCCGGCCCCAACAGCGGGCCCCAAGGCAGGCAAGCACAGGGCCGGGACACAGCTCCAGGGACAACAGAAGCCAATTCAACACGGGCAGAGGCCCCTCCGTCTGCTCTGGGACAACAGGCTGAGGCAAGGTGGCACACAAGGGCCCAAGGACAGGGAAGAGCCGAGGTGCTGGGCTCAGGGGCAGGTCTGATGTGGGCAGGCAGTAAGGCCTGGCCTCACAGCGGGGGCGTCAGGCCACAGAGGGACACAGACCTGGGCAGAGTTGGGGGGCCGGGTGTTGATCCTCCAGAGCAGCTTGCTGCCGGGAATGACCTGCACGGTCTCCTGGGCCACAGGCACGTCGTCAGCCACATCGCTGTCAGCCTTCCCAGAGCTGTCATCCTGAAACACAGAACCCTGCTGGGTGGCTGCCCACGGCCAGGCCGCTCTTGGCCAGGAGGACAGCTATTCTCAGAGCACCTTTCAGACCAGTCACCATGCCTGAGCAGAGCCAGGCGGCCTTTTTTTTTTTTTAGACGGAGTCTCACTCTGTTGCCCAGGCTGGACTGTAGTGGTGCGATCTCGGCTCACTGCAAGCTCCGCCTCCCGAGTTCAAGAGATTCTCCTGCCTCAGCCTCCTGAGTAGCTGGGATTACAGGCACCCACTACCACACCCAGTTAATTTTTTGTACTTTTAGTACAGACTGGGTTTCACTATGTTGGCCAGGCTGGTCTCGAACTCCTAACCTCAGGCAATCCACCTGCCTCGGCCTCCCAAAGTACTGAGATTACAGGCGTGAGCCACCACGCCCGGCCTTTTTTTTTTCCTAAACTAAGGACAAAATCGAATTTCCTCTCCAGTCTATGACACTGTCTGTCCATCACTGTATGGAGAGGAGCTGGACCCCAGTCCCTAAAGCAGCTCACACTCCCTTCGTGGGGCTGTGCTGTGTGTTCTAACTGATACCAAAAGCAGAGACAACAGGAGGTCAGTGGCCAGGCGTGTCCCCCTTCGGGAGACGCGGTACACGTGACATGGCACTTCACGGAGTCTGAGCGCGACTACGCCGCGGTGCTTCCAAGCAGTATGTTCGTTCTCACGCACGGCACCTCTCCAGAAGGCAGGTTCTGGGGCTGAGAGCTTTCTAGATGGCGCAGCTTTGCCCTCCATCAAGAAATGACTCCTGTGTGGGGATTTCAGACTCTCTACATCCTGATGAAAAGAAAACACCTGCCACACTGCTTCTCAAAATCAATGGGTCCTAGAAAACGGAGAGAATGATTCCAGATGCAGCTGTGCAACGAGATGACTGAAAACAAGCGAGTCCAAGCCCAGGGCTTCCTGCACCAGCAGGGCTGTATTCACACTGGCTGTAGGCCCCGTGGCCTGAGGCTGGGCGAGGGGGAGCCGCGGCTCAAGGACAAGCCTTCACAGAAAACTCTCCTGTTTCTAGGTCACCTCGAGGAGTAGGAAAGCATCAAAAAACATCACTAAATGGATTTACCCTTCTAGGTCTGTCTAGTGTGTAAGCAGAAGTTTCCTTTTTAAATAAAAGAGGGTGATTAGAAAAGGTGTCTAACAGTACATGAATACTACAACATAAAAAACACTTGGGATCCGGAGGAGGCTGAACGTTTCCGTTAAATAAATATCGAACATTTCAGGCTTGGTACATTCCAATTCATTATGTAGAAAATATGACACCTCTTTTGAACTATCGCTTTTATTTTTAAGTTCAAGAACAACTAGTTTTAAGGTAATAAGTATTCCAAAGCTCTAGGGGGAAAAGCCTTGCCAATACTTTCTGGCTGTTGAATATATTATCTGGTACTCACAACTAAAAACAAAAAATTGAAATTCACTTGATTTTTAAAAATATGTCTAGACTAACTCAAAGAAAGCGAGAAGATTTATTAAGAAGGACCCAGAACCTGGAGTTTCCAGAAAAGAAATGGCCTTGGCCGGGCGCAGTGGCTCAAGCCTGTAATCCCAGCACTTTGGGAGGCCGAGACGGGTGGATCATGAGGTCAGGAGATCGAGACCATCCTGGCTAACACGGTGAAACCCCGTCTCTACTAAAAAATACAAAAAAAACTAGCCGGTGAGGTGGCGGGCGCCTGTAGTCCCAGCTACTCGGGAGGCTGAGGCAGGAGAATGGCGTGGACCCGGGAGGCGGAGCTTGCAGTGAGCTGAGATCCGGCCACTGCACTCCAGCCTGGGAGACAGAGCGAGACTCCGTCTCAAAAAAAAAAAGAAATGGCCTTGCCTGAGGTTCCCTCAGATACTTCCAGCCATGGGGGCCAGTGACTATGTATGACTCTAGGGCACTGGGGCCCACAGTTTATAGCAGCAGCCTCTGTGCAACCAAAATATAGATAAATCGGCTGGGTGTTGTGGTTCATGCCTATTAGTAATCCCAGCACTTTGGGAGGCCGAGGTGCGAGGACTGCTTGAGCCCAGGAGTTCAAGAGCAACATAGCAAGACCCCCATCTCTACAAAAAAATAAAAATTAGTCAGGCATGGTGGTGCATGCCTATAGCCCTAGCCACTTGGGAGGCTAAGGAGGGAGGACCACTTGAGCCTGGTAACTGGAGGCTGCAGTGAGCTATGACTACACCACTGCACTCCAACCTGGGTGACAGAGGAAGACCCTGACTTGGGGAAAAAAAAAAAAAAAAACGGAAAGAAATACAGATAACCCCCCCCCACTGATACTGGACCCCACAACAAGTGGTTCAACTGGACAAATTCTGCACATTCATCTCTCCTGCTGGGGCCCAAAGGCTCCCTGCGCCCCTGGCAGGTGAGTTAAAGGCAGCAGCAGCCTGACAACCCTCAGCGCCCAGGGCTCAGCTCTGCCCGGGGATGCCCCGGCCCTTACCAGCTTGGCCTTTCTCAGGTGGTCGCCTCTCCTCTCCTGCTTCTTGAAGGATTCATATGAAACGGGATCTATGCCCCACAAACATTCCGTCCATTTGCCATAGATCACAAAGAGCTTCTTTTTGCTGTAATTAAATGGGATTTTTAAAGCCAAGTTTTAGTCATTACAAACCATTTGTCTAAACACGTAGCACCTTAATTTTGACCCTGGAATAAATCCTCCTCAGGCATGCTTTCTTACGCATTTTGGGACATCTCTGGACATTATGCAAAGATGAAAATCTGCATTCTGGGACCATTCCGAGCCCTGATACACACCATGGAAAGGAAAATGAAGGGCCAGAAACCTAAAGGATGGACAGCCCACGGGGCTGCAGGAGACGGGAAGGGATGGAAACCCAAAGGAGAGCCGGCCCTCGGGGCTACAGGAGATGGGAAGGGGCAAAAAAAGAGCGAGCGTTTTAAAATGTAAAGCTGCAGGCACCCACTGATCATTTTCAACATGCTGAAAGTGCTGTGTGTGTCCTTCAGCCCTTTTCTATCCATCGGTGCAGTCAATGTTGCTTGATCTTTGGTTCCCCACCTGCCTGTTTTCATCAATAACAACCCAGAGACCTTCGCAGAGTGGCCACTAGAGCTCTCGATTCCAAAAGGGATGACGCCAAATAGTGCCAGGCTCCATTTTCTTTCTCTTTTCGCCTCTTGCTGGGAAGAGTGAACCGCGACCACAGACCCCCTGGAAGTGCAGCTCTGACAGGCTCAGGACCCAGGAGGGGAGGGCGTCTCTCTGCCCTTGCAGAGTCGGCACACAGACACGGGGAACTGGGCCAGGCCTCACCTAGCAGACAACCTGGGGACAACTCTCTGTCTCCAAGGACAGAGCACCCTTAAATTTAGGATGGAAAACCGGAAAACCAAAACACACTTTACATGCACTCACTGAGGGTCAGCGAGTCTGGCCTCAGGGCCCCCACGCAGTCCTGGAAAAACACGCTCTACATGCACTCACTGAGGGTCAGCGAGTATTGGCCTTGGCGCGCCCACCCATTTCTGGAAACAGACAGCCAGCTGCTCCCTGGGCTGAGTTCCAAGGGGCAGAGGCGTCAAGGCACTGTAAGACTGCTGTCCCTTCTAGGTCCACACGTTGATTCTCACATGTTTTATGGGAGAAATGGTCAGTCATAAGCCTGGCCATTTTATTTAAAGGCTGTTGAAACAGGTACATTTCTGGTATATATTAGAGGGTGGACAGAGCAGAAACACCAACTGTCTTATTTTTTTTTGAGACAGCCTCTTGCTCTGCCACCCAAGCTGGAGTGCACTGGCATGATCTTGGCTCACTGCAACCTCCACCTCCTGGGCTCAAGCAATTCTTGTGCCTCAGCCTCCCGAGTAGCTGGGATTACAGATGTGCGCCATCACACCTGGCTAATTTTCATATTTTTAGTAGATACAGGTTTTAGTAGAGACGTATTTTTAGTAAAGACAGCCATGCTGGCCAGGCTGGTCTCGAACTCCTGACCTCAGGTGAACTGCCCACCATGGCTTCCCAAAGTGATGGGATTATAGGCGTGAGCCACTGCACCTGGCCCTGTTTTACATTGGGGGCTAGTTTCTAACGGGAAATGTCTAAATTTTAGGAACGAGAAGGAACTTCATGACATTCTATGGCTCAAATTCCTTACTGGAAAAAAAATTGAGACCCAGATTACAAAGTAATTAACCCAAATGGAGAGAAAAAAAACTGAAAAATTTGCTAAAACAGTACTGACCATTTTTCTGCTCACAAAAACTTGTGAAAGTCCCTGATTCAGACTGGAGTGAACCGGTCACGTGACACGGACACCCCACCAGCTAACACATTTGAGTCTCGCCTGACAGTATGCACGGGGTGCCCTGCCGGGGGAGGGAAAGCGTAAGGCCACACTTCCCACCTCAGCTCTGCTGCAAAACGCAGTCTCGTCTCATCTCCCAGTGAAAACGGCTGACTTCTCGAGACAATGTTATCAAAAGATGGCCCCAGTAACAAGCCACCTAGAAACTACATTCAAAAATACCCTTCATTTCCTTGTATGCTCAATAACAAAATGTCTTTCCAAAACAAAAAGGAGTCATACTTCTGGACCATGAACAGATGGCACGGTGTACCCGCGTCTCGTGCACGTCGGCACATGCAGGCCCAGGAGCACCTGAGCCCTCTAACGTGGACGCACAGGCTGCAGTGGTGCCCCATGAACCACCTGGCAAGGACCTACTTTTTGTCTTGAATGTGTCCTTCCACCTTGTGAAGTTCTTTTCCGAATAATCCACACGGTTTAAAGTGAAGCACACACTTATGTCCAGTTCTGTGGGGAAAACAAACACAGGTTTCTGCTGCAAGACAGCAAACAGGCAGAAAGGGCAACTCTGTAACGGGAGAAGCGCGATGGAGGACCCTGGAGCAGGCGGGGGCTGACTGCAAATGGGTGCGGTGGGCCTTTGGGGCGATGGAAGTGTTTGAAACTGGAAATGTTGGAAATTGGAGCGATGGAAGTGTTTGAAACGGGCTGTGGGGATAGCTCCATGATTCGGTCAATTTATTAAAAATCACTTAAGTGTCCACTCAGAACAGGTGAATCGTATGATGCATCAATTATACCTCACTAAAGTGGTGAAAAGGCAAAGCCCACCAGTCATAAGCTTCCAGGAACAGGGCATTCGAGCCTGGACAGTGGCCAATGGCTGCGGACGGCCACCGCGCTGCACCTGGCAATGACACAGCTCTTCGGCATAGCTCAAAGCCTTCAAGTAACGACCGTGACTACAAATGAGGCCGTGAACGAGGAGCACCCATGGCCAACACCGGTCAGAGTCAAGTCCAGGCAGCTGCTATGCCTGGGCTGGTGGGGACACGGCAGCAGCTCGTTGAGGCTGAGCTAAAGCCCACCAGGAGCACGGACGCTCACGCTCCCTGGCTCACCATCCCCACCCGGAGCCTCGCACTCTCACCCAACAGTGGGGTGCTGTCACCTGTGGTTTAAAATCTCCACTGTCCCATACTGCTCTATCCACAGCTTCCCGATGATGACGTTGTGGACACAGCAGGTGGGGTTGGTCCAGGTGTAGGCTTCGTTATGTCTGTGAAGACACCAGAAAACAAGCGGTCAGAGCGCAGAAAAGGCAAGACACGACGTGACCTAAGACGCAACGACCAGGCAGTGCTGGGTCACAGCAGCTGGCGCCCGCAGGACAGCAGCATGCTGCTTTGAAGCCCCTGCGACGGAGGCCGTGTATTTAGCATGCGTTTGAAATGTACTTCTTCTTTCCTTTGTAGCATCTACAAAGCTTTCTACTTAAATGTCAAGACATGTTAATAAGCAATCAAAGAAGACTGAACAAAGAGAAATGGCTTTCCTGTGAAGTCGTCAAAAGAAAAGCGACCTCCCCAAACACACATGGCAGTAATGCAGGGTCCTGGGCACGCGGCCCTGGCTATCTGAGGAGCCGGCACGGGGCTGTGGAGGGTGCAGGGTTTTCACCGCACTCCACATACTTGTTTCTTTTATTCCTCATCCTCCCAAATGGCCCCGCCCAAGAAAACACCCCACAAATGTGAGGCAGCCGATCAGCAGCCCCATGTTCTAAGGGGCTATGTGGAGGAGCCACAGTGAAGGCAGAAATCCACTCAGAGCAGGGCAGTGTGTGACACGTGTGGAATTCTCTGAACTTCCTGGGGGTGGAACCCAAATGCGTTCATCAGCAAGGTGTGCGACTTTATCAGCAACGTGTGCAACTTTTCATTTCTGCACGCCTCTTCCTAAGAAAGCAAGGCCACTGCACAACAGGCACAAGGCTGCACCAGCCCCGGGACACACTCTCAGGTGCTTCTCCAGGTCCTTGTGGAACCTTCTAGCCACCATCCAGGCAGGGCCAATGTGAAGCAAAACCCACATCAAATGCTTCACCAGGCAAGGTGTTGTTTATTACTTATTTCTGTATGTATTGTTAGGACCTGGTGCCTACAACAAGACTGTAGGCAGTGGCTTGGCAAGACTCGCATCTCCGGACTGGTGGCCCAGGAGGACGCCAGCATCCGGTCTGTGTCTGCCAGGTCTTAGGGGCCGGCGTTTGTTGGAGACTTGTGTTTTGCTCTGAGGAGTCTTTGGTGGACACTGGCTTGGGAAGCATTCAGGCTGAGAGTGAAGAGCGGCAGTGAGCGGCCTCTCGGAGGGCCCCCTCCAATGCTGTTTCAAATTCCAACCCTAAGTCACCCCTGCCACGGGTGGGGGAGTGTGCAAAGGGCCACTTCCCTGGCTTCCTTCTCAGCTCTCTCCCCCGTGGGAGGCAGGACCCTGCAGCAAGCAGCCCTGAAGGGGCCCTGCCAGCAGGCAAGAAGGGGAGCCGGGACACAGGCACCATGGGAAACCCAACCCTCATCCCCACCGCAACCTCACGGTCCCTAGCCCTCAGAAACCCTGCCAGACTGGTGTGGAAGCTGCTACATTTGGGGCTGTTAGGCAGTAAAAGACAAGGAATACAATGAATGATGACTGAAAGGGGTGCGAATTCCAACTGCAGAGGTGAGGGCGCCCCCCAGCAACACGGGACCCTGGTCAGGAAGCTCATCTGAAGACGTTTCTGCTGTGGGGAGGTCACCACCTCAGGAGAAAAATCTTCCTTCCAGAGGAATCCGGAAGGAAGGCTTCCCTCCACATCACCAGCACCCATTTCACTTTCTGCAGGAGGCGGCTCTCGGCAGGACGCACCAATACTCACTTGAGCAGCTCCAGTGTGATGGTGCCTCGGGGCTCCGCCTCCACGCTTTTGCCCCAGAACTTGAGCTTGGGGTAGATGGAGCCGTGGAACAGGAAGTCATGGTTGAGGCCTTCCGAGTGGAACGCACTGATGGGGGGATGGTGACTGACCTGTTCCGATATAAATCTGAATCCTAAATCTTCCCTAGGTCCAAGAAAAGAAAAAGAGAAACAGACACATTAATGGCAGCAAAATAAAAGAAAGGGCAGCTCAGACATCGTGCAGAGCCCCTCACGGGACGCTGGGAAGCAAGGGCCCTCCGTGCCACAAGATGTGGCAGAAACACCCAACACCGCCTCTCCAACATCGCACTCGGCCTAACATTGGCAACAGACACACACATAAACATGGCTTCCAGAGCACATCTGACCCACCCAGAGAGGGCAATGGTGCAGGAGGGGGCCTCCACCCCAACGCCCCGCTTGCTCTCCATGGGACCACCCGAGCCACAGCGGTGTCTCGCCAGAGGTGCCCAGAGATGTGGATAAGTGACCCTTACAGACCCCTGACTCCAAACCCTCAACCCCGAGGGACCCCCACTGCCTAGGAACTCAGGACACTAAACCCTCTCTGAAGAGGGTGCCCCTTCCTCACCTTTCTACCAGGCCCCTGAAATTTCCGAGATGGAATGGCTTATACCCCAAAATATTCCTGTCCAGGAAACAGGATTTTTAGTATACTCTCTTTTTCAATCAAAATGTCAGCTTTTAATTGTTCCGGAACTGTGAATACACCTACAGGTGTAGTCATTAAAAATTAGAAAAGCTAAACCACATAATTACCAACTTAACTGGAATCAGAATTTCCAATCATTACAGAGGAAGGAAAGTTGAAAAATTAGATTTTAAAAGGTTGACTACCAAGGTATGTAATTTACAAAATGAATACTTGTCTAAGAAAGGAATGTGTATTTTTAGCTGTAACAAGGAATCTGTAGGGATCCAGGGTATTGGGAAAGGACTTGGTTCACGTCCATGGCCCCTAACCTGACAGACTGCCAAGGTCTCACAGACGCACAGCACATGGCAGACACTGGCAAGGACGATCTGGAAGTGAATGCGTGACAGACGACGTGTGTCGGGGTGTCGGCGTGAAGAAGGTGCGTAGCTTGCTTCCGGCTGTGCAGCAAGAGCTCCGGCCCTGGGTGCAGCCCCTGGGGAAGGCTGCTGGTGGCACGCCCCGCTCCACCCAGCCCAGGCGGCTTGCATTCCTTTCACTCACAAGGCTTCTTCTCTATCATCTAGAATTTCTTTCCTATTCTGATTTATCTTTTTCTTTTTTTTGAGATGGAATCTCAAAATCTCTGCCACCCAGGCTGGAGTACAGTGGCGCAATCTCGGCTCACGGCAACCTCTGCCTCCAGGTTCAAGCGATTCTCCAGCCTCAGCCTCCTGAGTAGATGGGACAGGTGCATGCCACCACGCCCGGCTAATTTTTTGTATTTTTTAGTAGAGACAAGGTGTCACCATGTTGGCCAGGCTAGTCTCGAACTCCTAACCTCAGGCGATCTGCCCACCTCAGCCTCTCAAAGTGCTGGGATTACAGGCGTGAGCCACCGCGCCCAGCCTGATTTATCTTCTTCAAGACATTTTAATCATTTTCTAAGAGCCAATCTCGTGAATGCCTCCGACGGTGGCACAGCACGCTGACCAGAGGACGGGAAGGCTGGCAGCAGCAACAGGCTCAAGAGAAATATCGAGAAAAGGAAGCACACTCTGCGTGAATTCAGAACAGAAGACTCCCGCACAAGTGATTCTCATGGCCAGTCTTTCCCTTGTCCAGGCCTCAGCCTCCCCTTTCCCAGAAGCAGAAGCAGGGCTGCTCCCTGCAGCGTGTGCCAAGACCCACTGCTCCCTGCAGCGTGTGCCAAGACCCACCGTCGCCTGCTGGACCCTGCTGTCACCACGCCACACTCTGTCCAAACTATCCTGCTTGCTCAAAGGCAATGACATCTAGAGAACAGGTGCTCGGCTGCCCAGCGCCAGCCAACTTCTAAATCAGACGAAAAACACAAAGTTGGCATTCACGCATGGGCAGCGTGTGGGTAAGGACCAGCAGCTGACCCAGCCAGCATGAGCCAGGAACACTAGAATTTGAAGCTGTGACATTTATGTTGCTTCTCCAAACTGCATAGTGATTTATATACAGAAGTACAGGAAAGCCTGTATTACTAACAACAGCTCCTCCCCAAATGGTCTGACAGCCAGTGCTGACACTCACACTTTCTAGGACAAACATGGGCACACACTTTTAAACTTTTTTTTTTTTTTTTGAGACAGAGTCTCGCTCTGTTGCCCAGGCTGGAGTGCAGTGGCCGGATCTCAGCTCACTGCAAGCTCCACCTCCTGGGTTTACGCCATTCTCCTGCCTCAGCCTCCTGAGTAGCTGGGACTACAGGTGCCTGCCATCTCACCCAGCTAGATTTTTGTATTTTTTTTTAGTAGAGATGGGGTTTCACCAGGTTAGCCAGGATGGTCTCGATCTCCTGACCTCGTGATCCACCCATCTTGGCCTCCGAAAGTGCTGGGATTACAGGCTTGAGCCACCGGGCCTGGCCACACTTTTAAACTCTTTACACACCAGAAGAAAGCCCATTTGAAGCAAACCAAATCCCACAACCACTTGCTCACTATTGATAAAAATCTCAACCATGGCCGGGCATGGTGGCTCACGCCTGTAATCCCAGCACTTCGGGAGGCCAAGGTGGGCAATCACCCGAGGTTGGGAGTTCAACACCAGCCTGGCCAACAAGGTGAAACCCTGTCTCTACTGAAAACAAGAGAATTAGCCGGGCATGGGGGCACACGCCTGTAATCCCAAATACTCGGGAAGCTGAGGCGGAGAACAGGGAGAATTGCTTAAACCCACAGGCGGAGGCTGCAGCGAGCCGAGATCATGCCACTGCCTTCCAGCCTGGGCAACCAATGGAGACTCCGTCTCAAAAAAAAAAAATTCTCAATAATTAATAACACATAAAATACAATAAAGGGTCCCATACAGTGACCTGAAGTTTCAAAGGAACTGCACTTCTTTGAACCAAAGATGTCACTAATTGCACTGCACACCATTATTTTATGAAAGAAAAAAAAAATGCTACAAATGAAACTATGACTTGGGCTGGGCGCAGAGGCTCACACCTGTAATCCTAGCACTTTGGGAGGCGGAGGTAGGCAGATCACTTGAGCTCAGGAGTTCAAGACTAGCCTGGGCAACATAGCAAAACACTATCTCTATTGAAAATACCAAAATTGGCCGGGCGCAGTGGCTCAAGCCTGTAATCCCAGCACTTTGGGAGGCCGAGATGGGCGGATCATGAGGTCAGGAGATCGAGACCATTCTGGCTAACACGGTGAAACCCCATCTCTACTAAAAAAATACAAAAAAACTAGCCAGGCGAGGTGGTGGGCGCCTGTAGTCCCAGCTGCTCGGGAGGCTGAGGCAGGAGAACGGCATGAACCCGGGAGGCGGAGCTTGCAGTGAGCTGAGATCCTGCCACTGCACTCCAGCCTGGGCGACAGAGCGAGACTCCATCTCAAAAAAAAAAAAAAAGAAAATACCAAAATTAGCTGGGCATGGTGGCACATGCCTGTAGTTCCAGCTACTTGGGAGGCTGAGGTGGGCAGATAACTTTAGCCCAGGAGGTTGAGGCTACAGTGAGCCGTGATCATGTCACTGCACTTCAGCCTGGGGGACAGAGCAAGACCCCATCTCAAAAAAAAAAGGAGTACGAAACTGACATGTTGAAGTGCTGCAACATGAAAAATGTGTCTTAGAATCCATGAAACACTGTAATTTAGAAAAAGTTTTAATATCACAGGAAAATTATGACATACTGTTAAATAAAAAGGGATACAAATTAACATCATATTTTGAAACACACACAAAAGAAAGTAACAAAATGCTGACAGCTATCTTTATTTTTTTAAAGAGACAGGGTCTGGCTCTGTAGTCCAGCTTAGAGTGCAGTGGCACGATCACTGTAACTTCGAACTCCTGGGCTCGAGTGATGCTCCTGCCTCGGCCTCCCAGGTTGCTGGGATTATAGGCATGAGCCTAGTCAGCTATTGTCTTTTATGGGATTATGCCTGATTTATCTTTTCTACCTTTCTCAATGTTACACATTTTCTATAAAGAGCACATTCTTATAATTAAAAAACAAACAGACTTCATAATAAAATAACCCAACAGAATATCAACTAAACCAGAATCCAAATAAGAGGCTAATTGTTTTGGCTCAACTCCCTTTTTCATAGAAAAATAATAAAACAAGATGATAAAGGAGCCTGCCTTCCCTCCCGTCTGCACTCTGTTCCTGGGCAGGGAGGCGTGCAGCCCAGCAGCCTGTAGCAAACAGCTTGCATTCTGCACAGCAGGCTTGTCTAGATAACCACCCACGCCCCTCCAGCAAGCTCCTTCTCCCCGGGCAGGCGGAGCGAGCTCTGTGTGCTGGGCTACCTCGACAGTCGGAGGAGTGAAGGGCGTCCCACCAGCAAGCTCCTTCTCCCCGGGCAGGCAGAGCGAGCTGTGTGCTGGGCTACCAGACAGTCGGAGGAGTGAAGGGTGCAGCTGAGAGTGCCCTGCCCCTCCCTCCTTCAGTACCATAGCTTAGCCCTGTCACAGAGACAGGGGCTCAACTGTGCTCCGCTGACTCTCCCTACACATCTGTCCGTGGGCACCCGCATGCATCTACAAGAGAATGAGGGGGTCCACGGGCAGTGGAATAAAAATCATTTTAGACATCACCAAACGGCCCTGAAGGAAGCCACACACATCTATTCTCTCATCCACAGCCACCCGGAGCCCCAGCCAGGCTGCTCGATGGCTGAGGAATTACCACACTGCCACACTCATGCTGCGGTCTGGCCTGCTTCTGACTTCCTTTGTTGGTTTGGGTAGGCACTGTCACCGGGGCAGAATCTCAGGATGATTCTGTGAATAACCACAGCAGTCCCCGGGGCAACCAGGTGGGTGAAGAGAACCCCAACCAGTCCTTCCAGAGGCCCAGCCGCAGACAACGTGATATGGGGCCTGGCTGGACCTCTGGGGTCAGAGTTCAGGGACTTGGAGTCAGTCTCAGGTCTGTAAGGTGAGGGCCACCAGAGACAGGAGGGAAGCTGAGGGGACTCTAGGAAGGGACAGCAACGCTGCCTAGAAGAAAGTTCCATAGGAAGAAGTTTCAGGGATGTCTGGAGATGAGGCATGGTCTGGTTAACTCTCCCTTGGCCAGGGCCGTCTGACCATTGCTAAAACTCTGGGGAGGCTGTGTGGTGGCAAACGTGGCCTTGGGAGTGAAACTCCTCTTTGCAATCATTCCTGTCTCCGGATTTACCTGCTTTTTCAATAGCATTCACTGAATACTTTGGTAAAACAGCCTAGTTTTGCTCATTAGTACCTATTTCCATTTTCGGTGAAGCTCACAACAATCCTACACATTTCACAGACGTTGCACACACACGGAAGCGTCTACGGTACACGCTGTCTCCACGCTTGAGTCGAACACACTAAAATATCTCATTGCCAATGCTTTACACTCACTCAGACACCGTGGCACTGTTAGCACAACACCCCATGTGTGTGAAACATCTCGCCTACAGCATCCAAACGCTTTAGTGAGCTCTTAATTCAAACAGTTTATTCTCAGAGCAGTGGAATCAATGCTAGTGAAAGAATCAAACTCATCTGTCATCCAAGGAATTCCATTTACAAGATATTTATGATGGGCCTTTTTCCCTTACCTGATTAATTCATACGTTTCTCCCAGGAGTGGATTAAATGGTTTGCCGGTCCTCTCCCACTGGGAAGCCACGGCCGAAACAGCAAAAGCAGCCACAGACTGTAAATAATCCACAGGACGGGCAGGAACAGCTTCAGTTACGAAATGCGCCGGAGAAGACGGCCTCTCGTGGAGGGCGGTGGGCACCTGGTTTCTGTCACTATTTGTTCCGTGTGATTTTTCAATTTTCTCCAAGCAGTGTGTCTGAGATTATAGGACTTCCAGGGAACGCCCTTCATCACCCGCCACTCCGTCGACAGCACAGAAAGAAGGAACTGGGTGCTGCCTTCCACCCCCGGGGCCGCGCCCTTCCTGGCAGACGCTGCAACAATGTCAGTCACTCTGTCTCACATGCACACACAAGGCCACACACTCAACACGCACCCCCCAAGCACGCATTCACAGAGGCATGCGCACACACGCGCACAGGGACACGCACTATGTGCGCCCACAGTCACACACTTGTATTTTGTTATTTTTTAAACACAGGGTCTCACTCCATCACCCAGGCTGGAGTGCAGTGGCGTCATCATAGCTCACTGTAGCCTCTAGCTCCTGGGCACAAGTGATCCTCTCTCATCAGCCTCCCAAGTAGCTGGCATTGCAGGCATGCACCACTGCACCTGCCTAAATTTAAAAAAAAATTTTGTAGAGATGTGGTCTCACTGTGTTGCCTAGGCTGGTCTCAACCTCCAGGAGCGATTCATCCACTCAGCCTCCCAAAGTATTGAGATTACAGGCGTGAGCCACCGTGCGTGCCCAGCCCACAGTCACACACATACACACACACGGGGCGCGGTGGTACAACAGGACCCCAGAGGAGCCCGAGGGCAAAGCCCGCCACCACCTTCCGTTCCAAGAGGCGGAGACTCCCGGAGGGAGGCGGCAGCAGGGAGCTCCTGGGGCCACTGAGAGCTCAATGGCATTTCCTGCAAGTTCTGTCATCACATACCTGGACAAATGCCATGGCTGCCAGGCAGGATGGCACTGAACACTGGGGGGAGCTGTGCGAGCCCTTCTCACAGATGCCCGGGGCCCCAAGACTGTGTGGCCAGACATTCAAGGGGTGTCACTTTCGTGACAAACTCCCGCCTGGCACTCCTAAGGCCCACCTGCATCCTCTCCAGGGGCTGGGGCTGGCAGGAGGCCCTGTGGATGAGGTACACGTGCTCCATGTACTCTGTGATCCGCTGCAGGAAGCTCAGAGGCTCGTTGAAGGCGATTGGCATCGTGATCTTGGACAGCTCCTGAAAAGATGGGGAAGACCCGCTGGTTACTGCTGCCTTCCTGACACCGCGGGGCTGCTCCAGGCCCCTACTCTGAGCATTCCTTTATGGAGCCGCAGACTCTGGGGTTGAACCGGATCTTCAAACCCCCCATGGGTGAGCCACTCCCTGCCCCATCAGCCCTGCCCTGTGAGCCTCGCTGCCATCAGACCTAACTCACAATCTGCGCTGAGCCTGCAGAGGTCTCTGGCGTGACACCCTGAATCCTCTCTGCCTCCCCAGCCCACTGCCCCATTCCCAACACACAGACTGCCACAGGGGCTCCTGGGCCCACCCACGCCCCCTCCCCCACTCCACATCTTCTCCACCCCACTTCCAGAGTAGTGGCCCAGGCTGGGCACGGTGGCTCAGGCCTATAATATGAGCATCCTGGGAGGCCGAGGTGGGCAGATCCCTTGAGGTCAGGAGTTCAACACCAGCCTGGCCAACATGGTGAAACCCCGTTTATACTAAAATTACAAAAATTAGCCATGCATGATGGCGCACACCTGTAATCCCAGCTACTCGGGAGGCTGAGGCAGGAAAATCGCTTGAACCCAGGAGGTGAAGGTTGCAGTGAGCCGGGATTGTGCTATTACACTCCAGCCTGGGAGACAGAGCCAGACTCTGTCTCAAAAACAAACAAACAAACAAAAAACAAAGTAGTGGTCCCAAAGTAGAGCCACCCACGCCATTAAAAATAGTCCCTGGCTTCCCATCCCCTCCAGGATGCCACGGACATGCCTGAACCTGGCAAATGAGGTCTCCTATAACATGGCTCCATGCAGCTTTCCCCTAAGGCCTTCCAAGTTGGCAAAGGTGCCTCAGGTGTCTGCTCCCAGGCCCCGGGCAGCGCAGAGCAGGTGCATGGCTTAGTGGTGGAAGCTGGGAAGGTGCCAAGGGGACAAGTGCCCACAGGGGCCACTCTTCCTGCTGGGCTTCTAGGAAAGGGATCCCAACAGCTGGGCAGCACGCATTCCAGGAAAGCATAACTGTGTACCTCAGGGCAGGCTCTTCAGGAAGGAGCAGGGTCTGGGGTGGCCAAAGCAGAGGCAGAGGGAGAGGGATAAGGAGAGGACCCAAGTTCCCAAAACTCAGCGTCTGTGCTGGGAGGGGGGCTCTGCTCAGACGCTGGGTCAAAGACAAGTGCAGGGACCGAGGCTGAGAGTACAGGGCAGACACACAGAGCCTGCAGCTCAGGCTGCTGCAGGGGCGAGCAGGCCCCAGGTGGCACCGGACACACAGGGACTGTGGGCTTAGGAGGGGCTAGAACTGGATTCCAACTGAGGCAGCCCCAGCACGTGGGTGTGGCCAAGACTGCACAAGGGAATGTGGCTGCTGAGGAAAGCAGGAAGAGATGTGACCCTCATGATCAGAGCTCAGCACTGCAGGAGCACGTGGGAGAGAAAGAGAGAAGCCCCGAAAGAATGAGCAGAAAAGCAGACAGATGGAGGAGCATTTGCAATTTACATTCCAGACCAGGGTCAACAGCCCTCCCATGCTCTCAACACCTGGTGAACTAGAAGAAGCCACAGTCCACAGCGGCCAGAGATGGGGCCAGGGAGGCCAGGAAGGAAGTGAGGCTGGCGGCCCTGAGCACTGGGGAGACGCTGCCTTGCTCAGGCAGGAGAGATGGTATTGCAACTGCGTGCAGCTCCCACCTGGAGAAAGCCCCCTGGCTGTTGTGGAAATGCACAGTGATGCAGCCCCACAGAGAAGACCGGGCCGCTTCCAGCAAACTCTACGGGTATCTGCCCCTGACCGAGCAGCCCCACTTCTAGGAACCTACACGCAGGGCTCTTTACCCCCCAGAGCCTCGGCCAAACACACACGCAGGGCTCTTTACCCCCCAGAGCCTCGGCCAAACACACACGCAGGGCTCTCTGCTGCAGCACGACTGGATCCATGAAAGACCAAAAATGACCCGTATGTCCAACAACAGAGCACCAGTCCAATGAGCTAGGGGGCAGCCATGTGAGGGAGCGCCATGCCATTAAAAGATTAAGAAGTCAGCTAAGCGAGATGGCTCATGCCTGTAATCCCAACACTTTTGGAGGCCAAAGCGGGGAGGACCACTTGAGGCCAGGAGTTTAAGACCAGCCTGGGCAACAAAGTGAGACCCTGTCTCTACAAAAAAAAAAAAAAAATTTTTTTTTGAGTTGGAGTCTCGCACTGTCACCTGGGCAGCAGTGCAATGGCGCGATCTCAGTTCACTGCAACCTCTCTGCCTCCTGGGTTCAAGAGACTCTCCTGCCTCAGCCTCCCGAGTAGCTGGGATTACAGGCATGCAGTGCTATACCCAGCTAATTTTTTGCATTTTTAGTAGAGATGGGGTTTTACTATGTTGGCCGGGCTGGTCTCGAACTCCTGACTTCATGATCCGCCTGCCTCAGCCTCCCAAAGTGCTGGGATTACAGGCGTGAGCCACTGCCAAAAATTTTTTTAAAAGTAGCTGGGCATAGTGTTGGGTGCCTGTAGTCCCAGCTACTCCAGAGGCTCATGTAGGAGGTTCACTTAAGCCCAGGAGATTGAAGTTACAGTGAGCCATGATCCTCCCACTGCACTCCAGCCTGGGTGACAAAGCAAGACTCAGTCTCCAAAAAGAAATAATTAATTAATTAATTAAGAAGTCACTGCGTATTGCTATAGATATACCACCAAATTTGAAAAGGTGGAGAAAGTCTCTCATTTACATAAAGAAGTGGGGAGAAGATACACACAGAATCAGCTGTGTGATGCATGAAAGATGTGCCCTAAACGTGGCTCCTGGTCACCTGTGGGGAAAGCAGAGAGCACCAGGAGGGCACAGGGACAGGAACCCAACCCTCCTGGAATACACCTTACGTGATAAATTTGACGCAGGACCCATAATTTAAAAAGAAAATTAAGCCGGGCGCGGTGGCTCAAGCCTGTAATCCCAGCACTTTGGGAGGCCGAGACGGGCGGATCACGAGGTCAGGAGATCGAGACCATCCTGGCTAACACGGTGAAACCCCGTCTCTACTAAAAAATACAAAAAACTAGCCGGGCGAGGTGGCGGGCGCCTGTAGTCCCAGCTACTCGGGAGGCTGAGGCAGGAGAATGGCGTGAACCCGGGAGGTGGAGCTTGAAGTGAGCTGAGATCTGGCCACTGCACTCCAGCCTGGGTGACAGAGCGAGACTCCGTCTCAAAAAAAAAAAAAAAAAAAAAAAGAAAATTAAATTTGAAAAAGTCATCTCTCGGGCTGGTGCGGTGGCTCATGCCTGTAATCCCAGCACTTTGGGAGGCCGAGGCGGGTAGATCACCAGGTCAGAAGTTCGAGACCATCCTGGCTAACACAGTGAAACCCCGACTCTACCAAAAATATAAAAATTAGCTGGGCGTGGTGGCGGGCACCTGTAGTCCCAGCTACTCGGGAGGCTGAGGCAGGAGAATGGCATGAACCCGGGAGGCGGAGCTTGCAGTGAGGCGAGATTGTGCCACTGCACTCCAGCCTGGGCAACAGAGCGAGACACCGTCTCAAAAAAAAAAAAAAAAAGTCATCTCTCAATATCAAAAATGAAACGAATGAACTTACATCATTCCCTTGGTGGCACAATCACCCAGAGAAGAAGCACCCAGGTGGTTTGGAAATGCAGGCATTTGGCCGGGCGCAGTTGGCTCACGCTTGTAATCCCAACACTTTGGGAGGCCAAGGTGGGTGGATCACAAGGTCAGGAGTTTGAGACCAGCCTGGCCAATAAGGTGAAACCCCATCTCTACTAAAAATACAAAAAAAAAAAATTAGCCAGCCATGGTGGCGGGCGCCTGTAGTCCCAGCTACTCGGGAGGCTGAGGCAGGAGAATCACTTGAACCCAGGAGGCAGAGGTTGCAGTGAGCTGAGATCACACCACTGCACTGCAGCCTAGGTGACAGAGCAAGACTCTTTCTCAAAAAAAAAAAAAAAAAAGCGGGCATTTGAGATACGCCCTGAGGACAAAGACAACTGGCAACTGCAGGAGCCACAGACATGCGCTATCTCAGCAAAGACACTGTCAGCAGCAGAGCTGGTCCCGCAGGTATGTGGGGCAAAGTGAGTGAGTCACAACTACGTGCTGGTCTAAATCTATCCTCGCCAGGGCTGCCGAAAACTGGGACTGTCAGTGAGGGAGAAAAGAGATGCAGACACGAGGCCGCAGAGGTTAGGTGGAGCCTGCTGGCCCAAATTGGAAGCATCACTGAAACAAACAAAAACACAGTTCCTAGCTGTAGGAACAGCCCTCGAAATAAGACCACCCCAGTGGCCTCCTCAGAGCCTGGCTGTGGTCCTGAATTCTCCTTCTCTCCCTGGACAAGTAGCTGATTCCACACCCCAGACAGTAAATGCACAGGAGAGGCCTGAAGCTCCTTTTGTAAAGGACTCTAGGCCACCTTGAATAGACTCTCACTGACCAAAGATGGAACAATCTGTGGACTGGAAGACATCAATAAGTTAAATGCTAGGAGGTAAACAAAAGACAAACTAGCTGGTTACATGAGTCACACTGGATGACGCCAGTGAAAGAACACATTATGTGAAAACTTCAATAAAGAGGAAGAATCGCTCACTGGTCCTGACTTTCCTACATAAACTGCATTTACAGCAAAGGAAGTGGAGCCTCTCACCACAGAAATATCCCTGGCAATCAATAAAGGGTGATCACGTTGGCACAGCTCCAACCAGCATGTCCTCCTGAGTTAATGGACCCAGGCTCTGAGTGCCACAGCTGTTTTTGTTAGAGACAGGGTCTTGCTCTGCCACCCGGGCTGGGGCACAGTAATGTGATCACTGGTCACTGCAGCCTCAACCTCTCAGGCTCTAGCGATCCTCCTGTATCAGCCACTCGAGTAGCTGGGAGCCTGGGCATGGACCACCATGCCCGGCTAATTATTTTTTGTAGAGATGGGATCTCACTTTGTTGCCCGAGCTGGTTCTGAACCCCTAGCCTGGAGCGATCCTCTTGCCTCAGCCTCTGACAGGGATTATAGGCATGAGCCGCCGCACGCCTGACCTGCCCACAGCTTTTAAATTCAGAGAAAGAGCAACAAAAAGGCTTCCTGACAGAGGGACACAAACAAGGTCCACACAGGACTGCAAACAGCAGACAGCAACACGTGAGACCACTGGACATTTGAATACAGAGCGAGTATCTGATGATATTAAATAACTTTCTAAAGTTATTTTCTAAAGTATAATAATATCATAGTCACATTAAAAATGTGACTTATCCTTTAAATATATGTAAGAAATATTTACAAACAAAAAGATGTCTGGAATTAAAATATGAGGGAGGAGAGAAGCAGGGGGGTGTGGACCAAACACAATGAGCCACAGCCAATAACTGTGGATCCAGAACGAGCCACAGCCAATCACTGCAGATCCAGAATGAGCCACAGCCAATCAGTACAGATCCAGAAAGAGCCACAGCCAATCACTGAGGATCCAGCTATGGGGACATGGGCTCGCCACTATCTGTCCACGTCTGTCTGTGTTGGGACTGTCCATGCTGCCAAGTGTGCTTGTGTTTTTTCAATACAAGCTGAGAAGTAGTAAAAAGAGAGGAATGCCACCAAAACCTCCAGAGGGGAGTGTTTCAAAGTGAAGTGTGAGGGGTGGAGCCACCCCGCAAGGCCCCTCCCAGCACCTTTCCACTACGCCTGCCAGTCCTACACGCTCACATGCAACTTTCACCTCAATCCCTCCACAACCCTCACCTAGGGAATGCAATTTACATCATTTCATGTTGTTGAAAAGATGCTTTTGGTCCTAGAATCTTTATTTTTTTTAAGAGACAAGGTTTCCCTCTGTTATGTAGGCTCGAGTACAGTGGTGAAATCACGGTTCACTGCAGCCTCAAACTCCCAGACTCAAGCCATCCTCCTGTCTCAGCCTCCTGAGTAACTGGGACTACAGACATGTGCCAACACACCTGGCTAATTTTAAAAATTTTTTTGTAGAGATGGGGTCTCACTGTGTTGCCCAGGCTCTGGTCTCAAACTCCTGGCCTCAAGCGATTCTCTTCCCTCAGCTTTCCAAAGCACTAGGATTACAGGCATGAGCTACTACCACACCCAGCCTGTCTTAGAATTTAAAAGAGTCAAAATTAGGTGGTTTGTCAAGTTCACAAAAAGACTTTCATCATCTATACCAAGACAGATATTTTTGTCAAGACCTGAATTAGCCACATAGTCAAAAATGTACAAAAAACACTGCTGAAGGAGAAAAAAAATCTCAAATGGTTTATTTTAAAAGAAACATACAGATATATACAGAAATACAGATGTGTATGCATGAGCATTAGCACACTCGTATTTTCCAGCGCCATCTGCTGAGAGGGTCTGCAGGCAATGATACCTCAGTAGCAATGAGCTCACCCAGCACTGGGTCGTGGTTTCTAAACACCATTACCCAGTGAATGGGCTCCCTGGGGAAGTGGCTGATCCCAGGGTTAAGGCAGGGAAAATATAAGCTGAACTAGAGTATCCTTTAGTGCCTGAAATAAGTGTTCAGAAAAGGATGGGGGTTCAGCAGAAGCGGGAAAACCAACCTGGAAGAACTCTCAATGCCAAAGGTAGAACAATTTGAGCAATTACGTAAATAAGGACTATACTGGAATTCAACTCACAGAAAATACATGCTCATGAGTCCATACTAATACAAATAAATAACTGAATAAATATATAATTAGGGGAGAAGGGACAGCTCTCCTTTACAGAACAATACCAATTAATAAAGGTAGAAGACAGAATGAGAATAGAAAATCCCCATTAGAATGATTTCAATAAAACCCACCAATGGATGCCACAATTAGCAAGCGGAATCCGAGTGTCTCCCCCAAAACACTGATTACAAAGAGAAATGCAGCAACTCTGCAGTGGAGACACTTGATCAGGTTAACCAAGTGATCAGGTTAACAGTCCCCCTAACAAGACACGTGGATATCACAGAGCCCCTCAGACCAGGCCCTGGCAAGGGTACCTCACTTCTGTGTGTGCCAAAAACACAGAACCTCATTCTAAGAAGAAAACATCAGACAAACTCAAATTAAGGAAAAGTCCACTAAGTAATAGACCAGAGCAGCTGTCACCAAGTGGAGAAGCCCAAATGCCATGAGGGTCCTGGGACAGGAAAGGACGTTGGGGACACTGAGGAAATACAAGTGACATGTGGAGCTAAGATGCATTTCTCGCTTCGGTCACTGACCTATGGTTACTCCGAGAGATGCCAGCATCAGGGGAGCTGGGTGGTGGGTTTACAGGAATGCTCTGTGCTATCTTGTGATTTTCCTTAAGTCTAAAATTATTTCAAAATAAAAAGTTGAGAAAAAATGAAGTTCCCTCTGGAAAAAAAAGGACTAAAACATAAGGGCAAAAAATCATCGGCACTAGAAGACATGGTCTGAGCAAGAGTGACGTCGTGTATCCCCAGGCCATCTGAGTTTTCAGTCATTGAGCGCTGGCCCAGGACCCAGTAAGGTACAGAAGGCACAGGACACTCCCCGCCCCCGTGAGGCACCGCTTGTTCTCACAGTCAGGAAGGATCATGAAAGGGAAAGTCTGTAACTTCTGGGCCCTCATTACCCAGCTAGTTTTTCTGTCCCAAACCCTGAGCCCCTGACAAAGGCTGACGCCCCTCCTGCAGCTCAGCATGTGGCCGTGGGGGGTGCCACGGAAGCCCCACCCACCTCACACAGGACACAGAGCTGGACGGGTACCTGCAGGATGGTTCTCATGTCCCGTTTCACCTACAGAACGCCTCTTCCCCTGACGTGCTTGTTCTCTGCCTGTTTTACTGTCTTAATCTCACACTGTTTATAAACATGAGAGTGCATTTTTTCTTTTTTTTTTTTTGAGACGGAATCTCACTCTTGTCACTCAGCCTGGAGTACAATGGCGCAATCTCGGCTCACTGTAACCTCCGTCTCTCAGGTTCAAGCAATTCTCCTGCCTCAGCCCCCCAAGTAAATGGGATTACAGGCGTGCGCCACCATGCCCGGCTAATTTTGTATTTTTGGTAGAGACGGGGTTTCTCCATGTTGGCCAGGCCAGTCTTAAACTCCCGACCTCAGGTGATCCACCCACCTCAGCTTCCCAAAGTGCTGGGATTACAGGCATGTGCCCGGCAAGAGCGCATTTTCTTAAATCACTAGCACTGCAATACCTTCCCAGGAGTCAGTGGTGCAGCCCCACGCATGAGCATGGGCCCCCGGACTCACCAGGCCGACACACTTCTTTAGAATGGTCCACACGCTGAAATCACTTCTGCTGAACATGGGAGCCGGCAGTGACGTCCTGTGGGGCATGAAAGGGGTGTGTGTGGGTGAATTCAACACAGGACTCCGACCACTCAAGGTGGCTGCACTCAATGACCATTTCTCTTTAATTCTGACACTTAAACATTGGCATTTCTGCATTCTGGCATGCCTAGGGACACACGGATATGGCTGCTGCGAGAGGCCTTCCACACCCATGTTCCCAGGACCTCCCAGGAATGGTCATGACAACAAAGATGGCTGGCTCTGCAGTCTTGGCCCCACAGTGGCCGTGATGTTGTTTCCTCCCAGAGCTGGGAGACAGGGCAGCAGCAGGGAGTCCCTCTGCCTGCACAGTTCACAGCCTTCTGGGGGCTCCTGGTGGGTCCTTGGGGCAGCAGCCAGACCATAGGCAGAGGTCAGGCCACGAGGGCACCAAGAGTGACCCGAACTAAAAGCTTTTCAGTCCTTTAGATTCGTGTTTGCCTTCCTGAGGAGCATTTCTTTCTAGGTAATCTTCCAGTCGGCTGCAAGGGGGAGCCCACGCCATCACGCTTGCACCAGGAGACCCTCACCCCCACCACTGCTCACCGCTGATCGACCTGGGGACCACTGACCCGGGGCCCTGGACTCCCCGCCAGGAACGTGGAGCTGGAATGAGACACTGTCTCCATCTAGGAGGCGAGTGCCTGAATGGAGACATAAACTTGGATTTGGGGAGAGGTGTGCCAAACCCACACAGGACACCACAGAGGAGGGTGCAAAGAAGGTGCTGCAGAGTGGGGGCCCAGGGCTCCCTGCTGCTCACAGCCCTCCAGGGACACCCCAGGGCTCTCCTGCTGAACTCCCATTTCATGGAAGCTGCTTTGAGGGGTGTTTTGCCTCGCACCCAGCAAAACCTTGACACCGACACTCTGACCTCTGGAGTGATGAAAGCACATGCTTTTGCCTGCTCTGCTCCTGAGCTATGCCCCGGGAATGCCACATCAGGGCAGCTGGGTCAGGACACACTACTGGTGTCAGGGGGCAGGAGGGAGAGGACACGGCAGCTATGAGGCAGGGTGGAAAATAAAATGAACATCTGCTGAGTGCCAGGCCTGGGCTGCTGGAAGCCAGCACCCAGCTCTGCTCTGCCATCATCCATGCACTCATTCAGGGAATACTCTGTGATTCGGGGGTGCTACCAGGAGGGGAATGTGGCTCTGCAGAGGGCCAGGTCACATCCCCCAAGGATATAACCCTGCATGGAGATGGGATGCACAGGAGCTACAGACATGAAGGAGGAGAAGAGAGGCCCCAGGCCAAGGGAGCAGAGGGAGCTGATGCACCAGAGGACCTGAAAGAGGCCCCTGCAGCTGGGGCAGGAGGCAACAGGGCTCAGGCCTGGGCCCGAGGGCCTAGGTGAGGGTGCTGGCCTTCACCCTAAGAGGTGAGTGACCACATGGTGCACTGTCCAAGCTGGGTCATTTCTTCCAGTAGAACAGGGCACCATTCACAGCTCTGTAGGACCAGGAGTGTGAGGCCGGCCATGTGGCCATCCTGCCTGAGTTTTAGGCAGAGGGTGACGGAGTAGGGGGTTCAGATCTGTCTTTTGAAAAACGCCTCTGGGCTGGGCATGGTGGCTCTCACCTGTAATCACAATACTTTGGGAGGCCAAGGCAGGTGGATCACTGGAGGAGCTCGAGACTAGCCTGGCCAACATGGCAAAACACTGTCTCTACTAAAAATACAAAAATTAGCCAGGCATGGTGATGTATGCCTGTAATCCCAGCAACTTGGGAGGCTGAGGCAAGAGAATCACCTGAATCTGGGAGACAGAGGTTGTAGTGAGCTGAGGTCGCACCACTGGAGCTGCTCCAGCCTGGGTGACAGAGTGAGACTCCGTCTCAAAAACAATAAATACATATATACACAAATGCCTCTGCACAACAGCTGGAATAAAAGGCAGGGATGTAGAGGTCACTCTGGAAACAGGTGGCTGGGTAGACAGGCATGTGGCAGAGAAGACAGAAGAACTGAAGGACCCAACAGCACTGAAAATGGCCACAGAGTCAGGGCTAGAAAACAGGGACGCAGAAGGAGCAGGGGTGGGGGCTCCCATATCTGTGGGGTGAGAGAATGAACAAACAACAGATGAGAAGCAAATGTGGGCGCCCGAGTGGACCCACCAAGCAGGGGTGTGGGCCTGCAGCTCGAAGGAGAGCCTGAGGCCAGGCTGGAGCAGCTCCCTGGAGCTGAGACACACATCAGCAGCTGTGGCTGGAGCCCGCAACGCAATGCCACCAGCTCCAGGGCCACTGCCTGCCCCACCTGACACTTGTCCTGACTTCGTGTTTTTTTTTTTTTTTTTTTTTTTTTTTGAGACGGAGTCTCGCTCTGTTGCCCAGGCTGGAGTGCAGTGGCCGGATCTCAGCTCACTGCAAGCTCCGCCTCCCGGGTTCAGGCCATTCTCCTGCCTCAGCCTCCCGAGTAGCTGGGACTACAGGTGCCTGCCGCCTCGCCTGGCTAGTTTTTTGTATTTTTTAGTAGAGACGGGGTTTCACCGTTTTAGCCAGGATGGTCTCGATCTCCTGACCTCGTGATCCGCCCGTCTCGGCCTCCCAAAGTGCTGGGATTACAGGCTTGAGCCACCGGGCCCGGCCTTTTTTTTTTGTTTTTGAGATGGAGTCTCACTCTGTCACCCAGGCTGGAGTGCAGTGGCGTGATCTCAGCTCACTGCAACCTCCGCCTCCCGGGTTCAAGTGATTCCCCTGCCTCAGCCTCCCAAGTAGCCAGGACTACAGATGTGCACAACTACACCGGGCTAATTTTTTGTATTTTAGTAGAGACAGGGTTTCTCCATGTTAGCCAGGATGGTCTCGATCTCCTGACCTCATGATCCGGCCGCCTCGGCCTCCCAAAGGGCTGGGATTACAGGCATGAGCCACCGCGCCCGGCTCGTGCTTCTATCAACAAAGACTGAAGACTTCTTCCTGTTTTTTGCTTTTTTTTTTTTGAGACTTTGAGACAGGGTCTTGCTCTGTTGCCCACACTAGAGTGCAGTGGCGCCATCTCAGCTCACCATAGCCTCAAACTCCTGGGCTCAAGGGATACTCCTGACTTAGCCTCCCAAGTAGCTGGGACCACAGGCGTGCACCACCACGCCCAGCTAATTATTTTAATTTTTTTGTAGTGGTGGGGTCTTGCCATGCTGCCCAGGCTGGTCTCCAACTCCTGGGCTCGAGTGATCCACCTGTCTCAGCCTCCCAAAGTGCTGGGATTACAGGCATGAGCCACCACGCCCAGCCAAGGACTGAAGACTTCTCATGATGGCCACTGTCATCGGACTCTACCTACATGAAAATGAACATGGTGGAGGAGGAAAGGGAATGGGGTCTTGCTACATCAAGCAAATGAAACCCTTCTCGTCCTGTAGGGGTCAGAGCTGAACACACTGCAATAGAACTCCGATGAGACAGAGGATGAATTTGGCTGCCCATGGAAGAACAGGAGTATCTGTAGGAAATCAGCAAGGGGTCTGATGATCAAAACACCATGTACTGTTTGCGGCATTTCTTAGATGGGGAAAGGTACTGCTCATAAAATTGCCATCTGCTGATTCCCGGAGCCGAGAGAGGCATGGAGTCTCTCAGAACGCTTGCTGGCCGGACACAGGAGGCTGTCCGGACGGGAAGGCCAGGCAGCCGTGGGGATGCCGCTCCAGCTCAATGCTCGTGAGGGCTGAGGGTACCCTGAAGAGTGTTTTTGGGGTGATTACAGACGCATTTTAGAAACAATAGATGTGAGAGAACATACCTGTGTTTCTGAATTCCATTCTCTTGAGAGGGCCTCTCCCCAATTTTCCCAATCCTATTATTTTTGCTGGTGTCCAAGTCAATCATTCCCGTGACTTTCTGATGTGCCTCTGAAAATTCCCCAGAAGAGTTATCAGAATCAAAGCCTGTGCGAGACAAGAAAATGGTAATTTTCGCTGGACCTGGAAGATTTTTTAAAAGACTGCCTCCAAGAATTCTGACTATGCAAGCAGATGACTAAAGCTCTAAGTTGTTTGAATAGACACATGTGGAAGAATTAACTCTGGTTCCCCAGAAGTAGACAGAAGTAGACAGGGTGCAGAGAGAACAAGGGCACACCAGGGAGCTTCCCACCTAAAGGCCACTCCCAGCGAGCTCCAGCGCCCAGGCTCCTCCCACACTTGTGACTTGAGGTCCAGTTCCAGGCCACGAGTTTCATCTCCCACAGGAACCTTTCGTCATTTTTATCTGTGACTTACATGCTCTGGGTGGGCCACTTCTATCGGATTCAAACCCACCCCAAGGCTGCAACGTGCCCGTTGTGGCTCAGGGCGTGTGACCAAGCTCTGCACCTTGGTCTGAAACACGCCTGCTGACAATGTTTCGAGGGAGACCGTCGTGGCAGGCAAAGGCACCACTAACCCGTACCCAGCCAGGGAACAGTCATGGAAGCGCCACACGTGGCTGGACTCGGAGTGGACTCCGGATGAAGGGGACTCTGGAGAAGGAGCTCTTTAGAATCTGCGTGAGATCCAGCCATGCACGTGCTCCTGGAGCAAAAGTCCTGGAGAAGAATGGCCGGCCGCTGCCCTGGCGGGGTGGGCCCCTCCCCAGGACAGAACGGGCGACTAGGGAACAGGAACAAACGTCTCCCTTCAACCCCTGTCAGTCTGAGTCGCTGGAAGGGCCAAGTTCTGCACCAGAGCCGGGTGGAGTGGGGGCTGGGGCCCCGCGATGAGTCAATTCCGTGGGGGCTCTGGGCCTGCAGGAGCCGGCGACCACCCAATGCTTCCAGGGGCTGAGGGCTCCACGTAAGGGGCACAGGCCCAGGAGGGTCAGGCAGACAACTGCGGTCGGACCCCACATGCGAACAAGCCTGCTACAGGCTCCACGAGAACAAAGCAAAGCTGCTGTGTCCTATCCCTCCACACGGCAGAGTTCATCCATAAAGGCAGTGCTGGGGTGGATGACATCGTGATTTTGAGAGAACGGGTTAAAAAGGAATCCTGAAATGGCCCACGGTGTCTGAAATAGCCTGCCACCTCTCATGTTCTGCGCTCTGTCCCAAAAGCAACATCTCTAACTCCTCACTCTGAAGTTATCTTGAAAACATTCCCTACTTAAGGGAATTCCGGGGGGTGGGACCTGCCCCTGTCCAGAAGAATAAAGCAGCACATCCCTGGCAGCCACTGCAGCCTCTGACTCAGCCAACACTACACGGATGGCCTAATAACATTCTAAGACACCGCATGCATTTATTGTAGAAAAACAGAAAATACAGACGAGCAAAGGAGGAAGCTGAGATCTCCTATCATCGGCTCCCTCGGAAACCCCGCTTTTTTTAGTCCCTCTGCGTTCATAGCCCTTAATCCCATACACACTGTTCATGTCCTCCAAACCTTTCCTTTGAATGGCACTGATTCTTAAGACAAATTAAATGCCTAACGAGACCATTCATTTAATAACTGCTTAGTTTACATACTTTTGAAATCAGAGTTACAAAGTCAGATGTATATTATAGGCGGTGAAGGAGTCAAGAGTCTGCCTCTAACACAGGTATTCCATTGCATTAAGAGATGAAGTGGCTTTTTCCTTCCATTATTTGTTTTGAAGGTCAAGAATTGAGGGGAGAAATTCTTGTCACCTAGATATCTGTCCCCTCCATCTCACGCTTGGGGACACATGGAGAGGCCCTGCCGTGCAGGAGCAGTGCCCCACAGCCCTGTACGCCCTGTGGCTCCGAGAACAGTGCAGTCCGTCTGAGCACCACATCACACACTGCTGGGGCCTCTGGGAAGTCACAGCAAACTGACTCAAAAAGCTCAGAGGTGACCAGGAACGGTGGCTAATGCCTGTAATCCTAGCACTTTGGGAGGCCGAGGTGGGCGGATCACCTGAGGTCAGGAGTTCAAGACCAGCCTGGTCAACGTGGTGAAACCCCGTCTCTACTAAAAATACAAAAATTAGCCGGGCGTGGTGGTGGGCACCTGCAATCCCAGCTACTCGGGAGGCTGAGGCAGGAGAACTGCTTGAACCCGTGAGGAGGAGGTTGCAGTGAGCTGAGATCATGCCACTGCACTCCAGCCTGGGCGACAGAGCAAGACTCTGGCTCAAAAAAAAAACAGTTCAGAGGTATTTGCGAAAGTATCAGTCACACCAAGACCCCAGACAAAAAGGACATCCTATGAGACTCCCAGGAGAGGAGGGACCTCAAAGCTGCGCTCTCAGTGACAGACGTGGCACCCCACTCAAGGGCAACCTGAGGATGTGAGTGCCTGACAACCCCTCCACTGTGTGGGGTTCAGCAGAGAACACAGAACGACCACGGATGAGGTGCAAGCTCCACAGACCCTCCTCTGAGAGTGCATCTGAGGAAAACACGATGCAGATAATCCGGCTACGAAATCATGGAAAATGACTTAGAAATTGAGACTTTGAAGCCGGTAAGGAGTGCAGCATCCCCTTCTCCTGGGGTTTTGAATAAGAGTAAGTCAACTATCTTGGGCTGCCAGCGCAGGTATGGGAGCAGCACAGCCTTGGAACACTCAGCCCGCTCCAGCAGGGCCCCAGACCGGAGGTGCCACCAGAGCCATTAACGTGTCCTCAGGGCACGGCCACAGAGACCCTCCTGACACACCCACTCCAGCAGGGCCACAGACTGGAGGTGCCAACGGAGCCATCGACGTGTCCTTGGGGCGTGGCCACAGAGACCCTCCTGACACACCCACTCCAGCAGGGCCACAGACTGGAGGTACCAACGGAGCCATCGACGTGTCCTTGGGGCGTGGCCACAGAGACCCTGACAGATCCTTGCGCGGCAGTAACTACAGAAGTGCTTCTAAAGATGGTCACTAATTCCCGGCCTGTGGCCGCATTTCTAAAGCCACTCCCCTTTCTGATCCTGACACCTAAGGACAAGGGAACATCCAAGGGAATCTCCTGATGCCCCTGCCCACCCGCAATGGTCCTTTCCAGAAAAAACAAGCGGAATTCCAGACGCCGACTCTGAGGCACAGAAGAGTGGAGAATGAACGTGAGAACCTGACAGACACAAGCTCAAAGGGTTTCAGGCTCTTCCCTGTGCCAGGAGAAGGGGCGGCTCTGGGAGGCCAAGCTGCCAGCCCTGCCCGCCCTTCCCTCTAGCCGGCCTGTCACATGCCCATGAGAGTGACTGGACGCCAAAATACATTCTTTTCAATCAAGCCACAGGATTTCATTCAGACCACAGGCTGCAGGCCGCCACTTTAAACCATCGTGCGAAAGAGAACAATAACTGTGCTCTGCGGCTATGAGTGTGGCTAGGGAGCCAGGGTTTGCTGTCTGATGGGAGCGTCAAGCAGTGCCAGGCAAGACAGGGCCATCATATCCAGAACGTTCTCATCATGATGCAGGAATAAGAGAAAAAGATGGCCATCTCAGGAAACCAATGAAACTATCTGCACCCCAGGACACTCTTGGGAAGACTTAAATCCCGTCAGCCGAAGGCAAGGCTTTTCCCACCTCTGGGATGGACGTTAGATTTTGTTGAAGAGTCCGCATTTGGGATCCTGAATGCTCCACGCACTGCTTTACTGAGCATCTTTACACCCCAAATGCCAGGCCCAACATCTGAATCCAGGGATGCTCACCCTTCCAGTACGTCCCTAGTTGGTTCTCTTTCAACTCACCTGTGACGGCATCAAAGAATTCTTCCTCTCCGTTCATCCTTCAGCAGCCAGCCTCCACTGCCCCTGACATGTGCTCTTCTACTGAATCATCATATCTGATCCACATCTACAGTGTAAGGAACTCCACGAACTTTCTCTTGGAAAAATCCAACGGACACTGAAGCTCTAAAGGGAACAAAATGTGGGCATACTTAGCTTCCAGAAGTTTCGTGGTTTAAAAACATTTTAAAAATACCCATTCACCATCCTAAACTCAATCTAAATTACATGTAAGCAAATTAGTAAAATAAATTATCACATCACAAACATGACTTCAAAAAGTAAATGAAAGGAAGCATTTATAACATAAGATCAATCAATGAATAACAGACCAATAAGTCACTCCTATAAGAAGAGTTGTTTCTAAAAAGCATTATCAGCTGGGCATGGTGGCTCACGCCTGTACTCCCAGCACTTTGGGAGGCCGAGGTGGGCAGATCACTTGAAGCCAGGAGCTTGGGACCAACCTGGCCAATATGGTGAAACCCTGTCTCTACTAAAAATATAAAAATTATCCAAGCGTGGTGGCGCACGCCTGTGGTCCCAGCTACTTGGGAGGCTAAGGCAGGAGACTCTCTTCAACTCAGGAGGTGGAGACTGCAGTGAGCTGAGACTGTGTCACTGCACTCCAGCCTGGGTGACAAAGTGAGACTTTGCCTCAAAATAAACAAATAAATAATTAAAATAAATAAAAATAACATTAAAAGCATTATCTACAGTTACGTAAGAAAACAATAAAACATTAATTTGGGAAAAGTCATGGGAGCAGGCAGGGTGTGGTGGCTCATGCCTGTAATCCCAGCATTTTGGGAGGCCAAAGCAGACGGATCACTTGAGGTCAGGGGTTCAGAGACCAGCCTGGACAACATGGTGCAACCCCGTCTCTACTATAAATACAAAAATCAGCCAGGCATGGTGGCAGGCACCTGTAATCCCAGCTACTCGGGAGGCTGAGGCAGAAGACACGCTTGAACCCGGGAGGCGGAGCTTGCAGTGAGCCAAGATCACGCCACTGTACTCCAGCCTGGGCAACAGAGCGAGATTCCATCTCAAAAAAAAAAAAAAAAAAAGTCACGGGGGCAGCCAGAACGCAGGTTAGCTTCAGCGAGGCGTTCAGCATCCGAGGTTCAAACACAGCGCAGGAAGTTTTGCTGAAAATCATTGCAAACATTCACCAGAGGCTGGAACAAATGGCTGTATAAGTAAACGGAAAATTATGTCGAAAATTTCACATCTACCTGAAACCAACATCAATTCTAGAGAATTGAGACTGCTATGTAAGTTAGCTGCTACCAGGATAAACTGAAGTAAACTTACATTTTCTCACAACTACCTTAGCTCAATATTCCAGAACTCATGCCTATTAGTGTCTCCCATCGGGAAAAGCAGCGTTGGATGAACGACAAGAGAAGGAGGCCAAAATCAGCATCCTTACTTGTGTCAGAAATACAAAAACCAGCCCAGAGCTCTCTGCACAGTTCTGAGGGTGAGGGTGCCAGGGGCGAGAACGACTCCCAGTGCTGGGCAACCCCCCAAGCGGCTCATCCTGCAGCCCTGCCATAGCCGCACGGGGCAGCAGCAGCTGCTTCTCTCCAGACAACAGGACGGCCACCACCTCCCCTGAGACTCTCCGGTGTCTCCCAGTTCGTCTCTCCCTCCCAGCCAGCCTGAGGCAGCCCCTGAAGGCCGGCGCAGACAGCCCTGCTCACGGCCAAGGTGTGCTTGCCCTTGCAGGCAGGAGAAGTCGCTGTCTCTCACTCAGGTCCCCCTCACAACTGCAGCGATGTGCTTCCCTCTTCAGAGCCACGGAGGAGCCAGGGCTCCCTGAGGAGACGTGGCTGAATCCAGGACTGGGCTCCTCTTGCCATGGTAGCAAGGAAGCTGCCCAGGAAGACTGGGGTGTAGAGTTGGAATGTGCATCCCTGCAAACACACGCTGAAATCTGACTGCCCATGTGACAAGGCTAGGAAGTGGGGCCTTTGAGAGGTGGTGGGACTGTGAGGGCTCTGCTCTCAGGAATGGCTTAATGCTGTTTTATAAAAGGGTCTGTTATAAAAAGGTGAGTCAGCCGTGCGTGGTGGCTCACGCCTGTAATCCCAGCACTTCAGGAGGCCAAGGTGAGCGGATCACTTGAGGTCAAGAGTTCCAGACCAGCCTGGCCAACATGATGAAACCCTGTCTCTACTAAAAAAAATACAAAAAAATTAGCCGGGCATGGTGGTAAGCGCGTGTAATCCCAGTTACTTGGGAGGCTGAGGCAGGTGAATCGCTTGAACCCAGGAGGCAGAGGTTGCAGTGAGCCGAGATCACACCACTGCACTCCAGCCTGGGCAACAAGAGCGAAACTCCATCTCAAAAATAAATAAATAAATAAATAAATAAATAAATAAATAAATAAAAATAAATAAAAGGGTGAGTTTGGCCCCCTTTTGCGTGCTCTCTCCTCCCTCCCTCTGCCTCCCCCTCCTTCTCCCTCCCTTTCCCTCTCTTCTCTCTCTCCCTCCCTCCCTCTCTTCCCTCCTCTCTTGCCCTTCCACCTTCTGCCATGGGATGACAGCAAGAAAGCCCTCAGCAGACACCAGCACCTTGAACTGGACTTCCAGACTCCAGAACGAGGCGCCTGCACAATGCTGCTCATTCTAAACTGCCCAGCCTGTGGCATTGCTGTAGCAGCACAACACAGCCTATGCCAGGGGCTCTCGTTGAATGACGCAGGATGAACCTACGGAAGCTCCCACAAGAAAGAGGAGACAATCTGAGCACCAGTATACGAGAAGAGGCTGAAACACAGTGAATACGTTCAAGTCCAGAGTTCCTAAGATACTAAAAAGGAGATTAACTGGTCATGTTGGATGATGCCAGTAAGTCCACAAGTTATTTTGAAACTGGCAAACAAGGGGACAGCATCCTGCCTTCCCTACACACACTGCTGTGCCACTGTCGCCAGCTAACAGGTGAGGAAATTGCGCTTTATGGAAGCACCCCAGCAAACAGATGAACAAGGCACACAGGTTCGTGACCATCATCATTAGATGACACTGGGAAATTCATGTATCCAGGCATTGACCCCCAAGAGACGGCCTCGGGTGCCTCCCGGGGAGAGATCACATTGCCACTGCTGAAACAGTCTTGCCAGGAACACTAAGCCCAGGTTTGCCCAGCTTCTAGCTTTATCTACTAACGTGGTCTGGATGTGTTCCCACCACCAAACCTCCTGTTGAGATGTGATCCCGGTGCTGGACGTGGGTCTGACAGGAGTGTTTGGGTCACGGGAGTGGATCCCTCACGGCTTGGTGCCGTCCTCCTGGTCCTGGGCAAGGATGAGTTCCCATGAGATCTGCTTGTTTAAAGACGTCTGGCACCTCCCACACCCTCTCTCACTCCTCCTCGCGCCACGTGAGGCGCCTGCACCCACTTCGCCTTCCACCACGAGTAAAAGCTCCCTGAGGCCTCCCCAGAAGCTGAGCAGATGCCAGCGCCATGTTTCCCGTATGGCAGAACCATGACCTAATTAAACTACTTTTCCTTATCAATTTCCCAGTCTCAGGTATTTCCTTATAGCAACACAGGAACAGCCTAACACACCTCCCAACTTAGGGAAGCACAGCGACCAGAGGCCACGGGGACACGGCAGCAGCACCTGGACCGCGGGTGCCTCGCCCAGCAGACCCGGCCTCCGCAGGAAATCAACCACACTGAAAAAGCAGGCGCCCAGGAGGAGAAAGGAAACCTCGTGACCTTGACCGAGTGGCTACTTCGTGGGCGTGGGCACACCATGTTCGACTACATGCCAACGTGGGGATGCAATCAGCAAAACCCACGCACGACCAAGCCCAGAGTCTCCAACAAATCAATTACAAGGACAGAGAGAGAGGGAGAGGGAAGGCTTCTCACCATCTTGATTATGGTGATGTTTTCAAGGGTGCACATGCGTATCAAAACCTATCATACATGTTACACGTGAGCAATTTATCATATGCCAATTATACCTCAAAAAAGCTATCTTTAAAAAAAAGACATACCAGCCAGGTGCGGTGGTTCCCGCCCGTAATCTCAGCACTTTGGGAGGCTTAGGCAGGTGGATCGCTTGAGCCCAGAGGTCGGGTATCAGCCTGAGCAACATGGCAAAACCCCATCTCCACAAAACACACAAAAATTAGTCGGGTGTGGTGGTGCGCCCACCTATGGTCCCAGCTACATGGGAGGCTGAAGTGGAAGGATCACTTGAGCCTGGGACATCAAGGTTGCAGTGAGCCATGGTCACACCACTACACTCTAGCCTGAGCGACAGAGTGAGACCCTGTCTCCAAAAAAAAAAAAAGGCAGACCAATTAAAATGATGTTTGAAGCAGGATTCAAACAAGGCCTACACATAGGCAGATAAGATTTGATGGAGACATTTATAAGACAGTGGAAATCTGAATAGAGTAAGTATCTGATGGTAGGAGGACTCCTGCTCATTTTTAAGATGTCACAATAGGCCGGCCGTGGTGGTTCACGCCTGTAATCCCAGCACTTCGGGAGGCCGAGGCAGGAGAATCGCTCGAACCCAGGAGGAGGAGGTTGCAGTGAGCCGAGATTGCACCATTGCACTCCAGCCTGGGCAACAAGAACGAAAATCTGTCTTTAAAAAAAAAAAAAAAGGCACGATAGTATGAATATCTTTTTGAGAGAACCCTAAAAAAAAATCCACTGCTCTGCACTATGTGAAAAGCCTCCCGGAATAGAAAGCAAGTTAGAATTAGAAACCATTTTGTTCTCCCTTTTGCTTGCTTTTTTTTTTTTTTTTTTTTTTTTTTTGAGACAGGGTCTTGCTCTGTCATCTAGGCTGGTGTGCAGTGGTACAATCACAGCTCACTGCAGCCACGACCTCCAGGGCCCAAGCCATCCTTCCACCCCCACCTCCCGAGTAGCTGGGACCACAGGCACGCACGACACGCACCATCACACCCGGCTGATTGTTTAAAAAACCGCTTGTAGGGACAGGGTCTCTCTATTTCGCCCAGACTAGTGCTGAACTCCTGGACTCAAGCAATCCTCCCAAATCAGCCTCCCAAGGTGCTTGGACTCCAGGTGTGAGACACCGCACCCGGCCCGCTTGCCTTTTTTGAAATGCTTCCCTGCCT